CAGAGTCAAAAGCCTAATTTTTTAAATATAAGCCAAAAAAGTAAACTGCGCAGCACGACCTGTCACTCACTCACACTTTCGGCACTATTTTTGGGAAACGCATGCTCGAAACGCAAAAAAAGTATCCAATCCCGTTCAAGAAAAATTCACTCTACGCTGATAAATAAAAAAAACCGGAGTCAGAAGCCTAATTTTTCAAATATAAGTCAAAAAAGTAAACTGCGCAGCACGACCTGTCACTCACTCACACTTTCGGCACTATTTTTGGAAAACGCACGCTCGAAACGCAAAAAAAGTATCCAATCCCGTTAAAGAAAAATTCACTCTACGCTGATAAATAAAAAAAACCAGAGTCAAAAGCCTAATTTTTTAAATATAAGCCAAAAAAGTAAACTGCGCAGCACGACCTGTCACTCACTCACACTTTCGGCACTATTTTTGGGAAACGCATGCTCGAAACGCAAAAAAAGTATCCAATCCCGTTAAAGAAAAATTCACTCTACGCTGATAAATAAAAAAAACCGGAGTCAGAAGCCTAATTTTTCAAATATAAGCCAAAAAAGTAAACTGCGCAGCACGACCTGTCACTCACTCACACTTTCGGCACTATTTTTGGAAAACGCATGCTCGAAACGCAAAAAAAGTATCCAATCCCGTTAAAGAAAAATTCACTCTACGCTGATAAATAAAAAAAACCAGAGTCAAAAGCCTAATTTTTTAAATATAAGCCAAAAAAGTAAACTGCGCAGCACGACCTGTCACTCACTCACACTTTCGGCACTATTTTTGGGAAACGCATGCTCGAAACGCAAAAAAAGTATCCAATCCCGTTCAAGAAAAATTCACTCTACGCTGATAAATAAAAAAAACCGGAGTCAGAAGCCTAATTTTTCAAATATAAGTCAAAAAAGTAAACTGCGCAGCACGACCTGTCACTCACTCACACTTTCGGCACTATTTTTGGAAAACGCATGCTCGAAACGCAAAAAAAAATAATCAACCCCGTTAGAGAAAATTCCACTCTACACTGGTATGTAAAAAGAACCTAACCGAAAATCCTAATTGCAGTAATATAAGCGAGAAAAGTAAACTGTGTAGCACGTAGTCGCAGGAGCTTGCTTTTCCGTCACTTTATTTCATATATGCACCTTCAATCGTAAAATAATTGCCGTACTGGTTGCAGAACAATCTATTCTATGCAGGAGTAATGAAATATCTTAATCCACAATCGAAGTTTAGAATGTATAAGCAATAATACGTAGCTACTTCGCAATTGAACTTCAAGATTAAAGAAAAATTGGAAAAACTGTTAACAAGCTGCCTATCTACAGTGAATATGTTCAAATATCCTAGTGGACATCGAAATCTAAAATCTTCTACAGTGGACGATAGGGGACTATGCGATAGTATTACGATCCGCACTCACACCATTTCATTTCGCACATGTTTCGTTGTATGATTGGCATTATGTCACATCACTTTTTTCCACGTGTGTTATATTACCACCGAAGAAATATTCACAGTTAGTAATTTTGAACTTCGTAAACTTTTCGCAATTTCTTACACTTGTGCTCTGTTCGGTTCGTAAATATTGCGATAATGTTACAAACGTAACCTACAACTGCAGTGTCGCAAGCTAATACCCGACACGTCGCGTTATGGTTCTTAAATATATATATCGTCAGTTGTAGCAATTAAAACTTTAATTAGCGATATCACTACTTTATTAAACGTTTGGTGGAAATCTTTAATATTTCACTTTGACGTACAGAATTATTCCACTATTTGTTACCGGTATGTTCATTTGGCGCGGAACTGAAGATAACTGACGCTAGACAATCTGTGCATTTTTCACGCGGGAAAATGCTGCGTCTTTGAAATAGCCATATGCTAAAGTATCGATGTAGAATATCAACCATGTTTCTTATATTTATTAATATCAATAAAGCAAATACAAATACGTATCTCTTACGAAAATGATAAATTAATAAATGCTTAATTTCCACAGCAAAAACGTTATAAATTAATAAAAATAATTATAAAATTAATAATAAAATTATAATATATAGTAATACATAATATATATATAAAATAAAAAAAACCAGAGTCAAAAGCCTAATTTTTTAAATATAAGCCAAAAAAGTAAACTGCGCAGCACGACCTGTCACTCACTCACACTTTCGGCACTATTTTTGGGAAACGCATGCTCGAAACGCAAAAAAAGTATCCAATCCCGTTCAAGAAAAATTCACTCTACGCTGATAAATAAAAAAAACCGGAGTCAGAAGCCTAATTTTTCAAATATAAGTCAAAAAAGTAAACTGCGCAGCACGACCTGTCACTCACTCACACTTTCGGCACTATTTTTGGAAAACGCATGCTCGAAACGCAAAAAAAAATAATCAACCCCGTTAGAGAAAATTCCACTCTACACTGGTATGTAAAAAGAACCTAACCGAAAATCCTAATTGCAGTAATATAAGCGAGAAAAGTAAACTGTGTAGCACGTAGTCGCAGGAGCTTGCTTTTCCGTCACTTTATTTCATATATGCACCTTCAATCGTAAAATAATTGCCGTACTGGTTGCAGAACAATCTATTCTATGCAGGAGTAATGAAATATCTTAATCCACAATCGAAGTTTAGAATGTATAAGCAATAATACGTAGCTACTTCGCAATTGAACTTCAAGATTAAAGAAAAATTGGAAAAACTGTTAACAAGCTGCCTATCTACAGTGAATATGTTCAAATATCCTAGTGGACATCGAAATCTAAAATCTTCTACAGTGGACGATAGGGGACTATGCGATAGTATTACGATCCGCACTCACACCATTTCATTTCGCACATGTTTCGTTGTATGATTGGCATTATGTCACATCACTTTTTTCCACGTGTATTATATTACCACCGAAGAAATATTCACAGTTAGTAATTTTGAACTTCGTAAACTTTTCACAATTTCTTACACTTGTGCTCTGTTCGGTTCGTAAATATTGAGATAATGTTGCAAACGTAAGCTACAATTGCAGTACCATAAATTAATACCCGACGCGTTGCGTTATTGTTGTTAAATATATATTTCTTCAGTTGTAGTAATTGAAACGTCAATCAGTATTATCATTACTGAAACGTTTTGTGGAAATCTTTAATGTTTCACTTTGATGCGTGAGAATATTCCAGCATTTATTACCGGCATACCCGCTTTGCCGCCAACCGGAAGTTGGCTGCGGCCGGACAAGCTAGGTATTTTTGTGGCGGGAAAATGCTGTTTCTTTGAAATAGTATCGATGTAAAATATCAATCGATGTCTCTTATATTTATTAATACTAATGAAGCAAATACAAATATGTTTCTGTTACGAAAATGAGAAGGTAAAGAATGCTTAATTTCCACTACAAAAACGTTGTAAATTAATAAAAATATAATATATAGTAATATATATTATATATTACTTACAAAATTTTATAAATGAGCATTATGACCACCTTTATTGAACACACTTTTAAAAAATTCTATAAATGTACGATAAAAAACGTGTGGAAGCTTTGTTAGATGTATAGTAGGTATATATAAGTTATGTAAATTCGTAAAATGTGTTAAAAACGCGAATTTTAGGTTATTTTATGATGAATGATAGATATAGGGTGTAGGGTCCCTTTGGTTAATATCATTTTTAGCAACTATTTCCTTTTTTAACTTTAAAATGTTGTTTTAAACACTTATACCTTAAAAACTATAGCTACGAGGCAGTAAATGGTATTTTTATATAAAAAAAAATAGTTGTACATATGTAAATTAGTGTACATATTGTTATTACAAATTATAGGAAGCATATATTTGCAATAAACTATAATAAAATCTCTTGAAATTCGATAGATCACGATCGGCAATTAGAAGCTTATCTCGTTTTCATATAAAATTAAGAAAACCAAAGTTTCGAAATATATAGTGCCTTATGTTGTCGCTCGCGTGACTTTTTCCACTATTCTTGCGACTTTTAAAGCGCCATAAATGGCAACGCCTGTCCCGTTTTTAAAAAATTATGTCTCATTTCATTACCCAGTGATCTTATGCAACTATCAATTCTTCCTCTCATCTTTTATTTTCGTCTCATTATTAATTGCTCTTCTTTTGTTGCAATGTTCGACATCCTATATCTTGTAATTTACTGTGTAATTTATTTTGTAACAAATTTTGTATTTTATTCTGTATTGCTTCTTTTAATTATTTCCTATAATCATTTTGAAACAGATTTTCTAACTTATTTTCCATGATATTTGGTACTATGTTTTATATCATTATTATATTTTAGTAATGTATGTAGGCACGGGTCTCGATTGCATAGCCACCACCATGTGATAAGACCTATTAATTAGCATCGTTTGCCAAAGATATATTTCGATATCCGTCTCAATAAATTTTATATACTACTTTTTGGAATATTCGATAATTTCATCTTTGGCAAACGATGCCACTTATATATAGAACTTGATAAAATATGTTAAAAAATCGGGCTATACTTATAAATGACAAGGATTTAACACAAAACCTGTTTTTCTATACTATTAAATATATTAAACTGTTAGAAATAAACAGATCTGTCAAATAAATAAAATTCATTTCCATTTAATATCAATCTTATGAATAGAATGTACATTTAAGCAGTCAATGTTGTTTAAATACATAAACATTAGAATTAAATATTATTATAACAGACTTCTAAAGTAACGACGAATCAACATTTTACTTCACATAGAATATTAAATTCGATATTCAGTTTGCTAAGTTTCGTAATGTTACAATTGTAAATATGTATTGTAGCAAAAAAGTTAACCACATAGTGACTCATAACTTTACACCTAATAGGAGAACTATTACTAACATGCATATTTATATAAATTACAGTATGAATGATTGTATGATAGTTATTAATGCAATAATTATTATTAACACTAGTTTATGATAATCATAAACACACGATATAACTATGCTACGATTACTCATTCCGATTCCTTAACGGAGTTAGTAGTTTATGAGGAGAAGAAACGGGAGTCGTATGAGTACTCTTTGGGATTCCTACCATGTTTTCCTTCCCTTTACTATATGAACATTTTTCTTCTGCTTTCAGCTTTTCGATTATTTTTTGTTGTTGTTCTATCGTCCTCATCTTGACATGTAAGTCCTGAAAAAGATATTAAGTTTTATCAGGTTTATTTTATAAACAACCAACATACTTCATACATTAACATCTAAATCTGAAAAAAGCTCAAGTTTGTAAGTAAGTAAATGAATATAAAATTAAATATCTATTTGAAAAACTGTCTTCATTAAACATATGCACTGCAATCATATAAACAAATAATTTACACACACACACTGATCTGAATCCATGCAAGAGATTAACAAGTATATATTTTATGCAAAGTAAAAATAACACAAATTTTATACACTATAACCACAACTAAATATTTATTGATAATAAAACAAAGACGAACAAAATCAACAAAATCAATTAACATGCAATACACATATACAAAACATTAAGTAATTGAAGAATTGAGTATTAAATATTAAAAACATTAATAATATTGCAAAAGAAAATGTTATTAAAAAAATACCAAATCAAATATAAAATAATGACGAATTCAAAATATATAATAAAGCACACCTGTTCAAGTTGACTGATTTTATCTTTCAGCTGTGATACATGCTTAATTCTTTGCTGGTGATTATGATGATCAACTACTTCAACATATTTCTCACGAATCTCTTGATAATCTTTTAAGAGTTGCTGATTATATTTAGAGAGCGTTTTCATTTCTCTAAATGGGTAGAATTCCAATTACTATGTTATTGTGGCATAAAATTAATAATCTACTCTCACAGAATGACACAACTCACCCTTCAACTGCTTCTCGACGGACTTTTTCTTCGTCAAGTTTCTCTATAATTGCTTTTTCAAAATTTTTCCATTTGTTTCGTTCTTCTTCAAGTAATTTATAATTCTCCTATAAGAATTCAATATTCTCATAAATATGTGTATCTATTACGTGCGTATATATATATTGTAAAATATAGATAACAATATAAATCTTGTACTGTTTTGTACATTTCTGAAACATAAAGGGGAACCTAAATTATATGTTACCTGCATGTGACAGTCTTTTTCTTCTAGACTTTCGATTTTATCAGTAAGTTCTTGTATTTTCAAATTTGCCTATAAATGAAAGATTTGTGTTCATGTTCTATATTGCTAAAAGAAAAATACAGTTAATATAGCAAGCATACTTCTTTGATGACTTCAAGATTTTTTGATTGATGCTTTAATAATTTATTAATTTCTTCTATTGCTATTTCACGTTCGTTTAATTGTTCATTAAGTTTGCTGTTAAGCAATTCTATTCGAGAAATTTCGACCTCTTGAACATCGTTCCTCTCTTCTAATTTAAGTAGCATGGTTTGTGCTTCAGCAAGATGATTAGCCATTTCGTGAAGTTGATTTTTCATCTAATGTTTTTAATTAAATACCGATTTATTTTACTTGTTAAATAATTATTCTTATTATATTTAAAGAATTATTTAATGATTTGTGTCTTTACCACAACATTTTTAGCGGTTTTTGAATCACTTTCGGCTTGTAATTGTGCAACTTCCATCGTTGCTATTTTCCTTAAATCGTCGATTTTATTTTCAAATATAACTTTTAGTGTTTCCACTTCACTCAAAGTTTCAGCTTCGAATTGATCAACCAATCCCTTTTTAGCATCTAACTGTTGCATCAAAACGTGCACCTGTTCATGTACCATTTGAGAGTTGTCACGCATGATACTTAGTAAGTCACGATGTTCATTGATACAATCTTCGCCACGTTTTAATTCATGCTGTAATCTTTCCACTTCAGCATTGCTTTGCGATAAACGTTTAGTTAAAGCAGCGACTGATGATTGATTTTCAGACATTATAACTTCGAACCTAAATAACGTTTTAAAAAATTATGTATATATATTAGATGATTGAAATAAGATGGAGACGTATTTCAAAAATATCTCGTTAGTAGAAAATATCAAGATCGGAAAGTTACAGGTCTGCGAAAATGTTCCAAAATCTATAAAATATTTGATAAATTTTGAGACTCCCACAAATTTCAGAAATCTGAATCCTGATTTTCGTTTAGCTATGTCACTTGAAATCATAATTATACATTGTGTATATGTACAAATTGTTATTTCTACAAAAAATCTAGTACCTCTTCCTTCTAGCCACCATCTCTGCCGCCTCTGCTCGAATCTGATCTTTTAAGGCTCGAAGTTCTCCTTTTTTTTCTGCTAATTCAGTTTCAGCTCGATCTAATTCCATTTGTAAACTTTGTCCAAAACTTTCCTAAATTTATTGAATCAATTATTTTAAAGGATTACTTGTAATTGAATACATGTACAAATATAAAATAAATTGTTATATTAACAAGGAATATTACATATATTCTGGATTACATTATAAAATTTACCTGCGTTTCTGCGGAACTCTTTAGTGCTTCGAGGGTTACGGAAAGTCTCGTAATTTCCACATCTTTCTGTGCAAGTTTTTCATCTAATGTCGTAATCCTTGCTTCTCTAAACATAGCGTTCACCTACATTAATAACTTCAATTTAAAAATTAAACATGAACGTTCTCATAAAATATTTGGTAAATATCATAGAAATTGCAGATTATAAAATTTAAAGAAATTTTGGAGAAGAAATAATGTACATGATAAAAATTCCTTGAGAGTAGTACATTTTTCTCAGCACATTGATCTGAATTCATGCCAGATATTAACAAGTATATATTTCATGCAAAATAAAAATAACAAATTTTGTACACTATAACCACAACTAAATATTTATTGATAATAAAACAAAGATAAATGAAATCAACAAAATTAATTAACATGCAATACATGCATACAAAACATTAAATAATTTAAAAATTAAGTATTAAATATTAAGAACATTAATAATATTGCAAAAGAAAATGTTATTTAAAAAATACCAAATTAAATATAAAATAATGAATTCAAAATAGACAATGAAGCACACCTGTTCAAATTCATTGATTTTATCTTTTAGCTGTGACACATGCTTAATTCTTTGCTGGTGATTATGTTGACTAACTGCCTCATCATATTTCTCATGAATCTCTTGATAATCTTTTAAGAGTTGCTGATTATATTTAGAGAGCGTTTTCATTTCTCTAAATGGGTAGAATTCCAATTACTATATTATTGTGGCATAAAATTAATACTCTAATCTCACAGAATGACACAACTCACCCTTCAATTGCTTCTCGACGGACTTTTTCTTCCTCAAGTTTCTCCATAATTGATTTTTCCAAACTTTTCCATTTGTTTCGTTCTTCTTCAAGTAATTTAGAATTTTCCTGTATAAATAAAATATTCTCGTAAATATGTATATCTATTATGTCTATACCCAGATGTATATATATAGGTATAATCTATAATATATATAATGTAAAATATAGATAACAATACAAATTTTGTACCATTTAGTATATGTCTATATGTTTAGATAAAAAAAGAAAAGAAAAATTCATTTTTTGTTATAGTTTGTTATGTTTTTGTAGTTGATGATAACCTCCCTAATCATAGCTAGTTCACCTACATTAATAACTTTACTTCAAAATTATACATAAATGTTCTTACAAGAGAGAATAAAATACTTGTGCAAATCGAAACTGAGAAGTAGAAGAAGATTTAAAGAAATTTCAAAAACCAAATATCACCTACATATAAAAATTTTTTCAGTGTAGTATGTTTTCCTTAACAAAACAAAAAATTTAATTGACACATTATTGAAAAGCACTCCATTAGTGACGTTTTTAATTTTACGCACGTGAGATCTGCTTACTTTCACCATTATCAGCGACCACTTTTTACTCTGTCCTCGCATTCGTACGATAAACTGCTAATATTTCTCTTGTAACTGACTCTGCATTCTCTACCATTTTATCAGCATGTTGCTAACTTTATTTTTTTTCTTCATCAAGATTTCTAACCGCTGCTTCTTTAATTTCAGCTATTTATTTATGATTTGCTATCATCGACTACAAAAATATATTAAAGTAAAACGAAAAATTTATCATTTATTACATTTAAAATTAAAATATATATGAAAAAATGAAACAATTTATGTACATTTTCTATCTCTTTCAAGTAACTTAATTTTTCATTTTCCAGGTACTGTTTTAATTTAAATGCTTCTTCATCATGGCGTTTCATTATATAATCTAAATCCACTTTGTGCTTGTTCAAAACAAGATTATGTTTTTCATTGGATTCTTCTAATTCTTGTTGCGCATGGTGTAAAGAATTACGAACCTATATCAAATAAAAAATGAGATAAATTTCCCTTTCATTGTGTAAATAACTATAACTTTTAATATTTACATTATTATAAAGTTCTTGAACTTCTACCAATCCTTCTACAAGGAATTTATTTTGCCCTTCAACATCTTTTACTTTAGCTTCAATTTCTATTCTACGCGATCGTTCCAATTGATTTTCATTTACGAGAATTATGTTCTCTTCTTCAAAATTGATTTTTAATTTATCAATTTCTTCTTGATATTTATATTTAACACTGTCCATTTGCTTCGAAGAATTTTCGACGAGATTTTCATATTCCGCTTTTAGTTCATCTAATTCACACTGAAGAGTAGATAATTGCGCTTGTAGTTCAAAAATGACGTTCTGTCGTTGTTGTAACTTCAGCTCCAATTGATCGCTTTCATCGGTTAAATCACTAATGTATGAATTGAGTTTGGTTTTTTCTTGCTCCAATAAATTAATTTCATGTTTATGGCTCACTGTTATCGTTTCTAATTTTGTTGTTAATTCTTCGATTTGTGCTTCAAGAGTTTGAACCTGTACACAACAAATTTTTTAATGATCTGAACTTTTAATATTTTTCAGTAATAATTCTCAGACTATATTTACCTTCTGTGTATTTGCGTATTTTTTTTCGGCCAATTCAGATTCTAAGCCAACTATTCTTTTTGAGAAATCTGCAATACGGTTCCTAAGATCGCCTTCCATAATTTTCCTTGCTTCGATTTCGCGTTCTTTCTCTTCTGATACTTCCGATAACTGGCAACGAAGATGCTTTACTTCGGTTTGATGCCTTTCATCGTAGCCATGTAAAACTTCTTGTTGCAATTTGGTCTATAAAGTACAATTATAAATAAAAATTTGCTGAAAATAAAATCATTGTGAAAAATATTTCACAACCATTGTTTCTATATCCTTTCTGTGTTGCTCTTCCACTTTCGCTTGCTTGTTTTGTAATTCATCGAGTTCCAATTCTAACTTTCGCACTTCTTGTTTCAAGTCCTCAACATGTCTTTCCAACTCTTGTATTGTTTTGTCTTTATTAGAACATTCTACTTGAAGGTCTGCGAGTTGATGCTCTGAATTGTATTTTAATTTTTGGTCGTTGGCAGAAATAAGCGCGCGAGGTTTTACCTTCTGGCTGGATCTCTGAATTTGTTCCCCATTATGTTTTCGTGGTAATTGTGGCTATAAATGAGTTGTTTTTCAAATTAAAATATCCTCTACAAACATCATCAATCAGTTTGGTACTTTATTTACCAGGAATGAGTTTTAATATGTAATTTTTTTTTTAACTGATCTTGATTTCTTACCGTTCTAAAACTGGCTACTATATTACTGGTGTTTTTAGTGCATACTGATAAATTGTACTCAGCACTTCCAATGCTTTTGTTATCATGAAATCTTTCTGATTTTTCAATAGCAAAACCTTTCACTTTACTGTCAATCTTCGGATCATAGGACCCTGGTGGAGGTACATCATCTGTAATAATTTTCCTTTTTGAAATAGAAATTGAAGAACAAGAGAAAACATGTTCTATTTCTGTTTCTTTTCTATTTTCTATATAAATAACATGTTGAACATAGATAGGTTTTAATTATTCTGGCAATTGCTTAAGGATCAAATTCATTTTATTCTTCAAATATTTGAAAAAATGTTCATTCCATTAGATTAATAGTATATTGAACATTCGAAAAAGTAAAAGAGCTAATAATACATGTAAAAACAATAAAAAGGATTCCCATTTCAGGTGAAAATAGTTTACAATCATAATGAGAGCAAATTTCTTGATGCAGGGGCTTGTTTGTCTGAGAACATTGAAATACCAGGTACAGCCTGCAATAATCTGTATCTATTCAACGTGAAATACAATCCAATTTTTTGGACTGACTTATTTCATAATTAACTTATCTTAATAATATCATGTATTAATTATCATAATTCTTATAAAATAAACACTAACAAAGATTGTACAACTAAGAGAAGTTAAGTACTATACGTGTGTGTGTATATATATATATAGATAAACATTATTTCATATTAATATTTATATGTTTTACATCACTTACTTCTGGCCAAATAATGGCGATCTTTTAGATACTCGATAACTTCCAGAAGATTTCAAAATACAATAATTATTAACGAGGTAATAGTACAATAAACATGTTTATACAAGATTGTATATATATATCGTAAGGGTACCAAAATATAGGAATAAAGTAATAAATTTACTTACTTTCACATTCGTTAAATCGTTGTATCCGTGCTTTAGAAAATGACATTTTCAAACGTTTTTAATATTCCTCCTTTTAATTTTAACTTCTGTCAACGAGAGGAAAATTACTATCTTAATTCCTAGTCAGAACCAAATACTTTTTCATGAGGACTCTTTCTCCGATTTCAAATGACGGTTATACAAATTGAACAATGAAAGAGTGACGAATCAATGGATACATATTGTACAGCCACCAATCCGGTAATTGCTGTATCTCTACCACCAATTAGTCACCTTTAGTGCTATGGCACTCTAAAGGCAATGTCAAATTTGCAGGTAAATTTAAATTTAATTCATTTCTTCATTATATTACTCTTAACGTTAATTACTCTTCTTATTTCTATTATATCAGGCATGCAAATGATCAGTATGTGATAGTAGCAAAGTTCTTGCAGTGTCTATACATTTTATACCATTGACTTTAATTACAGGTCTTGTAAAAGCAGGTTCTGTCAACTGCTGCACACGATCTGATAATGAAGTGCTTTGCGTATGAAACATTATTTTTATTTCCATTAAATGTAAGCAAATTGAAATTTAAGTTAAGTAAATTTTCATTATATTAAAAATTTATATAGTATGTAAAACTGTTCATATGCATCAACATAACGTTTATTGCCATTGTTTTATTAATTATTTTTGAAACACTACGAATAAGACACATTGAAGAATTTGTTTAACATTTATGCTTCTATGACAGACAGAAAATAAATTAAAATGTCACATTTTTCATTCTATATTAACAGCAGATATAATTTAAACATAAAATAAGACCGAATAATATAATGCATATTTTACAATCCCCTGTAAATGGTTTTATAAACTAATATGTAGTAAGTGCTTTCTTATCACGAACACGTTACAGTTGAGCAGACAACATATGAAGCTTATTGGTTTATTAAATACAAAACGTAGTATTTGACGCAAAAATGTTTCGATTTGAATATTTCCAACAAATTTAAAAATAATGAATAAATGTTTCAAAAATCTTATTATATATGCTCTTCAAATATTTTTCTAAACAAAATTAATTTCTTTAATATATGAATTGTATAACCTTTTAATATTAAATATTTTGCATATTATATTTTTAACATCTATAAGTCCGTACCGAGGAGTCTTTTAATTTTTCCATGTACGAAGTCGTAATATAAAATTTTAATGAAATACTTATGTTTCTTTTAAATATATCCAATATTATATTTGTTAATTATAATATTTTATAGGTCCACTATATTTTCTAAAACATAAATTTTTAACTTTAAACATATAATGACAGAAGTTTTTAGTACGTTCCTGATTCGTAGTAGAGATATAGCTGTTACCAGATTGGTTGATTGTGCAACATGTACGTTGATTCGTCATTCGTCTATTGTACAATTCGTGTAACCGTCATTTCAAATCAGAGAAAACGGTGAAATAGTGAGCACGAAAAAGTATTTGGCACTGACCAGGAAGTGGAGTAATAATTATTCCTTCGCAGACAAAGAGTGAAGTTCAAGGAACGTAGACGTGTAATATATTGAAAACGTAAGAAAATGTCATTTTCCAAAGCGCGGATACAACGATTTAACGAATGTGAGAGTAAGTAAATGTATTATTTTATTTCTATCTTTTCTTAGTATGTGTATGATATATATATATTATCTTGCGTAAACATGTACTGTACTTTTAACAAATTAGTAATTTGTTTATTTTAAAATCTTTTTGAAGTTAATGATTAAATATAGGTTCTATACACAATATTTGGCGGGAAGTAAATTAATGATGTAGAACATATAAAAATTGATACGAAATACTTTTTATATATATCTATAGACGCATGCATAATATTTATATTTTTCTTAGTTATATAATATTTATTATTATTTATTTTCTTGGAATTATGATAATTGACAAATATTGTTATTAATATAAGTTGATTATAAAATAAATTAATATAAAAAATTGGATTGTATTTCACGTTGAATAGATACAGATTATTGCAGGCTGTACCTGGTATTTCAATGTCCTCAGACAAACAAGCTTTTGCATCAAAAAATTTGCTCTCATTATGATAGTAAACTATTTTCACCTGAAATAGGAATCCTTTTTGCTATTTTTACATGTATTATTAGCTCTTTTACTTTTTCGAATGTTCAATATACTATTAATCTAATGGAATGAACATTTTTTCAAATATTTGAAGAATAAAATGAATTTGATCCTTAAGCAATTGCCAGAATAATTAAAACCTATCTATGTTCAACATGTTATTTATATAGAAAATAGGAAAGAAACAGAAAAAGAACATGTTTTCTCTTGTCCTTCAATTTCTATTTCAAGAAGGAAAATTATTACAGATGATGTACCTCCACCAGGGTCTTATGATCCAAAGATTGACAGTAAAGTGAAAGGTTTTGCTATTGAAAAATCAGAGAGATTCCATGATAACAAAAGCACTGGAAGTGCTGAGTGCAATTTATCAGTATGCACTAAAAACACAAATAATGTAGTAGCCAGTTTTAGAACGGTAAGAAATCAAGACCAGTTTAAAAAAAAGATTACATATTAAAACTTATTCCTGGTAAATAAAGTACCAAACTGATTGATGATGTTTGTAGAGGATATTTTAATTTGAAAAACAACTCATTTATAGCCACAATTACCACGAAAACATAATGGGGAACAAATTCAGAGATCCAGCCAGAAGGTAAAACCTCGCGCGCTTATTTCTGCCAACGACCAAAAATTAAAATACAATTCAGAGCATCAACTCGCAGACCTTCAAGTAGAATGTTCTAATAAAGACAAAACAATACAAGAGTTGGAAAGACATGTTGAGGACTTGAAACAAGAAGTGCGAAAGTTAGAATTGGAACTCGATGAATTACAAAACAAGCAAGCGAAAGTGGAAGAGCAACACAGAAAGGATATAGAAACAATGGTTGTGAAATATTTTTCACAATGATTTTATTTTCAGCAAATTTTTATTTATAATTGTACTTTATAGACCAAATTGCAACAAGAAGTTTTACATGGCTACGATGAAAGGCATCAAACCGAAGTAAAGCATCTTCGTTGCCAGTTATCGGAAGTATCAGAAGAGAAAGAACGCGAAATCGAAGCAAGGAAAATTATGGAAGGCGATCTTAGGAACCGTATTGCAGATTTCTCAAAAAGAATAGTTGGCTTAGAATCTGAATTGGCCGAAAAAAAATACGCAAATACACAGAAGGTAAATATAGTCTGAGAATTATTACTGAAAAATATTAAAAGTTCAGATCATTAAAAAATTTGTTGTGTACAGGTTCAAACTCTTGAAGCACAAATCGAAGAATTAACAACAAAATTAGAAACGATAACAGTGAGCCATAAACATGAAATTAATTTATTGGAGCAAGAAAAAACCAAACTCAATTCATACATTAGTGATTTAACCGATGAAAGCGATCAATTGGAGCTGAAGTTACAACAACGACAGAACGTCATTTTTGAACTACAAGCGCAATTATCTACTCTTCAGTGTGAATTAGATGAATTAAAAGCGGAATATGGAAAGCTTGTCGAAAATTCTTCGAAGCAAATGGACAGTGTTAAATATAAATATCAAGAAGATATTGATAAATTAAAAATCAATTTTGAAGAAGAGAACATAATTCTCGTAAATGAAAATCAATTGGAACGATCGCGTAGATTAGAAATTGAAGCTAAAGTAAAAGATGCTGAAGGGCAAAATAAATTCCTCGAAGAAGAATTAGTAGAAGTTCAAGAACTTTATAATAATGTAAATATAAAAAATCATAGTTATAACAGTAAAAGGAAAATTTATATCATTTTTTATTTGATATAGGTTCGTAATTGTTTACGCCAGGCGCAACAAGAACTAGAGGAATCTGATAAAAAACATAATCTTGTATTGAAAAAACACAAAGAGGACTTACATAATATAATGAAACTTCATGATGAAGAAACATGTAAATTGAAACAGCAATTGGAAAATGAAAGATTGTATTATGTGAAAGAGATAGAAAATGTACATAAATTTTTTCATTTTTTCATACATATTTTAATTTTAAATGTAATAAGTGATTTTTCGTTATACTTTATTATGTGTTTGTAGTTGATGATAGCAAAGCATAAAGAGATAGCTGAAATTAAGGAAGCAGCTATTAAACAGATTGATGAAGAAACGAAGCGAGTTAAGCAACATGCTGATAAAATAATAGAGAATGCAGAGACAGTTACTAGAGAAACATTAGCAGCTTGTCGTAACGAATGCGAAGAAAGAGTAAAAAGAGTGATTGCTGATAACGATGCAAAAGTAAGAGGATCTTATGTGTGTAAAATTACGAACATGACCGACTGAGTGCTTTTCACTAATGTTTCAATACAAAATTCTTGTTTTATCAAGGAAAAGGTACTACACTGAAAAAATTTTTATATGTGGGTGCTATTTGTTTTTCGAAATTTCTTCAAATTTTTTACTTTGTAGTTTCAGTGATGTTTCTTTTCTTTTTGGTTTAAACATATAGACATATATAAAATAGTACAAAATTTGTATTGTTATACTTAAGTGCACACATAATAGATACACATATTTATGCGGATATGATATTCATACAGGAAAATTCTAAATTACTTGAAGAGGAACGAAACAAATGGAAAAGTTTGGAAAAAGCAATTATGGAGAAACTTGAGGAAGAAAAAGTCCGTCGAGAAGCAGTTGAAGGGTGAGTTGTGTCATTCTGTGAGAGTAGATTATTAATTTTATGCCACAATAACATAGTAATTGGAATTCTACCCATTTAGAGAAATGAAAACGCTCTCTAAATATAATCAGCAACTCTTAAAAGATTATCAAGAGATTCATGAGAAATATGCTGAGGTAGTTGGTCATCATAATCACCGACAAAGAATTAAGCATGTGTCTCAGCTGAAAGATAAAATCAGTCAACTTGAACAGGTGTGCTTCGTTATCTATTTTGAATTCGTCATTATTTTATATTTGATGTGGTATTTTTTTAATAACATTTTCTTTGTAATATTATTAATGTTTTTAATATTTAATACTCAGTTTTTCAATTATTTAATGTTTTGTATGTGTGTATTGCATGTTAATTAATTATGTTGATTTTATTCGTCTTTGTTTTATTATCAATAAATATGTACTCATGGTTATAGTGTGCAAAATTTGTGTTATTTTTACTTTGCACGAAATATATACTTGTTTATCTTTTGCATGGATTCAGATCCGTAGTTGTAAATTATTTGTTTTCATGATTGCTTTGCATGAGTATTAATGAATACATATATGTCTTATTGAAAGAACTAAATATATACAAATAGATTCTTTCTATTTTTCAAGTAGAGTTATTTAATTTTATGTTCATCTATCCAGTTACTAACGTGAGCTTTTTTCAGGTTTAGATGTTACTGTATGATGGATGATATGTTGGTTGTTTATAAAATAAACCTGATGAAACGTAATATGTTTTTCAGGACTTACATGCCAAGATGAGGACGATAGAACAACAACAAAAAATAATCGAAAAGCTGAAAACAGAAGAAAAATGTTCGTATAGTAAAGGGAAGGAGAACATCATAGGAATACCAAAGAACACTCACACGACTCCCGTTTCTACTCCTCATAAACTACTAACGCCATTACGAAATCGGAATGAATAATCGTAGTATAGTTATGTCGTTTGTTTATGATTATCATAAACTAGTGTTAATAGTAATTGTTATATTAGTAATTGTCATACAATCATTCATACTGTAATTTATATAAATATGTATTTTGGTAATGGTTCTTCTATTAGGTATAAACTTATGAGTCATTATGTGGTTAACTATTTTGCTAGAATACATATTTACAATTTTAAGATTACCAAACTTAGCAAACTTAATATCAAATTTAATATTTTATATGAAGTAAAATGTATTTGTTAAGTTAATTTAGAAGTCTGTTATAATGATATTTAGTTCTAATGTTTATGTATTTAAACAATATTGACTGCTTTAACGTACATTCCGTTCATAAGATCGATATTAAAAGGAAATGAATTTGGTTTATTTGACGGATCTGTTTATATTTAACAGTTTAATATGTTTAATATTATAGGAAAACAGATTTTATAATATATCTTTGTGATTTATAAATATTTCCCAATTTTTGCAATATTTTATTAAGTTTTATATATAAATGAATTTTGTCGCATACTTTTCTGTGTATGACTTAATATACTATTGGATTTATGGAAAACATTTATAAAACAAAAGACGCTTGGTTTCCTATATTTAGTTTTAATGTAAAATTATGGTGTTCAATTGTCGAATATTTGACATGGGTTTTCCTCATGCACTACTCCTAGATTATTAGGGAAACGACTTGTGATTTCCATGATAGGTAATCGTAAACGATTATATGAAAATAGTTACTCTTTTTCTGTATTAATTGATTTCATTTATAATGTGAACGGGTGTGAAAGGGAATCACAGATAGTTGACACCTCGTATACTCAGAATAATAAAAGATATATTTGTGTATTTTCTTAATATTTTAATTCCTTCAAAGTAAATAAAAATCATTTATACATATTTCAGTGTTGTTTTATAATGTGTTGTGTGGTAATTTATTAAAATAGTGATTTAAATTTCTTTTTATGTTCATTTTTACTGTATATATTTGCTCAATAAATGAATACATTTTTACAAATAAATTACATCAACATCAAAAAAGCAAATGTGAATTTTATAAAGTTTAAACGAAGTGATTTGCTATGCGTGATAGTTCTTTACGAAATTCAAATTTTCGTCCTGTCGCGGGCTTTGTAAAGCTAAGCCTCTCGGCCAATCCGCTGACAGTGAGATAGCGTCATGACACGGCGGATCATTCTACTGTTGAAAGTGGCAATTGTTGGATGTGTTATCTAATTTCAGGTATGTATCTTATCGCGTATATTATATGTATATTTATATGTCGCGTCAAACTTCCATTTCTATCGTTTTATCCTTTATATGGCAGTATTATTTTAGTCCGGTTAGTATATGCTTATTTAATAACTTTTTGTATGTCATTCGTACATAATCCGATAATTTTTCGAGCTTTCCGATGTTTCATTCTTCAGTTTGATCATTGTCGTTACCAATAGCTTTCACAACGGAAATATCGGCTTTTTGAATGAAATTCAAATATGATTATTCTTCCATTTAAATATAATTCTTGATAGTTTTATAGATTTGTGCTAAATGTATAATTTTCGTTTGTGCAGATTATTAGTTGATTGTAAGGATCACGTGGAACATATTGGATGCGTCAAAGAACATATTGGAGAACGAAGTAATGGACACTATGATGGTTTGTTTTCGAATCTACTAACTTTTCGTGAAGATCTGGTAATGTTAAATTTAAAGTAAATTTAGTATTTTTATTTATTTAGAAATCGAATTCACATTTTACAGTATTTCAGTCGCAAATATTTTGCAACTTCGTCATAATTTAGCTTTCAGCAATAATTTTTATTATTTTTACGAAAAAATAGCAATTACAGACGCATTTAATTTTCAAACGCAAATTTGAAAAGTGTTACTGTGTATTATCATCCCACAGTACGCATGCGCAGTCAAAATGCGCAGACCAACAGCGCAATCTGATCGCGTAGATATTTTAAATTCAGTTATATCACATTTACATCGTTTTTAATTGTTTGACAAGTTCAAGAAATTTTGTATAATAATTATGATTTATTTCTGTTATACCTGATTATTTCAAATAGGTTTTCTATTTCCTATTTTTATCAACAAAACAAGTAATGATCCGTTATAACTTCAGAAATACAGCAGTACGTTCTTTAACATATGTTTAGCAGGGAGAATAACTCCATACCATTTCTCACTCCCCACTAATGCTCTTCTTTCAGGAATATTCGTGTGGCCGCGCGCGGTGCCACGCTCAGAGTCAGTGTGTTTTTACGTATCGAATTTTTTAAGAACCCAATAACTCTTGCTAAATACAATTACAATAGCCAAATGCGAATTTAGAGTCAGTATTTGTTCACCGATTGAAATTTAAACGGACATGTTAATAATCTTTTATTTTTCTCTTTATTCATACCTGCTTTTTTTTAAAATATTCGTTACCGGTGTTAGAGTCAACCCGGTCCTAAAAAGAATCCATGGGTGCTTCATAGGTGAAGATTGTATGTACGTAAGTATCTTTGGATCTTGTAATTTCATTAATTTCAGTCTTTTCATTCGTCTTAAGTATTATTAATTACGAATTGTAAAGAATAAAAATGTCAAGAGTCTGATGGGTTTCGAAATATTGTATTAATCATTTTTCGATTAAAGTCTACATTTTCAGGACAATAAACATGCTTAGTATTGCTGTACGAACGAAATATCATTTTCTTTTCTTTAACTTTCTAATTATCGATGATTCTATTTTTTATGTCAATGAAAGTGTGCAATTTTAATACGTGAATGGTAGAAAAATAATGTCTCACGTAATTTTCTCTTTTTCTTCTAGGTTTAGATTCCTATGTCGATTTTTTCTTTAAATCCCTTTTGCTGTGTATTTTCAAAGTTTGAACATTTTTCAAACATGCAGCAAAAGTGAAATTTATTTGAATATTAATATATTTTTCTCAAAAAGTGGGTGAACGGGACGTGGTTAGGGTGGGTCTCCACTCGCAGCACCTCCACGTGGTGATACCTGCGCAATCGGTATTATTTGATATATAATTCCTCGTTGTATCACTATAATTATATCATATACAGCTAATAGCCATGATACAAATATGAATTATATATCAAGTAATATGAGCTAATAGGCTGCGATCTTGCTGTCGTAGATTATCACGTATTGGGTTAGAGGAAAGTGATCGGTTAGAATTCCTCTTGTATTTATATTATATATACATAATTTTCATACGTAGATCAATTAAAATAGCGATCATCGAAGTTTATACTATTTATCTAGTATAAGTTATGTGCCTATTTACATCTATTTTTAAAAAATTGTGAAATTCTTGAGGTAATATACTTTTTCATGGCATCCACAAATATATATTTTGACTTCCTGTCAACATTGAAGATCATCCTAATATTGTTTCTCGATGGTTTCTTCGTCAGAAAAGCCTATAGAATACGCTACTGTAGAGGAAATTCGTGTCAGATAATGAACTTTTTGTAAAAATGCAAGAATATACGTAGAAAGTACGCTCGGAGGCTTATTTTTAAACTTTGACAACCAATTATAGTTATTCAGAGGCACAAATATCATAATTATAAATACGGACATTAGTAAATTTGGAATACTTTCACTTAACTTTTAAGACAACAATGAACCTCCTAACATTCTTACTTTTTATATAATATTCCAATTTAGCTAAAAATTATGCGTGTTTAGAAAAACTGACAATTTTCAAAAACTGAGAGCGATAGAACAATTTTGATTACGGATTTGTTTTCAGGAAAGTAAACTCTACAAGAATTACTCAGTGGATATTATAAATTAAAGAAAAAGTTAATATTTATCGGACAGGGTAATCGGTCCTTTAAAACGGCTTAATTAGTTGGTAACGTATAAATTGCCAATTTTCGATTATAGAAAAATATATATAGTTGCTATAAATAGTTGCCAATATTTTCAAATCTGCCTATATAGATTCATACTCTATATCGCAAAAGGAAAATACAGTTAATATAGCAAGCATACATCATTGATGACTTCAAGATTTTTTGATTGATGCTCTAATAATTTATTAAGTTCTTCTATTGCTATTTCACGTTCTTTCAATTGTTCATTAAGTTTGCTATTAAGCAATTCTACCCGAGAAATTTCGATTTCCTGAGCATCGTTTCTCTCCTCCAGTTTAAGTAGCATGGTTTGTGCTTCAGCAAGATGCTTAACCATTTCGTGAAGTTGATTTTTCATCTAGTGTTTTCAATTAAATATTAATTTGTTTTACTTGTTAAATAATTATTCTTATTATATTTAAACAATTATTTAATGACTTGTATCCTTACCTCAATATTTTGAGCGGTTTTTGCATCACTTTCCGCCTGTAGTTTTTGAACTTCTCTTGTTGCTATTTTTCTTAAATCATCGATTTTAGCTTCGAATATAACTTTTAGTGTTTCCACTTCACTCAAAGTTTCAGCTTCGAATTGATCAACCAATCCTTTTTTAGCATCTAATTGTTCCATCAAAACATGCACCTGTTCATGTACCATTTGAGAGTTGTCTCGCATGATACTCAATAAGTCACGATGTTCGTTGATACAATCTTCGCCACGTTTTAATTCATGCTGTAATCTTTCCACTTCAGCATTGCTTTGCGCTAAACGTTTAGTTAAAGCAGCGACTGATGCTTGATTTTCGGCCATTATAACTTCGAATCTAAATAACGGTTTAAAAAATTATGTACATATACTAAATGTTTGAGTCGAAATAAGGTTGTATTTCGAAAATATCAAGGTCCTCGAAAATTTTCGGGTCTTCAAAATTGTTCGCGTGTTCTACAATTTCTAAAATGTTCTGGAAAATTTTTAAACCCTCAAAAATTTCAAGAATCTAAATCTTAATTTTGGTTTAGTTATATATTGTATATGTGTAGATATTATTATTTCTACAAAGAATTTTATAGTACCTCTTCCTTCTAGCCACCATTTCCGCCGCCTCTGCTCGAATTTGATCTTTCAAGGCTCGAAGTTCTTCTTTTTTTTCTGCTAATTCAGTTTCAGCTCGATCTAATTCCATTTGTAAACTTTGTCCAAAACTTTCCTAAATTTATGGAACCAATTATTCTAAAGGATTACTTGTAATTGAATACATGTACAAATATAAAATAAACTGTTATATTAAGAAGGAATATTACATATACTCTGGATTACATTATAAAAGTTACCTGCGTCTCTGCTGAACTCTTTAATGTTTCAAGGGCCAAGGAAAGTCTCGTAATTTCATCATCCTTCTGTGCTAGTTTTTCGTCCAATACCGTAATCATTGTCTCTCTCATCATAGCGTTCACCTACATTAATAACATCATTTTACAAATTATGCATAAATACTCTTGTAAAAGAATATAAAATACTCAAAAAACATCACAGAAATTGCAATATAGAAAATTTTAAGGAATTTCAGAAAAGAAATAGCGTCTACATATAAAAATTCTTGAAGTGTAGTACGTTTTCCCTAATAAAGCAAATAAAGATTTCAATGGAACATTAGAAAAGATTATTCAGTCAGTGATGTTTTTCATTTTACCCACACGTGATCCGCTTACTTTTGCGTCGCTATCAGCGATCACTCTTTTTACTCTTTCCTCGCATTCAATACGACAAGCTGCTAATGTTTCTCTAGTAACTGCCTCTGCATTTTCTACTATTTTATCAGCATGTTGCTTAATTCGCTTCGTTTCTTCATCAATCTTTTTAATCGCTGCTTCCTTAATTTCAGCTATCTCTTTATGCTTTGCTATCATCAGCTACAAAAATATAACAAAGTATAACAAAAATGTATCATTTATTACACTTAAAATTAAAATATATATGAAAAAAATGAAACACTTTATGTACATTTTCTACTTCTTTCACATAATTCACTCTTTCATTTTCCAATTGCTGTTTCAATTCATATGTTTCTTCATCATGAAGTTTCATTATATTATGTAAGTCCTCTTTGTGTTTTTTCAAAACAAGATTATGTTTTTTATCAGATTCCTCTAGTTCTTGTTGCGCCTGGCGTAAACAATTACGAACCTATATAAAATAAAAAATGAGATAAATTTTCCTTTTATTGTTATAACTATGATTTTTTATATTTACATTATTATAAAGTTCTTGAACTTCTACTAATTCTTCTTCGAGGAATTTATTTTGCCCTTCAGCATCTTTTACTTTAGCTTCAATTTCTAATCTACGCGATCGTTCCAATTGATTTTCATTTACGAGAATTATTTTCTCTTCTTCAAAATTGATTTTTAATTTATCAATATCTTCTTGATATTTATATTTAACACTGTCCATTTGCTTCGAAGAATTTTCGACGAGATTTTCATATTCCGCTTTTAGTTCATCTAATTCACACTGAAGAGTAGATAATTGCGCTTGTAGTTCAAAAATGACGTTCTGTCGTTGTTGTAACTTCAGCTCCAATTGATCGCTTTCATCGGTTAAATCACTAATGTATGAATTGAGTTTGGTTTTTTCTTGCTCCAATAAATTAATTTCATGTTTATGGCTCACTGTTATCGTTTCTAATTTTGTTGTTAATTCTTCGATTTGTAGATGCTTTACTTCGGTTTGATGCCTTTCATCGTAGCCATGTAGAACTTCTTGTTGCAATTTGGCCTATACAGTACAATTATAAATAAAGAATTTGCTGGAAAATAAAATCACCGCGAAAAATATTTCACAACCATTGTTTCTATATCCTTTCTGTGTTGCTCCTCCACTTCCGCTTGTTTCTTTTGTAATTCTTTGAGTTCCAATTCTAACTTTCGCACTTCTTGTTTTAAATCCTCAACATGTTTTTCCAACTCTTGTATTGTTTTGTCTTTATTAGAACATTCTACTTGAAGGTCTGCGAGTTGATGCTCTGAATTGTATTTTAATTTTTGGTCGTTGGCAGAATTAAGCGCGCGAGGTTTTACCTTTTGGCTAGATCTCTGAATTTGATTCCGATTTTGTTTTCGTGGTAATTGTGGCTAAAAATACGTTGTTTTTCAAATTAAAATATTTCCTACAAACATCATCACTTTTTTTGATCCTTGAGTTATCAGAAGAGATTTGTAATATATAATTTTTTTTTAATTGATCTCGATTTCTTACCGTTCTAAAACTGACTACTACATTATTTGTGTTTTTAGTGCATACTGATAAATTGCACTCAGCACTTCCAACGCTTTTGTTGTCATGAAATCTCTCTCTTTTTTCAATAACAAAACCTTTCACTTTACTGTTAATCTTCGGATCGTACGACCCTGGTGGAGGTACGTCATCTGTAATAATTGTCCTTCTTGAAATAGAAATTGGGGAACAAGAGAAAACATGTTATATTTCTGTTTCTTTTTCCGTATAAATAACATGATAAACATTGATAGGTGTTAATTATTTGGTCAGTTGCTTAAGAATCAATTTCATTTTACTCTTCGAATATTTGAGAAAAATGTTCGTTCCATTAGATTAATAATATATCGAATATTCGAAAAAATAAGAGAGTTAGTAATACATGTAAAAATTGCGAAGAGGATTCCAATTTCAGAAAGAGTTAGTTTACAATCGAAATGAGAGCAAATGAAAGACAGCTGTTTCTAAATGCAGAGACTTGTTTCTATGGGGACATTGAATTACCAGGTGTACCCTGTAACGTCCAGACCTTTCATAGTTCCGTAACGAAATCGACCCTATATCGTACCATCCATCGTGTACCCCTCTTCCTCTCATGCTAACACGTAATATTTAAAAATTAAATGACTTTATTTATATTTTCTTTAAATTGAATGTAGTAGTATCAACAATTTTTTCAAATATCACGAAAATCAAAGTCTGTATGATAATTATTGTTCTAATAAAAATTCTTCAGAATTTCGTCTTCTATAACATATTTCAAAATCATTTAGATGGCTATGTATTCTACAGTTTAAAGTACATTGTTTTCAAGTTTCCCTGATCTTGTATATTTCTTATTACTGCAAAAATACAACATTTTTATAAAAAAAAAAATGCAGGAAGAAATAAATAGGTGTAGAGCACAGTCACTAAAATAAATTTTTATCCAAGACAACATTTTTATTATTGTGAAATAAAAAGTGACATTAACATAAATTCACATTTCGATACATAGTTAAAACAACACGAAGTATTTAACAAATTGACAACTACCTATCAAATAAAAAGTTAACAATCTATATCTATTCGACGTGAAATACAATAAAATTATGTATATTAGCTTATTTTATAATTAACTTAAATTAATAATATTATTTGTTAATTACCGTAATTCTAAAAAAATGAACAGTAACAAAGATTATACGACAACTAAGAAAAATATAAATATTATGCATGTGTCTATAGGTATAAATAAACAACATTTCGCATTAATATTTATATGTTCGATGTCATTAATTTACTTCGCGCCAAATATTGTGTATAAAGTCTAACATACCATTAACTTTCAAAAGATTTTAAAATAAACAAATTATTAATTTGTTAAAAATACAATAAACATGTTTACACAATATAGTACATATGTATATCGTATACATACTAAAAGATAGGAATAAAATAATATATTTACTTACTTTCACATTCGTTAAATCGTTGTATCCGCGCTTTGGAAAATGACATTTTCAAACGTCTTTAATGTATTACACGTCTGCCTCTCTTGAACTTTAATCTTTGTCTGCAAGGGAAATATTACTACCCCACTTCTTAGTCAGTGCCAAATACTTTTTCATGCTCACTCTTTCACCGTTTTCTCCGATTTGAAACGACGGTTATACAAATTGAACAATAGGCGAATGACGAATCAACGTGTACATATTGCACAACCAACCAATCAGATAACAGCTATATCTCTACTACGATTCAGGGACGTACCAATAACGTGTATTATTAAAGTTAAAAATTTATGTTTTAAAAAAAAAGCGAACCCATAAAATATTATAATTACTAAACATAATATTGAATATATTTAAAAGAAACATAAGTATTTCATTAAAATTTTATATTACGACTACGTACATGGAAAAATTAAAAAACTTTTCGGCACGGACCTGTAGATGTTAAAAACATAATATGCAAAATATTTAATACTAAAAGGTTATATAATCTATGTATTAAATAAATTAATTTTGTTTAGAAAAACATTTGAAGAGCACAAATAATAAGATTTTCAAAATATTTATTCATTATTGTAAAATTTGTTGGAAATATTCAAATTGAAACATTTTTGCGTCAAATGCCACGTTGTATTGAATAGACCAATAAGCTTCCTACGTTATCTGCTCAACTGTAACGTGTTCGTGATAAGAAAGCAGTTACAACATATTAGTTTATAATACTATTTACAATGGATTGTAAAATATGTATTATATTATTCGGTCTTATTTTAAGTTTAAATTATGTCTGCTGCCAATATAGAATGAAAAATGTGAATATTTAATTTATTTTCTGTTACTGTCATAGATATTGAAATGTTAAATCAATTGTCCAATTTGTTTTATTCATACTGTCTCAAAAATTATTAATAAAGCAATCACAATAAACATTATTGTTAGTGCATTTGAACAGTTTTACACAATATTTAAAATTTTAACGTAACGAAAATTTATTTAACCTAAATTTCAATTTGCTTACTTTTAATGTAATGTAAATAAAATAATGTTTCAGACTCAAAGTTCCTCATTATCAGATCGTGTGCAACAGTTAACAGAACTGGCTCTTACAAGACCTGTAATTAAATTCAATGGTGCAAAATTTAAAGAATATATTAAGACTACTCCAAGAAATTATTCTGTTGTCGTAATGTTTACTGCTATGGCACCCCAAAGACAGTGTCAAATTTGCAGGTAAATTTTAAGTCATTTTTTCATTTTATTACTTGTAATGTTAATTACTCTTCTTATTTTTATTGTATCAGGCATGCAAATGATGAATTTGTGATAGTAGCAAACTCATTCAGATATTTACAATCTCATTCAAAGAAATTATTCTTTGCATCTGTAGATTTTGATGAAGGATCAGATGTATTTCAAATAGTATGTAAAATATCATACGTTATAATATATACATATATATATATTATCACATTATATTGTATTAAATTTATAATAGATGCGATTAAATACTGCACCAGTATACATGCATTTTCCACCGAAAGGCAAACCAAAGCCTGCAGATACTATGGATATTCAAAGAGTAGGATTTGCAGCAGAAGCAATTGCAAAGTGGATCTCTGAACGTACTGATATTCAGGTAGTTATCTACATACATGCATGAATGTTTAATAATTAAAAATTGTAATAATATGCTTAAACCATATTACAGATCAGAGTATTCAGACCACCAAACTATTCTGGTACAATTGTAATAATAATGTTACTAGTACTCATTGGAGGATTTTTATATCTGAGACGTAATAATTTGGATTTCATTTATAATAAAACAATTTGGGGACTTAGTGCATTGGTAAAAATCATAATTATAAAAATACTTAATCATATTACTCCTTATAACAATCTTTTTTAAACAGTTCTTCACGCTTACAATGATATCTGGACAAATGTGGAACCATATCAGAGGTCCACCATATACACATAGTACATCTAGCGGAAATGTAGTTTATATACATACTTCATCTCAAGGCCAATTTATTTTAGAAACATATATTGTTATGGTTTTAAGTATCCTTTTTATTAAAGTATATAAATAATAATTTGCAAAAGGTACAAAGCTAGTTGCATAGCGGTTAAGTAGGTTTACATTATTGTTATTTTTGTAGTTCATCCAATTAATACAGGAATCAGTATCTTTGTTAAATTATTAAACGTATTTTTTATTATTGAAAAATTATATATTAATCACAGAACTATATTAGATTTTATATCGACATATTTTTATTTTTTGTTTCGAAAAACGAAGTCTGTTTGTTACCATAGAACTTTTATAACTTTATTATATCCATTTTGCAATCCATATATAAATTGTTGATGAGTTTTCTTAATAAAATTAAATTAGATGGAGCAGTGGTATTAGGTATGATTTTAATGACCGAAGCCGCGTCACGAAAGGGTGATGTGAAGAAGCGACGAATATTTGCAGCAATAGGTGCTGGATTGGTTGCTATTTTCTTTAGCTTGCTATTGTCAATATTTAGGAACAAAGCACAGGGTTATCCATATAGGTATAATAGTTTTTAAAATTTATATTTTATTTTTAAGTAATAAAATGTTATCTTCATTTTGGAGTATGTTAACATATTTATAAAGATATTAGTCTTCAAAATATATACATTTAATATATTTAGGTAAATATATTAACATACTCCACTTATATTCTTATGAACATAACTATTATTTCGTATCCCAGGGAGGAATAACTGGTTTGTTTCAGCTTACTATTCAAGTAAAAGGATTAATATAGGACATCATTATTTGTATATATTACAAAGAAAACTTTCAACATACCTGTCAAGATAAAAAATTTAGGCTATGTATGGTAAAGAAATATTTTAGTTCCAATTACTGTTAAAGTGTTGTATTTTAATCACAATTGAAATTTGTTTGTATGTACTGTAAAATAAATTAATATTTAAAGTTACATATTTTTTAACATAATTTGTTTAAAATGTTATAAAAATATGTATATTATTATAAAAACAGTAAACATTTTTTTGTTACAGTTAAGTTATTACAATCAGATGTGCAAGTTACACAATGTCTATTTATACAATTTTTATAATTATAATTATTTCAGATTATAATTAATTCTTAAATGTTTTATAGAAATAACTAAGATTTTTATAACAATAGTGTATAATATCGAGAATCTTGTAATATTTAAATACTTAAAAAATATAAGGAAGTAGAATTTTTCGAGATTTTGGATAATTTTTGAATGTTTGTATATACCACTTATGAGTGAATACAGCAGTGCATGTCTAAAATAAAAGAAGTGAGTTATTACTCTGATATAATTTATATTTTAAGAGTGTTACATAATTATTATATTTATACCTGATTAATTAGAACCCAAATTGTAATATAATGATAGGTAGAACTTTGCCATAAGATTATAGAGAGTGTTACATAAATAATCATCTCTGTGATTTGTAATGCACCTGATATATATTCAAAAAGACCACCATATGGTATTTTATAGACTGTGGAATTAATCTTTCCATCTTTGTTTTGTCGTAAATTACTAAGAATAAAATTTGTTTTGAGTTGAATATATGATGATAGTACAAAAACAATTGCACATATTAAATGAAGATATGTTATTCTTTTCCAAGAAAAATTTCCTTCTGAGCCTATACAGAAAGTTTATAATTAGAGAAGAAACTGAATTCAATTAATTAAAAAATATTAGTGTAATATTTAAGAGTACAAATACCTTCAATAAAACCATCAGATTCACCTATAATAGACACTAAGGCCCCTATGTAATGACAAAATCCAATGATATAATGTGAAATATTCATCATCTTATCACTAAAGATATTTACAAAATGTGTTTCATACAATCGTTTCCAGCAATGTAGAGTTAAAAGTAAAGTTGCTACAAATGTACTTTCTGGTGATACTAAAAACAATTATTAAATGAATAATTTCAGTATAAAGATCTTAGTAGCTTTTGAGTATTTACCTAATGGTTGTCTAAATGATCCCAAACACAGATTTAATATCCATATAATATTTTTTGTAATATTATCTTTCCATAAATATTTACAAAGAACTATGTAAAATACATAACTTGAAGTTGGTGCAGCAAATATATAAAAATGTTTAAACCATCTAAAATAAATTATAATTTTTTTAAAATATCCTAATATTAATGATATATTAATAATATAGATACTAATATTACTCACTTTTTAGGTACTTCTACTTTTGCAACTATTCGTTGATAATCATTGATAGAAAATTTACCGTAACGGTATGTACGAGTTATTAAAATAGGTAGATAGGGTTCCATATAATTGAGCAGTAGTCCAACTACCCCCGTGAATGCGGAAGAAAAGATAAATATAATACGTATAATATTTATCTGCATTTTATATTAATTCGTACTGACGTCGTAAATAAAGAACTGCTGGTATTTCGAAACTTCTGTTACAATTTATCTGTATCACGAAACGGTAATACTGTTCCACTTTCACACAAGATCAGACTACTGTAACAATTAAAACACACACATTGCATGTAACTAAAATATACTTTTATGAATTCTTGAAATCTTAAGATAGAGTATTTAAAAAATAATACATGTATTTATAATAAAGGAATTTTATTTGAATTCTAAATACTTATAATATCAAAACTTGAAATAGATTTTTATCACATTATATAGGACGGATATGAGATTTTTAGATAACATATATAATGTTTAAGTATTATTTAAAATGGAAAATTATACCTATAAAAGTTATATGTTATATGAATTTTAAAATAAACTAATACCATTAATATTTATAAATTATATTAGTGTTCTAAATTTATCATAAACTCGAACTTCTATCCTGAAAATTAAACAGTCATTTTGTAAAAACTCTGGCAACTCTCGTATTCGTACGAATTCTGTATAACCAAAGCTACGTTTATTCAATTCGCATACTGGTTTTTTAAATGCTTCAAGATCGGGTCTCGACGAAGTTATTTCTCGTATATCTTTCTCCCAGTTTTGTGGATGAACCAAAATGAAATACATGGTTCCATTAAATGGCCAATCCAGACCATCATCATTTTCTGATTTCATTATATGTAGAAGTAAGGATAGGAATTCAGGATCTTTAGAAGATACATTAATTCTAGCACAGATTTTGTAACCATTAGGACTAGTATAAAAACCAGGACTATAAAACATTTTTAATGAATCACTCATCATGGTTTCAAGTTTTTCATGAAAAGAATGTAATCTCCAAATATAAACTCCATTGCAACTACGCAAAAACATTTCCTCTTGATTAAATCTTAAAGATGTTTGCAAAGTTGTAAGTTGAGTTTTTTGATTAGAAACAGTAATAGATAATTCTCTATTTTGTTGTTCTAGCACCACTACCCTTTCATACAGATTTCTACAAAGGAATGTACAATTTAATTACATAAAAATATATAATAAGATTTATAAGACTTTACTTAAAATTTACTTTAATAATTGTTGCCATTCTAATGGTGGTTCATTTTTTTCCACAGAAGTTGTATTTTTTGGTGGAGGATCCCACAATTTAGATTCTGTAGCTATTGCACTAGCATTATTTTGCAATACAGATAATTGTGGTAATATCTTTAGAACCATCTATGAAGTAAATGAAACATAATTTTGTGTATATTATAATTAAATATAATTATAGCAAATAAAAATAAACTAACAGTCAAATGAATATTTATGTTCTTTTCTAAATGTACATGCAAATCTTCTTCAGTGAAAAATGTTTCTATGCAACCAACATTTTTAAAAGAACAATATATATTTTGTGAATCTGGAAGACTTCTTTTATATATACATTGATTTATATGTGCTTCCATATCCACTGGGGACAATTTAACCTTGCAGCCAAATTGTTGATACTGACAGGGTGTACGTTGTTGTGATATCTCTCTGCTTGTATATAAATCTCTGAATAAATCACTTTCAGATTTTAAAGGTTTACTATCAACTGGACAACAAGCACCTTTCCCTCTATAAAATAAAAATTGAGTTTATAGATGTAAATTATGTACACAATCTTATATATATACATAATATATACATATTTGTTAATTTAACATCATAAAATATAACTTACTGAAGCCAAGTGTATATACATTGCGAACAGAACTTATGACCACAAGATGTTAAAACTGGATCGCGTAGCCAAGTTAAACAAATAGGACACTCAAATCTGGGCTCAAGGTATTCTTTCATACCATCGCCACACTGCATGTAATAGATGAATTACCGATATAAATGAAAAATAATAGGTGTGTTAATACGAAAAAGTGAAGCAAAGCTTTTGGAAGTATATTGGGAAATAAATGCAATATAAAAAAATTAGTTATTATGATAAAAATGAAATGGGTACACTATCACTAATATTTATCAATCTAGATTTAATAAATACGTACGACAATATTTTCTTCAGCTACTTTAATGCAATTTGTAGGATTATCTGACTTGGCCATTATCTGCAAGGATTTGCAATTTTATATGTATATCTGGTATATAATGTGATACAATTTCAGCAAAGTAAAAATATGGAATGAAAATTACATTTTTGTGAAAATACAAAATATGTTTAACATTATTGATGCTTAAATTGTAGAAGCAATATAACTTATTTGTAGTTATGAATAGCGAAGTTATTTAAAAACAGTTGCACTACACACTAATTTTTACATACACATATTGTAAACATAAATATAACATAAAACTATAAAAATATCTATAATTATTAAGAAAGAAGAAACTTATTTGTTTTCTTATTTTAACATAATTTTTTAAAATGGTATTCAAAAATTCATAGAATGAAGATTTGGGTATGGATATTTTAATTTACCTGTTCATAAAGAATTAGATTTAGGTTAAATGTAACAACATAGCACGACAGACGCGACTACGATTGTGGTTGTACATAGTGACTACACGATAGTGTAAATAATGCTAATAATAAGATATAAAAGGTGCAAATTTTCTATTAAAGGTAATGATGCACAAATACATAAGAAAGTATGTTAAATAATGCAACATATTAATGTAAATTAATAAATTGTATTTTTGTGTTCTAGCTACAATGTATGTTGATAACTTACAAAAATAGGGGAGATAAAGCCAAAATATTTTTACTCGCTAATTTATTTAAGTATATCCATATCAATATGCCAATGACATCTGAAATTTAATCTCTTTTTATTATAATTTCAAGAAAAATGTTAAATAAATCTGTAGAAAGTTAAAATTGAAGGATGGTGAACTCTGATATTTTATAAACTTAATTATTGCCGATTCGTATTTTTTATTGCTATTATGTGGTAATGTTATATTATACTGTCACTTTATATGACACAATCTTTAAATTACAAAACTTATCTTCCATAGTGACAAATTTGTTTAAAACAATATCAATTATTTCATTTTTATTTTATGTGAGATTTCTAGAGGTAAGATATACTATTATTATTGCAATTATTATTAAAATCACTTTTGAAAATGAGATGAAAATCAACGATGCATTGATTGGATTAAACTTTTAGATTTAAATTTACAAATTATATAACTGGTGGTGATTTGCGTGAGTAGGTCGCCTAAGGGTCGCTAAAATTCCACGAATCTTTTTTATAAGTTCACCCTGTGTATATATATTATGTATGATGTATATTATATACATACCCAAACTTTTTAATTCATTCTTTATTGCATTTTCGCATTTATATACATATATATACAATAAATAAGCAATGAGAGTATACTAACGCACTATCTACTAACGCACTAACTACACTATCATAAACATGTACGTATAGGCAGAATTCAATTAATTCTTGGAAGTAAAATTCGTAATAATTATAATCGAATTGATAAGCCAATAAATGTTATTATATTATAATAGGGTATAGTTGACGTCAATTTTACACGAATTTTGCTTACTTTGTTGTTAGTCTGAAATAAAAATATGTTGATTTTTTCTACTGACAAAAAAGTAAAAAATGTCAAAGGATATTCAGGGTGATTGATATTCCTAATCAAATTTGTAAACTACATTTTCTTAATGAAAATTATATAGAATGTGAAATTCAAAAAATGGCGCGATAGTTATCATATATACACAAGTTTAGAGTGCAAGTAATTTGTTCTTCGTCTATATTTTTATATAATTTCCGATTGATATTTTTCAATGCTTTACCCATGTTACCGTTAATAAGGATGATGATTGTACATCCTTATTTCGATGTTAGCACATGTTAGTATACGAGTTGATTTTAGATTAGACACCTGTAAAGGTGATCGTGCATTATCAAGTGATTATAATCAACTATTATAATTAATGTACTAATCGTTTCCATAGATCGGACAAATTGTTTATAAATTGCTGACAAATCTAATGGTAATATTATTTAAACCGGGAAAACGACCAATCATTTGAAATACTGTCTTTTTTCTTTTGATCCTAATAGATTTTGATAAGACGCTGCATTATTTCATTAATTTTCAAATTTAAGATAGAAGAAAAAAAAAGTTTGTTTATTCAATTAATAACAGTTTAATGATGGAAATTTATTTATTAATATAGTCACAAAACTTAAAAATTAGGAAGATACCGTGTATGATTACAAGATTATGGTTGTAAATTATTCTGTCCCATGCAATTGCATAGGTATATTTAAGTTTTCTATAAATTTATCAAGTCATAATTTTATTCTCTGCTGAATCAATAATGTTGTAAGTGGCATGAAAATAATAGGTACTATTAGAACATGTATCATTATCATAATGATTATGAACTATCGTAAATCTCTCTATAATGTTCCTACTTAATTCGATGTCTTGTGCATAAAAATCCTATTTTGTATTGAAAGATTTCCAAGAATTTTCTATCTCATTTCCAGATTAACATACATTACACAAACAGAGTAATGTAAATTAGTGATATGACGATTGTTAGTAATCACGATTAATTGTGCAAAACGAAAACGAACAATTTTTATCTAAAAATGATCGTTTTACGATGTTCGACGTAATAGGTCCAATCTCCTCTCTCCGTTCTCCAGAATGATCCGTTCTTGAACCAATGCTTTAGAGTTTGTGAACAGATCGCGAGGAGAACCGTAGAAGTAACGTTATGCAAGTGCCAGTCTGTCATGATCATGCGAATTTAATGATTTTTTTACGGAATCCATCGTGCTGAACTGCTTCACCTTTTTCCGGTCTCGTGGACGTGTCATCTTATGTGGCGCGCTTACCGACATGGAGAACCTGATATATCTCGATAAACCGGAATCGTGAGTATCGAATTTGCTACTTCATGCGATTAATCGGGTTAATATCGTCTTTATGTATACAACCACGGGATTAGGAACGTCCAATTAATAATAGGCACGCATTCGATTGAATCGTTATTCTCTGTGAAAATTTTCAAGGAATTTAACACGTTGATCTGACACGTTATTTTCGTTCATTCATAATTATCTGTCAATGTAAATACGAGATTGTGAATTTCCGTAAACTGGTTAAAGGAATTTTGATAGAAACAAAAATTACAAAGACGGTAATAAAGATTTCATTTGTGTACGAGGAATTGTCACTGTAAGTGTTTCTCCGATTTTGCTTTTTCATTTCACCGATTTCTTGAAATCATTTTTATTAAGCTCAGGAAGGCTATCCACCGATGACTTTTATGGTACCACTGAGAAATCAAGCGCCGATCATGATCATCGGTGACCCCCGCGGTAATTCAACGTGTTAATAATAAATGATTCAGGAGAATACGTTATACGGAAATAAATTAAGACTAGAAATAAGTTTTGCATGTTGCTATGAATTTGTTGAATTTTGAATTAGTTCATCAGATCAAATCATCGGAGAAATTGTGTAAATAAGTCCTTGTTTCTGTTCGATTGTAATGATGGTAATAACCGTGTAAAGGAAAGTAGCATTGATCATACTATAATCATGATATATCGTAATATGGTCCTTACAACTCATATGTAATTTCATGGTATTGCAGATCGACGTTGATGCTAATGAAACAAGACGATGTCAGAAGATGATAAGAGTACATCAACGAGACAACTATTTCGATCACCATCAAAATGTTGCTATTTTCTTCAAAATCGTGCGAGAAAAATTGTATTAGGTAAGAGAAATTTACATTTTTTTAATTTTGTCATTATTTGTAAATTTTATTTAATTTTGAATAAAAGCTTGAAATGTTGATCATATATTACAACGAACGTGATTCAAGTAGATTAAATTTATTTAATTGATCTTTATGTTAAAATTTATGTTAAAATTCGTAGAATGTTATTGTCTACGTGCTTTTAATAAAATCAAAAATAATTTAGTAATTTAGAAATGATCAATGAGAGACTGATAAAATAGTCAAATTTTAAATAGTATAATACAGTGAAATTTAAACAAATGATTTGTGTTTGTCGAGAGTTAACAAATTCGACGTCCTGTTAAATAAAAATTTGTAATAATAATGTTTTGAAATTCTTATTTTTTAGAGACATTTCACGAGATATTCGTATATTGAAAATTAGAAATTAAAAAGTTGTAGAAATGGAGAAATAAAACCTTTCGCATCTCGAATTCGTTTTCGTGAAACATATTACGAATTGTGAATAAATTTCTGTCACTTTCATTATGATATATTTCATATCGATTTTCTCTTACTACTTTCCATCGATTGCGAATTTACAAATTTGTTATATAAGACAATTTTCTTGATCGCTTTTTCACCTCTTTATTTCAACACTATAACTCATGTTATGGTCCATAGAACCGATGCAATCTCTCTATGGAATTTAAGTAGAGAAACTTTTATTACCTCGTACAAAAGAAAAACATGGAGAACGAGATTACAGTCGTAAAATCTTTCAGTAGTTTTACATAGATATTTTAAAATCATTCTTAAATAATTTCCACATAGTTCCTAAATAATTCTGAATAATTCTTAATTAATCTTTAAATAACCCACAAATAATTTTGTGTATAATAAAACATTTAGAACATTGTATTTAGCACTAATTAACAAAATATAATAGTACACTCATAAATATCGTATAAGTATTTCATTTAAATATAATATAAATAAATTAAAATAAAAAGAAATATAGATTATTCCTAAGTACTATAACCCTATCTTTTTCAAAGACCTCTGTAACCTAAACACGAAGGAATCTAATCAAACATTGGAAGTGTTCGGGCTTTCCCAAGTTCGTTCGAACAATAAAACCATCTTGTCATTAACTCATATGCAATTAATTTGAATACTTAAACCTAGTTCAGCTCGAGTACCCCGATCATTCGTGCAATAGAATGTTCATCGTGTTTGGCATCGAACATCTCGTTTGTAACAACAATTAATCTAACAGGGAGATAAATTGCAATTTCGCTCTCGATTCAACTTTCAGTAATTGGAGACAATTGATTGTCTCCTGGTTATCAGAATGTTGTCATGGTTCCATGTTTGTATGCTACTGATTGTCCGATAATGAAAATGATAATCTCGGGTTATCGAGTGCTGCCTACTTTTACGATAATTACAATGGACAAAGATATAGCCCAGGCAGCTAGAAGACAGACGTTCCTTCATTGTCGAATCACTCGTCTGTTGCACTTGAGGTCGGTGAAAATTCGTGACAAGAAAAGATTCGTCTCTCAACAACGATTGAGGAAAATCAACCCGAAAGGGGTTGAGAACGATTTTCTATTATATAGAACAAGGTTAGTGACACTTTTCGTAAATAGAAACCGTGTAGGAAGGCAAACATTCTTCTCGCACATGATTCCAGCTGTGTTTTCTTAAATCATATTAAGATATCATTGCCGTTTGATAGCTAAAGAGACCACTAGAAACATTAATTATACGATAAATGGTACGAAGAAAAAAAGAAAAAATTGTTATTCGGAAGAGAGCATCATTATGTTCTTCAATTAATTCCTTTAGGTGATAAGATAATACGAAAAACAGTTTAATTGCTTTCTTTTAACAACACTTTATTGAGTTCATCAGAAACCTCTGTCGTTAGATCTTGCTTGCATATTCGTAAATTTAGAAATTTCTACAAATTAGATTTTTACAGCTTGCTGAAATAGGTACCCTAATTGTAAGTCATGCCACGAGTGACATCGTGTCTAGATACGTATAACTTTAAAAGGCTGAAAAACATGAAACGTGTTTATCGATATCGGTATTTTTCGTATTTTCCGAAATCTATGTTTCGTTTGAGCAATTTACGAATTCTTTTTTCGAAAAATTGTTGAGTTTTTAGTACAGAGCAGATCTGTTACTGCAACTACATCGATGATTCGCTTGAAAGAATATTGGACAAGAAAAATGAAGAATTCTGTAATAACGGTATAAATAAATTGCTAAATAAATCGAAGAAAATTACTACAAGTATCGATGAATCTTACATATAATAGAAAATTATATAGTCAATAAATGTACGAAAGACTATATATGGAAGACTTAATTAACGCGATACGATTAATATGATTTTCCATTCAAAGTAATTAAACTTTTTCTTTTAAAGGAAAAGGAAGGAAAAAAAATTCCAGACATTTTCGATCATTTTAATATTTTTATCAAGTTGTTTCGACCTGTGCAAAGATTGGTGGATAAGCTGAAGAGACTTCGCGTTTCGACCCCAAGTCGCATTAAGACGACAATAACGATTGGAGGAGTGGACATTTCAGAGTTCAAAAGCTATTACCGTGACCGGATGTTGGCAACTAACTCTCTGATGACCCCCGCATCTAGTATACGTATCTTAAATACGTGTGTGCATGGTGTACCGGACCGTGTTACAGAATCGTGTGCATGTCATTGCTTCAACACGTATCTTCGACGTTTGCACGATGTTGATATCGATATGGATGAACGACGTCTTGGAATATTTTTACGTACATCATTTTTCATTTACATTATTAATTTACTCTTTCTAAATTACAATCGTCCACAAAAATTAGTGTTGTTTTTATTAAATTCGAAGTGTATGCATATATTTGGTAATTAGAACAAAATTTTACTTGCGGGACAATGAAAATTGAAGTTTAAATGTATATTTTTTCGATTTTGAGATAATTTCATGGAATAATAATTAATTATAGAAGTATATCTCTTTTAGACTCACCTGTCACTTCCCAAAATTATACCAATATTTATATAATTCTTAATATTGTTACTACAAATAATAAACCAAACTTTATCTTTTGCTTAAATTCAAAATATCACATCTTTTTTAACAATGATCATATTGAGATATCGTAACATCACTAGAAGTTGTACTTCGGGAATTAGAATAAAATAAAGAAACAATTCTTTTACGCAAACGTCGAACTGCAATTTTTGATGAACTTCGACCAAAACGGGACAAACCTGACCTTTAATATCATCGTTTCAAATATACTAACAGTAGCTGGGAATTTTAGTAAGCTGTGCTTTCCATTAGTTATTTTATTCGACTCGTCGTGTCTTCAGGCTCGAAAACAGTAATTTTGACATAGGATTGTAGGTATTCCGGCGGAAAGATTACTAAACTGTGTTGAAGGTCGACACGTAAACGAACGATTTGTCAATACCAACTGTATACTCTACAAGTTGTAGTTATAACCCAAACATCTTTCATAAACGTATTGCTCTTACTGAACACACAACGAAACTTTACATTTTTTAAATGTCATCCGTGCGAATTTTTTGATTTCCCTATCTATACGCGAGACCGATGTTTCTCAGTGATTTTGCCCTCAAACACGTTAGAGTAATACCGTATTTTCATTTAAAATACAAAATGGACTAAAAAGTAAGTGTTTTCATTAGCGTGCTGATTTTCTAACGAATTTTAAGGTCATTTTTCAAATATGTCGTTTTACTATATTAGCGATTTAAAATTTTAAAGGTGTATGATGTTTGTACAAATGAACAAAGTTTATTTACGTAATGAAGATTGATGTTTCCGAACAAAGCTTTTGCAATTGACTTATGTATTTCGAAGGACAATATATTTGTCAGTGTTAATCGTAATACCACAATATATCAGAGTTGCTATAATACGAGACTTGAATATTCCTACTTATTTTTCTGAATCTCATATATATTAACAATTTTCAGCCTTTTTTCTCAGAGTTGGTAGAAGATGAACAGTTGATCATAGATCAAGTAATTATTCTTTTATAGAACAAAATAATAGTACTTTTTCAAATTATTTGATATGCATAAAGACAAAGCAGAACATTTCTTAAGAATGAATCAGAATCAGGACGAATGACCATATCGTAAAAATATGATTCGAATGAAACCTGAAACGAGTATCTCAGCAACGAATTAAAAAACCTAATTCTTGCTATATATATGGGGATAAAACCAATACATACAACATTGAAATATCGAGCTACGGAAGAAGACCTATAAATTTAACCGCAAAAAAAATTTTCCGAAGGTGTCAAAAATAATGGTTTTAACACTGGAAGGAAGAATTCTAAACTCTGATCATCGTTTTAACTTACTCATACCTGCCATGCAGGTATATGGAGGGACCAAAATACAGGGTGTCCTAGCAACGATAGTAACAATCGGGAACAGAGGTGATTCTACATGAAAGAACAAATCGAAAATAAAGAATAAAATTTTTTCATTCGAAGCTTAGTTGTCCAGAAAATCGACTTTGAATATTCACCGAGTACGCGAGTACTTCGCGATGACTTAGATGGATAAACCATCAGTACATTAGTATCGGTGGTATAACCGAGAAGGGGGTGATTCTACATGAAAGAACAAATCGAAAATAAAGAATAAAATTTTTTCATTCGAAGCTTTGTTGTCGAGAAAATCGACTTTGAATATTCACCAAGTCTGCGAGCACTTAACTATGGCTAAGGCACATGGACCATCAGTATACGAGCGTACTCGGTGGGTACTCAAAGTCCATTTTCTGGACAAAGTTTCGAATGCATCCATTTTATTCTTTATTTTCGATTTATTTCTTCATGTAAAGTTACCCATTTCCAGATTGTACAACCTTTGCTGCGACACCCTGTATATATAATTCTTGGTGTCTAGACCCAGGGATTATCGTTCAGAGGACACGTCAGCGGATAATAGCACAGAAATGATTGCCAGGATGACTTGTCAGGGTACGTTTGTACAAACAATCGTCCTCCGTTCGTTCACAAAAGTACTTATATATATACACGTATATCTACCTACCGAACTAGTCAGATCGACCGATTCGACGCCTAAGAGACATCAGGGGACCATCGTGAGTATCGTCGTTCGCCGAACCTTCTCTATTAGTCCTCTTGCCAATTACCACGAGGCTATTTTACCGCGAGAAAAAGCAATATGCTACGTTGATGCAGGAATACAGTGGCTCTTTCCGTTCGAGCCCGTTATCACGGTTGAAGCGTGCATGACGGATATAGCGAGTCACAGACATAACAAGCTGCATGGTTTGAGGGGACAGAAGCGCGGGAGAGCTCGATCGACTCGATCGAAGGTGGAGTGAGGCTAAATCGTTCGGTAGACCTGCGGATGAACCTCTCGGATTCTCGCCACGATTTTTCGCGTTGAAGTTTCGATCATCGTGTACCTTTTCGGCCGTATGTTTCCTCGCGACGGAATTTCGTCAACCCTGTCAAACTATCCGCGACCGTACGACCACGTGGCTAGTGATAATAGCGTGGTGCATCGTGGGTACATCGTGTTTTTTTTTCGGTATCGCGCTTGTGACAACCACATCCGTTTACTTTGCAGTCGATTGCAGTCGTGATAAGTGCACCTTCCTGTCAATCGTCAAACTCCTGACTGTCACATTTTGAAGGAAATATTGGAGATGCTCGATTGGCTACGTAGCATGTGTACATTGCGGAACAACGTTGTTTGTTAATAGAGCATGCAATCAGCGTAATGAATGGTATCGGTGCAGTAGTGTATCAAGTTTGTGAAATTCTGCAGGAATTGTTAGTTTCACGCTGTCGGATTGGAACTAGCGTTGAACGAAGACTTTAGTAAAGTGTCGTTTTTAAAAATTTCATTGAAAATTGAAGGAGTCGTGTGAGAATTTTCGAATAATCAAGAAAATTGATGAAGAACTTTGGCCTTCCCTTTCTTTCATTATTATTGCAAAACATTTGCAATAATAGTGGAGATTTTTACGAATCATATTTGTCGACACGAATGTGGTTTTTCAGAATGTTAACTGAGATATATACCTGCAAATGTGTTATTAAATACTGGCGCTTTGTGCATTTATGAAACAGAGTTTTCGTTATTGTTCACAACGCAGTGATATCGCGATTATGGGTAACATCCTCTAATATGAGCCTGTTACGTCAACGTACTTTGTTTGGATCGTTGGTTTTATTTGAGCTGTTTGAGCTCGTAACGGGTACAATTTCCTTGTTATGTAGTTTATAAACGCGTACCTATAGCTTTGGGAATTAATGGCTTCGTGAATAACATTATTTTCCAGTAGTTCATTTTAGTAATACACGATATACATCTATGTTCATCGTTTCGATCAGGCAGATTAATCATAAAAGAAATACGGATCTCTTTATTGGAAATTAATGAAAACATTCTGAAAAATCCCACGAAATTTCATAATAATAAAAAGGAGGCATCTTTTACTGTGAAACACAAAAACGGATCGAAGTAAATGGAATTTACCTTGATTATCATTCTGTTCATTATCTTCCTCTATAACGAGTCTTTTTTAAATTAAAATCTAAAATTAAAAGATAGCGAAGATTCTCACGTTGCTAATATTATTGTCAACGTTATCATCATTATATTCCAAAGATCATTTCGTAGAGTGTAAAGATGTTCGAAAGCGACTATTTCAATCGATAGAAAAATCTTCACCAATAACCCAGTACTTCTCTCTGCAAAATGAAATCACACTTAACACCATCCTAATTACCGTTCATAATTCATTAACACCTTGAAACCACAAGCTTCTCTGATACGAAGAGCACGAAGCTCTGTTGATCCTTCCTAATTAATATAATATCCGTGATTGCTTCTAAATTTCATCTTCTCGAACCTTACAATGAGAGGAGTGGAAAAAGCTTGCCATAAGAGAAGGCGATAGAGCAACGGTAACCGATCTCTCAGCAGATGGAACCATCGTGGTTCTGCGTGTACGCGTGCTGTGTCTAGGACGAAATAGGAACGTTCATCGCGTGGCTTTGCTGTGCAGGGTCATGGCTGTGAAAGAATGGTTCAGAAGGCTGCAGCCGGTCCAGTTGTACCTGGTCCTGTTCTTCACTACCGCTTTCTTTCTCATCGAGATGATCGCCAGCCATGTGACTCACTCACTGACATTACTTCTCAATGCCTATCACATGCTGTGCAACATCATCGCACTTGTCGGCTGCATCGCGTCCATCAAGGTAAGTTTCACTGTGAGTTGTTTATAATATCTCGTTGAAAGGATGTGCGACACGAGCGATTGTTGTACATTTGTCAGGCTGTCAATGTAATTTTCGTACGTGTCATTTGTTGTATCTGTCATGATTTTCTATGATCATTTCTTTCATTCACTTTCTTACAGTTTTGGGGATAATTCAAGATCCTCTTTTCGAGATTCAACTTTGTTATGTATATATTTTTTATTGCAAGTACAATTTTATGTAGTTTCGAATGTAGCTTGTTAAACGTAGTTTAAGTTTACTTTCTATATCTTTTCCATGACTGCCTTTTTCAATTTATAAGATTAGAATCTTCTCGACATTTGTATTTTACGTGACTTAACATTGATGTTACATTGATGCCTTAAAAGTGTGTTATCTCGTTATCAATAGAAAAATGAAATACGGGAGGATCTTGTAAGTGTACTTGATTTCAAGGAAGCTGATTAGTTTTATCACAGCACGATAGGAATTGTTTCTTAGATTGATCGTATTTTGAGACACGATATCACGTTTATTAGATTGATCTTCGAAGTTTTATTTTGATCTTATTTTAGTTGTATTCTTCTTTTGTCGTTTTATCATGGCGATGGAAAAGAACGAAATGATTTTGGGCATTTATCTTCTTTTACGTAGTATTTACATTTTAATTTACTTTTATGAACGATACAGATTTTATACTTTACATGATTTTGCTGGACATAAGAGCTATACAAGACTTTCTTATTGTTAGTATTGTTACAATCATATCGTTAGTATCTCAGATTTTAATTATTTACGAAGTTTCCATTGATTTCTGGAATTGTTTGAATTAACAATTAGTAAGCATAAGTATTGGTATGTATATATTGGCCCAACATGCATTGAAATATTATTAATCAGGATATTTACATCTATTCATATAATCTTATTTTGAAATTATAACGATTCCTTCGATCGAGTAATTATAAATCGAAATGACAACAGATTAGCTATAGGCACTAAGAATTGTTCCGGTTTGAATTTTCTTCCTCACAATGACAAAAGCATTAACATTTTTCTGGTATATTTACGTTTGAGATATCGTCGATTTTATGACACAAATTTTACAGAACCGAGTGGTAAAACTGAGTAATGCACGAAATACAGCAATTAATGGATAGCAATGGTAATCTTAATTATATAGGTTCAACTCGGTGTGACATATGAGTCAACCGTTTTCTGTATCTTGTTAAGATCAATTTCAAATTTATTCGAGCAAGAAAAAAGAATGCATCATGCCAAAGAAAATAAAATAAGTTTAAAACGTTGGGAATCATTTCTCGCCATATGGAATTGCATTCTTGTTATTCTATTGTATATAATATGGACTTGGCAATTGAGTCATATAAATCATCTTCTCGCTGTATATTATCCTTTCATCCAATTTAAACTCATACACCGTGTACATGGTACACATTCAATTTACAGTCTAATTTAAATCACAATAAATGTTTAAAATGTGACGTGATTTATCATTGTGAAACATAATGCCCGTGAAAATTATTATTAGTTAAAATAAAAGGTATAAAAGATAAAGAAGAATAAAGTATTTAAACTAAATTTTGTAAATAAACTACAGTGGAAAACTGCAATATGAAATATTCGTTTCATTCGAAAATAGCATTGTTTAATAATAAATTTTGCTATTAGTTTTTAACATTTTTAAATTCCAAATATTAATATTAATATTAGTATCTCTATTAATATGCTAATAATAAAACTTCAAAATATAAGACACTTTTATTTTGCAATTATTATACTATGATCAATATCATTCAAATATTAACATGTCACTTTTTTGTAGTATAGTCATCGTCAAAGCGGCAACAGTCACAGTGGGAACAGTACTCCCAGTTCTTTGCAGAATTCGGTAATTTGCATAAGTGGCGATGAACGAGGTTCCTCGACGTCTCTGCCGACAAAAAATAAGGTAAAAATAGTGATTTGCTACATCCTTTTGTTCCAAATTTTTCGAAATTTCTTAAGAACGTCTATCTTTCATTGTCACTTCAAACCATATCGATTTATATTTCAGAAACACTCAAAATAACGAAATATTTGTTTTTTTTAGCAATCACGATCGGACAGGCGGATGAAGAATACTTTCGGCTGGGCGAGGATAGATATCGTCACGATGCTTGTTTGCTGCGTTTTCCTTGCGTCTTTCTGCTTTTCTTTGTTGGTGGAAGCTTTGCAGACCCTGGTGCATATAGATCACATGGATGAAATGCACCATCCGATGCCTGTTCTTACAATTGGAGCGTGTGGCATTCTCCTTAATTCCTTTTGTTACATATTGATTGGAGGATATACCTTCAACCAGGGTATCGTTCTGCACGTTACGATGAACGGGGACGTAATATTACGAAGGTACGTGATCGATGTTATTATAATATTTGACCTTCAACCGTTGGCCATTTCCTTTGCACCACCAACCAGGCCCAATGGGGTAGATTCGTCCGGATCGAGGAGAAACGCGCGAAGGAGTTCCTAATCGGTGTATATTCAGTCGAAATTTAGAGAAATATAGAAAATTTCCAAAACTAAAATACGGTTTATTTGTTTTCAGGAATGTCGGTTCGCAGGAAGTGAAGGAAGGTGAACAACAGTTATCTTCGCAAACCAGACGAAGTCCTCTGGGTATACCAAAGAGTCAGGGTTTTCGAGAAACATGTCGTGACGCTTTGGGCTGTGTTTTCGTAATCTTGGTGTCCCTTTTAGTATATTTCACCGATTCTGGCGTGGCCAAATACATCGATCCTCTTTTCGCCATTATTTCTTCCATTTCCCTCTTTGCGCTTAGCTACTCGTATAGTAAGTATCAAAATGCAAATTTAGCAGTAAACAAAAATGTTTGTGGTAAACAATTTTATCTAGTATTTAGTAGTAAATAATTTTATCTAGTATTCAGTAGTAAACAAATGCAAATTTAGTAGTAGTAAATTTAGTAGTAGTGACTGCATTGTATTTTTAACTGTTCATTTTTATGCATGAGAAAATATTTTTCCTTGCCTAAACGACAGTTTTATTCTATTATTTATAACGAGTTGTCAATGACAAATTGAAAATGCGTATATTCTTTAATTTCTGTGCAATGAATGTTTAATTAATTTATTTTTTTTTTATTTCAGTGAAAGAATCTGGTCTCATACTACTCCAAACCATTCCTAACCATATAAACATCGATTCTCTTAAGAGGGAATTACTAGAGGCATTCCCGGGTATTGTTAACGTTCATGACTTACACGTGTGGCAATTAACTGGACAAAAGATAATCTCCACTGTTCACATCATATTCTTGGACCCAACGGTGAGTTTCCTGTCTTTAGTGAATGTATCGAGCAAGGACTAACGTTAATTGGATTGCAAACACTTTGTGTTGTAGGTTTACGCGAGTATTAGTGACCAAGTAACAGCCTTTTTCATAGAAATGGGAATTACTCAAGTTACTATACAGCCGGAATTTCACAAGGTATGTAAAGAAATTTATTTTCTGGGACTATAATAAAGCAATATTAAAAGGAATAAATAAATAAAGAAAATTTTAATACAAATAACGTAAAGTGTAAGAATGTGGAACAAGACACACATATTTCTTGTATAAATCAGAATATTTCTGGATAATTAATTCGACTGAATGTATGATTCTATATATCCTGTCATTATAACATTATAACACATCATGGTATCACGTAAAATTAAAGGTGAATTTGATTGCTATCGTTACTTCCAGATCAATTAGCGATTAAATGTACTTTTTTCCCTACTAGTAGAAAGCTGTCGAATACTTTCGAGGGCGATTGTATATAAGAAACGAATCTCAGATTTTGTGAAAATTTTGTGAAAGTGAATAAAGCGTATAAATGTCTTACACAAAAGATTCGATTCTTCTGTAACAAAATTCAGATCTGGCGAAACAATGAACAACTGTAAAAAGCCTAATGAATTATCTCACTCTCACTTTTGACAGATGAGGCCAAACATGGAAAAAACCGGTTGCCTGATTCGTTGCCATGACGAATACTGTAGCTCGTCTCAATGTTGCTCCAAAGAAAAATCCATCGAGGATTCGTGTTCAGATTCGTCGTTTAAGAAACAAGCGCAATCCATAAATAAGAAATTCGACAAGAAGGAAATTATCCCCGCCTCGACAGCGATCGATCTTAAGAGTTTCACTGTCTACGACGAGGAAGGTTGTTCACAGTCGTTCCAATCGATCGAAAATCTTTCTGACGGAAATTCCTGTCAGCAGAAAGCCGAGCAAACACGAAGTAACAAAGATAATACCACAGACAGTGGCCTGTACGCGATAAGCGTGGACGTTAACGATGGAAATTATTCTTTGTGTGCAAGTCATGATGAATCTAAATCAGAGATTGCATCTTAACGTTGAAATTTGAATGAGCTCAAACGACAAGTTACTAAAGCGTTTTTAATTGTATTTTTTTTATTACAAATGAAATTTCATTCGACCGAAACGAAACTCGAAAGCAAACTCGAAACAATTGACACACAGGGATACACAAAGTTGAAGACTTAGCTAACAAGTATATTTTTATTTGTCCCGAGGAATTTTTAGAAGGAAAAGCTTTTTCGAATCTTTATTACTGGAAACAAAATTAATTAATATATTGCAGATTTATCGACGCCACCATAATGATGCCAATGGGATGCAAAGAGTTAATTGTCGACTCTCAATGTTTAGTTTCATTGTTGCGATATTTATTGTTTTGTTCTTGTATATTGACGTCTAAGAATTGAGTGACCGGTATAGAAGAATTGTTCACGGTTGATGAACTATTTTAAAAGTTCTCCAAAATGTGTATGTATGTTTCAATTGTCTTTAAATAGCCTATTTTAACGTAATTTGACGGAATGCAGTAAGAAAGAGATGAAAATTGTGAATTAAGTTGTTTTATATTATCTATTGCTAACACAGAAGATATTTTAGATGATTTAACACGACCAAGAAGACTGGAAATTATTATTAAATATAGTAATGACTTGTATATAATTTACATAGAACAGACACGTTCATAATTGATCAATGTAACAGTAGCCTTATTTGAAAAAGATATTGGATGTTGTGATTGGAAAATGACATTCTCTGTTGTTGAAAATGATTAGTTATCTATATATTTATTATACATTCCACACAGAACAACCCATTTGTATCAATGCTAAGTAAAATTAAATTTCAGTTATTTTGAAATTAAATAAAATTAACTTCAAGTTATGCAAAGTAAATTTAATGTCAAGTATTAAAAACTTTTATATACGTATTATACCTGATAATTTACATAATAGCGTTATAAATATTAATTACATCATTTAGATGAATTATTTACTAAATTATTTCAGAACATATTCAGAAAACAATTTATTTATATATACCACTTTGGTTTATACCACATATACCACAATGTTTTCTCACATTGTTGGAAAAATATTGGAAAAACTTAAATATGACATAATTATTATCTCATTGTTTATATAACTCCGTAATTAATTGTAAATTTCAATAAGTTTTAGTATCATAAATGGGTTGTATCAACATGAAATCAATGCAACATCTTTTACTATCGTAGTTCATGATAAGAAACATTGCCCACATATCCTTATTATGATATAATTACGTTTTGAACGACATTTTCTATTTATCATACAGGAAGTTCACGTCAATTCCTCATTTTTACAATGTATAATACACAGTTTATGTATAGTTGCACTAAACGTACTTGTGTGATAAGTGTTTAGACCGTGTTATTATGTTATAATCGGAATAATAAATTAATTGAATCAACATGTTATTTAATTCACAAGAATTCTTTTTTGTTCCAGCGAACGGGTGAATATATTAAAATAAATCGATACACCATTTGTTATGTTATCTTAGGCATATTAAATTCTGTAGCAAATTCTAAATTTACATTGTCTTTTTAAGTTGATAATAATTCACATAAGCGATTGATGCAATTTTAAATAGCAAAAGAGAAAAAGAAAGAAATTAAAGACAGGAGTTGGTAATTATATTCAACATTTCTTTTCATTCAATTTTTTTTTCTTTTTTATTCGCTATAATACCTTTTCATACTCAGATAATGAAAATATTGGCAATTAATAATTCAAGATTTATTTCAGTTACTTCACATTGAAAAAATACTTTAACTGTTGCTCAACATTGACAATCAATGTTGCCAGTCCAAGGTGAATGTACTCAGACTGTCCCACTTTCTACTCAGCAAATACCAATGATCTCAGCTCATTCACAGCTAGATCATATTAATTCAAATGTCTCATTTATATACGACGATCTCTAAATACGATCTCAAGGATGCTGGTTTCTTATTAAAAAATATTTTAGAATATTTTTGCACACCATCTTAATCATTCTCACATAATGTTTCAAATAATTTCGGTAATTCGTAAATCAAAAAGATATTTAGAAAAATAACAAATAGATAAAGATACTTATATTAAATATTATGATGAGATGTTTCGAGGAACGATAAATTTAAAACGTTTGAGAGAAATTTTGTTTAATTCAGGAAGAGGTTTTACAGTGTTCATTTTTATTTATATATTTCAACTGTAAACAATTATGGAGGATTATTTCGTGTTTGTTGTTCTGTCCAGGCTATTTAGAAATACGTATGAAAATAGAAGATGATATTTATCACTAAATTGGTATCAAAAGATCAATTGCATTGATAAAAATATTATCAAAATAATATTCTATATTATTCTTTAATTTTGAAATATCACTTTATCGATTTGTTTGCCTAAAAAATAACACGCACAATTGTTTGTTACTATATATTATATTACTATATATACTATATATTAAGTTACTATATATTAAGTTACTATATATTAACCTTGTTCATTATTTCTGTTTACACTTTAGTATATCAAAATTGCGTTGGATCTAAATATCTCATTTAATCTCTATAACCAAAACAAGCATCTTATATTTAATCACTTTTATTTTATTCTTTTCTGAATCATTCCAATTTAGATTATACAATATAAATGATTATTTTAAAAAATTCTCTTTAGTTTTGGAATTCAAAGATGTAAAAGTATAAACAAAAAAAAAAATAATTTTTCGAGAATTTTCAACCTGAAAGAAGTAGTTTTAATTTTGAATCTTTCATCTCGTGGGATCATTTTTAATAATTTCAACATCTACCATAAACGTTTCCAAGTGAAAATGTGTACAGAGTCGTACATATCTGCGGCTTTTACGTTACTTTTTCCTACTCTTAATGTATTTCCTGCTTCATTTCGACAGTTACACGTTTTCTCTTTGATGCCGTTATCTCGCAACGCGTTGACACAGATACAGTACGAGATCTACATTAAACTAATAAACAAGAAATATACTGTTCGAGTAACAGAGTAAAATCGTAGAATGCAACATTTGAATAATAACTGAACGTCTGGATAATACATTCTTTGCTAATGAAGATACTATTTAACATCAAACAGCCACACATATCAAGAATATCAAAATCATCCACATAGAAAAATGATGTAGTTCACTTTCAAGAGGAGGCTCTCTTTATCTATTAAAATAACAAAATATTCTCATCATAGAATATTCGAATACTAGAGAACAGTAGGCTCTCTGCTAATGTTCACATGTAATTCACATACACATCAAGAATGATATCAAAATCACTAGTATATAACAAAATTATCTGGCTCATTTCCAAGAAGCGACCCTATGTCCTACTTTTCAAACTACTCGAATGTTAGAGCTTCTGGATGATAGATCTTCCACTACTGAAAGTTCTATTAAAGGTTCGTAGCACCTGATTTTAAAAATAATAGAACAAATAGGAAGATACTAAAGTAAAAACATAATGCAAAATTATATTTGCACGATGAAGTGTGAAAACTCCAAATGATTTTAAATCATTAAATTTCCAATCATTTAAATCATATCATCAACAAGGGTAAAATGACCAAAAATTGATAGTTTGAAAACAAATGGAATGAAATGTGTAAGAAAACTAGAAAAGCTCTAAGTTCGTTATACAAGACGAATTTTTATTTAATTAAGAAATATAAATAAACAAGTATCTTTAATTTTTCGACATTTTTACTTGCTTTACACATTGGAAACACGAATAATATATGCTTTTAGCACTGCATTCTTCACCGAAAACACGCTTCGTATTGACTAATGAATACTCGACAAAGGCTTATTTGTCAGCACGATTGTCTAGTGTCTAAGAGGAAATACTACACACGATTGTCAGTCATAGTCACTTTAAATACCAAGATTTGAAAACGTTCTATATGACATACTGTTCCACATTGCACACAAGTACGTTTACTCTAAATATCAATCACGCCAAAGAAAATTATCTAGTTCACTCTCGGAAGGAAGCCCTTATCTGGTATTATTAAAATAACCGAAGTTTTAGATAATGCAATATTCGAATACTAGGATGTCTTCAACAGCAGATCTTCCGAAGATGATATTACATATCAAAGAATCGCAAAGTTGACTAGCCCACTTGCAAGATTGCTACACCTCTTATTATTAAGATAACAAAGCATTTGAATAATGCATGCGGGTACTCGGGTGCCTGAGCAATAGGTCTTTCTCTAATAAAAATTCTACTACCAAGCAAAGAATCACGCATTCCAAGAACATGGGAACCATTCACGTAGGACCGTATTCTCATCTAGCTCACTTCCAAGAATCCCCCCTATCTTCCGGTTTACCAGCATTTACTATTTATACGCACCATTCCATTAATACCATTGTTTACCAGAATACGTCGTAGTAACACCTACACCGTTCCACAAATACCACTTCTCTGTTTGGCGGGTTTGATAGAGGAGGAAGAAGGAAAAGAAGGCAACGTGGCCCGATGCACGCGAAACTAGAAAGAAAACGGCATCGTCCACGCTGATAGCTCCGATTCACTCGATCAAGTTCGAACATGGAGCAAATGAAGGAGAACGACGCCGAGATGACGTCGTCATCACCGATAACTCAGAGAATCGGTCGGGGTGGGGCCTTTGTGGACTCGTCGACGTGCAGAACCCGTTCGGCTGTTCAGTGAGAAAACACGCGTGGAAGGTTGGTGATGGTCGTTGTACGGTGTCGCATGTAACCATTTGCGCGAGCCCCTCCATGTGTACAGAGAGTTGCTCCTCAAGTGTACCCTTGTCGAAAATATGAAGTGACTAGAAGAAGAATAATCGTAACCGGAGTGATAATAAACAGAGAGGAAGAAAATGGCTCTAAGTACAATCGTCGCAATAGTGGTCGTCCTCGCGCTAAGAGGTAATTGCAGCTTTACCTGTCATCCATATTCACCTGGTGGTCGTTCCGTTGTTTCGATGAGGTGTCACGATCACGTGGTCGCCATTGAGTCACGCACCGAAGAACAGGTTTTTCGACTGTTACCGTGCGTCATTGGTAACTTCAATCGCTTATCTGAATCGAGGAACTTCGATGCAGGTTGATGTTTGATCGAAAGTTTTATTTCTCTTCTTCTTGCTTTTGTTCCTTGTACAATCGTGCTTGGTTTCGGTTAGTTTCATTCGATTAGAGCTGCCGGCCTGGGATGGGTACCTAAATGCAGCGTATACGGATGATAGGAGTTGAAGAGTTAGGAAAGAGATAAATAGGTGTATCTAATGATATTTTTGTCTAGATGAAAGTTAACATTATCTTTTCTGAAAACTACGGAAACTGTTATTTTCTGCGATTTTCGAGCAATTTTCTTTTTTTTTTCTTTGGAATTATAATGTTTAGTGGCCACGAGTTACTGTTGTTTTCTGATTTTAAATACCCGTCGATTGATATTTATGAAATTGTTTTCCCTACTCTCTCTAGAATTAAGAAATAATTTTAAAGGAAATTGGGAATATATATGAGTTTTAATTTTCGAGTACTATAATGTATCATTTTTCTTTCATCTACTTCTACGAGATGTTTGTTTAGTTACATGTCTTGATGCTTGACAGTGTAATACGAAAACACTTATTGAATAATGGATTTAATGTCCTTCGAAGTGGTTTTTATATTTTTCTAATTATATGTTTTAGCCATAGCGATTCCTTTTTATACTTTCATGGTCGATCATCATTATAGTTCGATGATTACTTTGACATACGGTGGCAGGATAATTCGGAGGATTGTTTAAGGAGAATTTCATGTGAATCATTCTTTGGAATTCCTTTGACTGATTCGTTCGTATGCTGATCTTACGATATTCCCTTGTTCTTGAAACAGGAGGACTGTGAACGCGTGTGTACGGTTAATGCGTAGCAATTATGCATGCTGCATGCGAGGAACATGCGAACATTATAGCTACCTCTTAACGAGCTATCGAGCTCGAGATGTTTTGCACGTTACAGTAGGCAATAAATCAATGATGTAATTTACGAAACGGTAACTATTCGAGAGAAACGTTTGCATTGTACCAGCGAGTATCTTTCGGAGTAACGATACGGGTATATTTGCATACTTCACTTTCAAACATTTATTTTCGACGAAAACGATTAAAAAAATTAGATAACACGATGATATATGCTAGAAAACACGGGAAATGTTACATTCTTGCGTTTATTATTATGTAACAAATTTTATTATATAGAAAACCAAATTAAAATAAGAGGACAAATTTGTAAGGTACAAGTAGCACACAAAGATTGATTAAAATATTAATATTAACAATTTTTATTTCATAGCTGTAGGAAGAATTTTTCTTTACGAATCTAAGATAGATATATATTTCTTCATGTAATAATATTCGAGAATAGTAGTTTCAAAATACTATCTATCTAATTATCAATTTATCTTTGATATTTGATAAAAAATTATATCGAGATATTTTAATACAGCTCTCGTACACTTTCTGATTATAATAACTGTTAAATAATAAATATAAAAATTCCCTAAACTAGAAGTTTCCTAAACTACTCCATTTTACTCGAGGTTATATTGTTTCAAAGCGTTACTGCTTTATTTACAAGAAGAAATATTATATTACAGTAATTAGGTATTTATTACAAAATGGTTTTTTAAAACGATATACTCTGACCTATATCGTAGATTATAGTAACCTATAAAATACCAGTTATTTTCGCCAGTTAGGTGCACATAATATTTAATCATCGCACAGCAGTGTATCAATCATGTTTCTCGATTGGAATGTATCGTGTACCCGAGAATGAGAATTGGCAAATTTATCGTTTTCGTTCAACGTATCGACCATATGAAGTGCAAAACGATCAAATTTATCGTTACCAATCCGTATTTCGGATGAACAAAACAGACATACCTTGACACGAATATACGGAACGACCTTATTTCATCAATGAAACTGCTTTTCATGTTGTTGACGTGTGTATTGCACCTTGGGAAGTCTACCTATAAACTGTCTATAAATTATTTATAACGTGTAGATGAAAGTTCGTTACTTTTACAGAATATTTATTCATTTTGTTGACGATATTGCGTCGAATATTAGAGATATCGTGAAAAGTTTTCGAGAAATTTGCAGTTTATCAGAATTCACAGGCTCAAGAATTTTTGCTTGTGTTCCTTTTTTTATATTATTTTATATTAAATGTATATATTCAGTATACATTATTCAATATAAAATTTTAATATTATTCTTTTTACCGAATTATAAATAATCGAATGTCAGAGAGAAAAACCAACGCATTAAACATTTTATAGAGACACGACTGCAATTGGTCGATGACAATTTTCTTGTTGACTTTATTTAGTGCAAGTAAGAGATCAACTCAAAGACATATATATCTTTGATACAAAGAGTACGTTTCATGTTTCTAAATCAATTAATTTCATTTAAAATATAAAATGTACCTCAAAATTTATGTATGCAATATATAGATGCGAGTGGTATATATTTCGCAAATATTTTGACATCAAGTATACATTGCAAAAGGTATAAAGTTTGTATTTGAAAACTTAGTCTTGACCTTTACAGGGTTCTTCGAGGTCGTTCAAATACCAGCACGATGTACGCTTCTCTCTGATATATTACATTTTAATTACATTTGTATTTTATATTACATTATAATTACATTTTGTATTTCTCGAGATATTTGATATTTTTAATTTCGTATTTCGAATAGAATTTCACTCGCCAGGAAATGATTTGATCAAACTGTTACATGCAGGATATTTTAGTTGAATAACCATGATCAAATAGTAGATTCGTCACCCTTGTTATTCGTGGAATTAGAGATATGTCAAAGATAGTCGAATAAAATATCATTGGGGTTATAAATATCGAATAGAAACGAGGAATCTCATCGAGATATAAATAAAAATTAATAAATGTACATTATTGTAATCTTAAAAATATAAATTTTGCATTAGTAAGTAATGACTGTTTTCAGATTTGATCCATTAAAGTCATGTTTCCAACGTGAAGTAAAAAATTAATATTTTCTATCGAATTCAGAGGCAACAACGATAAAAATAAGTTTCATCTGAAATAACTGATTTAAGATGTAATCATTTTTATTGGTTATTCTATTCACTTCTGTCTATTGACATCTGACAAAAATATTGTAACGTGTTCCCAATTATCCAAATTCTCTGTTTACTTAGAGGATAGTAATCTGTCTGTCCATGTGACAAAAGGAAACTATCTCTACTCTAGTTAATCTACGGTGGACCATTCGTTTCTCTTCATCCTTTATCGCTAGTAGGTTGGGCAGTTCTTATCAAGACCTCTCAATATGTAGCAACAAGTCCCACGACTGTGTCCACAATCGTGTATTTTTGTACACACTGAAATTATATATCAAAATATTTTCAACGTTACCTGTAAATGGGCATTATTAATTGATTATTAAAGGTTAATTAAATTAATTTAATTCGAAAAGAAACATTTCCTTGCAGAATTTATACAGTAAACTATTAACATACAAATAAACACACATTACTGCAAGAATATTTAAGATAACGATTAAAAATATATTAAACTTATGAAAAGACGATATTGCTTCTGAAGGAAATTGAATAGAATCGTGAAGATTAGAATAAAATTCGAATAAAATAATGGAATATCCGTCAGTATATTGTAAATAAAAATTATTTATTAAATACAAGTAAAAGATTGAAATAAAATTGGAACAGAATTAAAAAGTAAATAATAGTTGCAAATAGAAAATTGAAATATAACTCTAATTATAACTCACAAATAAATAATTAATAATATAATATTACACACGTAATGTTATATTATACGATTATTACATTCCATCATGAAAAATATCCTCGTGTAACACAATGCCGGCAGTCATTCGCCTAAAACATCACGATACGTCTTGAGAACGAGGGTTACATATCTCCTGCTGTAAATCTAGAAATTGTGCAAATATCGTGGACGATGTCATCGAGATCCAAGAGAATAGTTTTACGTAATAATATCGATTCACTCAAAAATAAGTTCGCCAAGAGGTTTTTCTCTGGCCTTTACTCGCAATTTATTTATTTGTTTCTCTGTTGGAACGAGTCTGTTGGCTGATAATGTGACTGTATTATCGAAAGAGGAAAGAAAGAACTTCCTTCCTAAAGTCGGTTATATTTGCGCAGAAACGGACTCGTGTAGCGCGTGTGCGTTTCTACGGAGAAGAATGCTAGCAAGAATAGGATGAAACCGATCATCCGCAGGACATTGCGGCTAAAAATCCCTGCTTCGTTTCGAAATATTCTTTAATTATCTTACGTCACGTTCCAGGATCGGTTAATCGTTCCCATAAGTAGAAATGTATCATTCTTGAAAATTTTAAGATTAACAGTCACCTAAGAACATCCTGCCTTACTTCTTCGTAATAAACAGCTTAAACCAAATTTTATTATATCGTTACTTCTCTCGAGATTTAAAATTTTTTAAATTTAAATTTCAAAATAATATTTCTTGATAATAAAGGAAATACAATTCAAAATTTATCTAACTAATTTAATAACGAGCATGTAACGATCTGTAATTCGAAATTCATGATCGATAATTTAAATAAAAAAATGAGGAATTTTAAAGAAAATTAAAAGACAGTATCTGTAAAATATAGCTTGTTATTGTTTCAGGGATATTTATTTACCATTAATATTTCGTATACTTTAGGTTTGGAAATAGACTTTGTACGTACGTAAGTTATACAGAAATAATAAGTAGATTACATTACCAGTTATTTATGAGTCTAACACGTCAAGTAACCCGAGAAACAATAATAATTTTGCCTAAACGAACCACCCGATAAGTGTTTATAAAAATACTTATGATCCTGCTCAGAGTCAGTAAAATAAAAACAAATCTAATCTTAATATCCGCTTGATAGCCTTTGTAGCAACGAAACTCATCAAATAGCAGTGAGATCCGTGTACTTATTTATTTCAATTTCTAATTTCTTTTGTTAATAGGTTTGACAGCGCAAGATGCAGATGAAATAACAAAAGTCGACGAACTTCTCGTAGACGAAGGCGATTTTTTGGAGATCAAATGCACCGGTCTTGAAACGATCTCGTTCCACTTTCCCGAATCCTCAAGAGAAGCAGTAAGTCGTACTACGAGAAATAATTGATCAGATGATACGATATAAAGAGCAAAATAGATATTTCCAATCGTTCGTTACGTCTACCAACTATTTGTTTAATCTGACAACAGAATACAACATCGGCGTTTTATACACGAGAGGAAATCGAGGGTGGCATCCATACATACATATTTCAACGACCTGAGACTGTCCATGGGGACACGGGATTATATGGTTGTCCTGGTTATCCTTTAGAAGTTACCTCGCACCCTCATTTCAAGACATCTGGAAGTATGGTGTATATTTATGTCCAATGTAAGTAGATTTTTAAACCTTCCTTACATAAATTATTAACGTAGACAAGTATTTTAACGGAACATCGTTATTTTCGGCTTGCTTTCTTCGGTAAAAGAATACAAGGAAGAAGAATTATTTATAATATTCTTCTTTTCGTGACAAAGTTTTTATTTCAAGAAGATCTTTACAAAAGTGCGAGAGATTGACTTCTTTAATCGATACAATGAATTTTTCTGTATTTATACGATAAAGTATTATTATTTAAATGAAAAATTATATGATTCGTTTTCGTATTTTACGATATTAAAACAGAGAAATTATATAATCTCGTTAGCAAAAATCGAGAGTTTTGATTGAAAAATGCACTTTGTCCAAGAATTGGGATATAGATTAGTAATAATTAAGATAAAATGGAATAAGAAAGAAGCTCTAAATACACGATACATGTAAATTAAAAATAAGACTCAATTAGACTTCGCCTTTCAAAATTAACACGTGGACCAGAGATAAAGGGAACGTCCTGAGATTAATTGCAATAATAACTTCAGATAGTGGCTTGAACGCTATTAAATGGTTACACGGTTCGAGTTAATTAGCCAGCAGCCATAAATTACTCTGTAAATCAGTGACAAAACTACGTGACCATGATACATCAGTTTACTGCTGAGCTTCCGACTATTCTGTTTCAGCGAACACCAGCGTGTTCGTGCAAGCGGACTCTTTTGTTTCACTGCACGAGGTAGTCGGTGGAAGTGCCATAATTCCGTGCAGGCCAACGTCGCCCAGCTTTAAGGTCCAGCTGTTATTCAACGATTTAGTAAGTTATATGCGTTGGTAATTGATTGCTCCTTTGCAAGCTTCCATGCAAGCTGATACGCAGTGGCGTGTAAGAATAACCGGTTGCAAAGCCTTTTGGAATTGGAATTAACGTGACATACGTAAACGGAATAAAAGAAAATAATATAACATTAGTATAGTAGGTAATACCATAGTATAAAATAGATAGTATAACATTTTTCAATCTCTTTCGTCTCGTGATATCCCTATTAACCGGTGACATCTCTATTATTTCTTCTATTTGAAAATTTAGACAGAGATCGATAATCATTTCTCTGCGAAGGATCATCGATTTCGTCCAAAGCAATTACACGTTCCAATGATCTAACCGATAAAAATAAAATATCTGACACTAGTTATTCTCAGTAATTTAAAAATTCTAGTATTAGTTTATATAATTCGATTGTTGGGTAATAGATAAAAATCTTGGGGCTTAAAATCTGAGGAGGAAGATTTAGGGAGAATAAGATTGGTATCTTCGATTAGATAATTTAATATCGCGTATTGAAAGAATTCTCACGGCACATTGCTGAAGATTGCTAATAGAGCAGAAAGGAATGTATTCCTTGTATTATTCGCGATACATGTATGCGATATATGATGCCTGTTTATTAAATGTACATGTTCGCTTGAAAGATCACTCAATAAATTTGCTCACAGTTAGAGAGAAGCCTATTTAACCGTAGACCTTTGCACGCCACCGATGATTAACATCGAAAGATTAATATTGTACGACTAAAGTCGAATTCATTGTGCAGCCTATAGAAAAAACATATTTCAATCCGAGAGTTGGCTTCACACTGAAGAACCTCACGCTGAAAGACGGTGGTTACTTCAAATGTGTCATCGCACAAGAACATATAATCCACGAGGTCATTTATTTTTTGATCGTGGTTCGTAAGTATGCCTCTTAAATATCAACCATAATTCTTTGCTGGATATTTGAACATCAGTCGCTATCGTAATATCTTGGGACTATTTGAAAAATGTATATTATTCCCAAAATTTGCATATCGAATTAAATTATCTACTTATATATGTATGTAGTATACCAAAAGTATTTAATGTACGATATTAATATTAATCATTTGTTAAGAAGAAGACAAAATAACATTTTTCTGTGACGTACCTCAAGTACCTGGACTTAAGTCATCGAATTGGTTGAAATCGTCTTGATCGATTTTAGGTAAACTGGAGTTGAGCAATCCAAAGATTCTGGAGGATAGTTTGCGTCATGTAACCCGAGGTCAAACTTTACACGTAAACTGCACAACGGATGTTGACGCAGACATGCAATACGTATTCAATTGGAGTACACCGCAACAGGTTTCAGAATGATTCGTTTATTTTTATACAAACTGCCTGCTGCTTCGACTGGGGTTTAATAGAAAATAAATTTCATGTACTATTATAGAGCAGCAGAATAAGAACTAAATCCTATAATCAGAAATCTGGCTCAACTCAACGGGTGACCGTTGAATTGATCATCGAGGACGTAAAGAACGAGGATGAAGGCTCGTACGAATGCTTTATCAAATCTTTTCGTGATTCTAGAAGAACGATAAAGAACATCACGATACATGGTAAGTAAAAAATACAATAATTCTCCTTCAGTTATATTACGTTGCTTGAAATTGAGATATCGTGACTCACACTAAATAAATATATTTGTAAGAATATTCTGATTAAATTTTGAAAGTATGAAAAAGGGAATTAAAACACTATGAAAAATGATTCGAGACGTTAGGTTCATTTGAAACCTTTGTCCAATTTACTGAATACTAGACTGTAGTCATTTTGGTTGAGAATTTGATGGAAGATTGATTTGAATATTGCTCATACATGGTATATGATTCACGTGTAAAAAGAGAAGTGTCCTTGTAAATAAACGTCATATGCATTTTTAGATCCAGAGAATAAGTTTATCAACCTGACAGCAGAGGCCAAAGATAAACATTTCAAACGTAAAGAAGGCGATTATGTGCAGTGGGTTGTGTTCGTGAATGCCTATCCAGAACCTACCCTTAAATGGTAATAACTTAAGATACAATGCGCAGGGAAACTGTGAGAGATTTTATTGTTTAAGAAGATAGAAAGCTATTAATGATAGCTGAATATAATTAAAGATAATTAAAAACTATTTAAAATAACTTTATTTAAAATAGCAATTAATCAGCTGAATATAATTCACTATATATTATTGAATGTGTTCGCTTAAAAGTGATTGAACAAAATAATATCGAGACTAATTTTTAGGAAAAATTATGTTCATATTCTTAGAGCTATAAAAGCATTCAAATTGTTTTTCAGTATCTTTCCTGTAGTTAAAGTAATGTCTAAAGTGGTGATACTATTGTTTTAGTATTTTAATATGATCTTAACATATTTCCAGGCTAAATACAAAGGGGGAAGAAATCGTAGGGAATTGGGATTCTGTGGAAAAGGCGAAATACTCGATAAATTCGACACCTTACTATACGAGTCTAAGGATAAATAACTTAAACATCGAAGACATGGGAGAATATTCACTTCAAGCGACTAATCAAGATAAATTCGAAATGCTGAATTTTACGTTAGATGTACAAGGTAAATAATTTTCGTTTTACATATTTAAGCAGTGAAACTGATTCTCTGTTATTATACTTTTTAGTGAAGCCTCTGCCAATATTGAAGGTGAAGCCTTATTATGCACCTAATCAAGAGGTAGAAATACCCTGTGACGTAGCTACATTTCCATCACCAAACATCACGTGGAGTTTTATAAAGTGTCCTTATTATCCTTCTTACAAAGATGCAAGCACAATAGAATTAACGGTACGTAATGTTAAGTATTAATTTCAGTAAATTTCGAGCAAATGGTGAAATGAAAAATTTATAAATTTATTTATTTATTAAGTTTATCCCTTCGCTTTATTTTTATTTCTATTATTTTACGTCCATTATTTTAGTAAAACAAGTTTGCTAGATATGACGTGTTTCCTACTTAAAAAGGACTAGTTTGCACTATTTACCTCTCATATTGATACAAACGAAGTGTTGAAATAAATTTCTAAAAATTAAAATTGTACGAAGCTTTGTAAGAAAAACCGTGTTAAAAGTCGCAAAATAGTTTTCTATTTTCAAAGAAGATATATCTTTTACTTTATTACTATGCAATAATTAATTTCTTCTTTAATTCTATGCAGAATACGAAGGAGAGTGGAATGAACACAAGATTTCTCTCGACAGTGAAGATGACCATCGAAATGAGCGGACATCTTACTTGCACTGCGTGCAATATCATCGGATGTGAATCTCAGACTGAAAGCATTTTAGTTTCTGGTAAAAATACTTTATATAGCTCTAGTCAATTACAATCTGTTATATCTAATTTCATTCAATGTGTGCATCGAATTAATATACACAACATTCGATACATTTACAATAATTGGACAAGGAAATAAAAGAAATAAATCAGGATAATACAAATTTCTAAATAATACTATGCGTTTAATTGGAGAAAGACCAAGAACGTCACGGTTAATTATCATATTATTCATTCATTCTAGCTACATAAAAATTGTATTGCTATAATTCAGTTGGAGAGTTGAAAATATATTCCCAAGAAATAATTATAGTAATATTATAACGTGATTAAAATCGTAGATTGAACAGTGTTAATTATAAATGCTATGGATAGTGCTATATTATAAAGCATAATTTATTTTCTCCAAGACAAATATTATTACTTATTAAATGCTATTTATTTATTAACTACTAATTTCAATATGTTGTACTTTAATACTACAGATGGAGTAGGTGGATTTGGTATAATCGAGCCTAAGGATCCTGTAGCCGAAGGTGATGATATAGATCTGATTTGCGCCGCCTCCATTTACAATTACACGAATAAGTTTGAATGGAAATACACAAACAGCACAAACAATACAAACGGTACTCCCATCGAACAAAATAGTAAGTATCTCCGATTCGTATCACGATTTGAAAAGAATAACGTTTTTGAGAAGAACTTAATTCGTTAATCGATCTTTTTTTACACCTTTAGACAGACTATCGATCGAAGAAACCAAAACTAAATTTACGTATCGTTCGATTTTGAGTATAAAAAATGTGACGAAAGAGGATTCGATGACTTATACATGCAGCAATAAAGAAGAAATGGATTTCTTCCTTCCAGTACATGGTAAATATTTCACGATCGAGTAAAGAAGGTATATTACTGTGAAAATTAGGGCTTTTATCGTTACTTATCGTGGATCACTGAAAATCATCATACTCATTTCCAGTTTCATTTCTGTCTCCCTAAGAAATTATTTTATTTCAAATTTCTTGCGAACTTGGTCGAATATAGATAAAATGTGTCTGAAGGCATGAAATTTTATATGTATACGTATATTTATATAAAATAATACATGTAAATTTATACGTATATTTATATAAAACAATATGTGTCACTGTTTAATATCTATAATTACTTTAAACTTCGCGTTAACAAATTTTTGATCCCGACCAAAGCAATTAGCTGCTAGTAAAACTATTAGTAGTGAAACTGGTAAAGATCATTGCAATTGCAAATGAATTTTCCAGCAGGTAAAATAAATTTGATAAACAGTAAAAAAGTGAAATAACTAAAGTAATTATTTAATATTTATTTCTTTTGCTTTTTTAGACGCGAAATCGCCTTATTTCAAGGAGACTAATCTGTATCAAAATGAAACTACGATCGATTTTAACACACAGGGTCACAAAACGCTGATACTCAAGTGTTTCGTGGGTGGAATGCCTAAACCAAAAGTGACTTGGCATAAGGTAAATATTCAACAACACGTTATTAAAAATTACATGATAAAATTCAAAAAACTTGATCAATTAACTGTCTAGTGAATCCTTTAACTGTTACATGATTTAAATCAAGATTTTCTATGTATATTACTGTATTAAGCCTTTTATCTTAATTCAAAAGTCACGCAATAATTTTCGTTTCTCGAAATACTAATTACACCATAATTAATCACATGAGATGTCTAAATGCTTATACGTATGTTTCCTATGGATTAACCGAAAGTGCTTCTTCCATGACAAACAAAATTATTAATTCCATTAAGATTACTAATCAAATTATTATGAATTTCATCGATATAGGTATTTTATGTTTTCTCATAGGACGATACAAAGTTAAATATAAACGATCAGTATATGTGTATCCGTGACGGTCAAGAGATGCATATTAGATATTTTCGGGAATCTGACAGCGGAAAGTATTCGTGTAAAGTACAGAATCGTTTTGGAGAAATCTCGTCCTACCTGATAATAACGGTGCAAGGTAGTTTGTTCAATTATAAGATATCTAATAATCCACTGTTTTCGATATTATGAATATCTCACGATTCAAAGAGGTATGAAAAGTTCTCACTAACTATTCAATCTTTTGAAATTTATAGGCAAAGGTCTACCTAAAGAACTGATCATACTGATAGCCGTCTTATCGATCACGATAGTGACTTTGGTGTTCTGCTTCTCGATCAAAATACGACGTGAAAGGGTATTTCCGAATCACTGAATATCGATTAATCTTCGAATTTTTTCTCATACTTCTTAACATTTCCTTATATTTTAGATCATGAGGAAAGAACTGATGGAGGCAGGGTTGATGCACTTCGAGGAAGGAGCAGTGGACTGCTTGAATCCGGACTTAACCGTAGACGATCAAGCAGAATTGCTTCCCTATGACAAAAAGTGGGAATTCCCGCGAGAAAAATTGAAATTGGGTAAGGAATATAGATGGATGACTTTGACATAGCCCTTAAGTAACATGTAAACGAAATACAGTATGTATGTTATTGTTGTAGCAATATGGTAACTAAGTACTCGCCGAGTTCTTTCTAAACCAAATTTTTAATACGACCTTGCGAACCCGATCGGAGCAAAGAAATTTAAGTTAATCAAAATTATTGAGCCACTCTTTTTTCACCATACCTTACAGATAAAAGAAGTATTAAAAGAAACTAGATCTTGTAGTATCTAACAACTTAGTTTAGCAATAAACTTTTGCGCTTATTAAATATGTAAATTTGTAGAAACATTGTACGTGCACTGATTAGATTGTCTTTTTGTTAATTAAATTATTACAACTATCCGTTGTTATTTTCTTATCAACATCTCTGTTACATTACGTTCTTTCTCTGCTTGCTCTTTACTCATACTCGAAACTTCTTCTATCAAAAATTGCCTCGTTGCACAGAATGACTCACGTAACTTGAATTTATGAAAAGTTGTCAGTCGACATTCTTCTACGATTACTCATACGTTCTTCCTCGTAATGTAGTAATGAAAACGACGATTCTATAACATCGACAAATCTATTCGACATCGAATTTCCAAGAAATTATGATTATGAAATAGAAAAGCCACGAACGTAGAAGAAGGGAAGTCTCGATCTGTTTGCACTTTAATTTCTGTCTATGAATGAACCATACAAATGCTATAACGTAACATCATTCTTGAACTCTGTTTTCTTCTTATATACAAAAGGACAAACCGAAGAAGTACCATTTTCTCTTTTTAGATGTTAATTGTATTAATTTCGTAACAAAACATATCGATGGTGTACGTTGATTACGCGTAACGTCGTTTAACAGGGAAACAATTAGGAAGCGGAGCTTTCGGGGTTGTTATGAAAGGAGTAGCTGAGGGAATTTGCGAGAACGAGCCATTTACCACTGTAGCTGTAAAAACGGTACGTCGGACCACATTGCCCACGTGTGTTCGAGCACTTGCCAGTGAATTGAAAATTATGGTCCATCTTGGCAAACATTTGAACGTGGTGAATCTTCTCGGTGCTTGCACGAAAAACATTTCCAAACGTACGTATTTATCCAGTGATCCAGGAATTTCAATGTAATTTAATAATTAACTTAATAATTATATAACGTGTATAGCAATTTCGTGGCAAATGAAAATTTCTTTTCGAATGTCAGGTTTTGAGAATTCGCAAATTCACAGAATTTCTCTTCGAAATTAATAATTTGAAAATTCTTACCTTCCAGCTATGATATATCGGATAAAATGAAAATTTAAATGTTAGTAATTAGATAAGTACAATTTTTGATTCGAATATTCATACTAATATCGATTTTCTTTCCAACAGGTGAATTATTAGTAATCGTCGAATATTGCCGATTTGGAAATTTGCATAACTATTTGCTGCGACATAGGGACGATTTTATCAATCAAATCGACCCAGCAACCGGCAAATTGGATCCCACTATTGGTCTGGATCTCTTAACCAGATCTCTCAGCATCAGCAGCAATAACAGGTTTGTTTTTACTTTTCACTTCTAAATAATATCTCTACTTATTAACTCTTTGCACTACAATGGCGAGTCCAACTCATCGCGAATTCGTGTCAAATTTCAAGATCATAAGCTATACTACTATAATTATATTTCACACGTCTTAACATGCACAGTATTCTTAGAATTTCTTAAATTTCTACCTAATCCTATCGTCCATGGAATAGGTGTACAGTGGGTAATTGAAATTAAATACTACTTGAATATATAATTTTTCGTAATTAAATCGTAGTGCAAGGGGTTAATACTCTCGATAACTTCATAATTACTTTATTCCACTTCACGATTAAATAATCCACTGAAAGTATCCAGGGAAAAGAAAAATGTATACAAATTAAGATCTATGTAGAACAACCAACTTCCCCTACTCTATAACAGCAATTCTCAAACTTTTATCCAACGCGTACCAGCCAATCGATATGTAATCAAGTCACGTACCCCGTTGTAAGTAGTGTCTGTTCATTGTAATAAATCCTACTGTATATAATTTCAAAATTTGATATAATTTGATTCAACTCACGTGCCACTTGGGAATATTCAACGTGGGAATTGCCGCTTTATAACAATACTATTAACAGCTCTTTACAGATGTTCTGAAACGTGATGTTCAAACCCGTATATGTTATGTTTTTAACTTGCCCTTTCACATAGAATTTGCATGAATATTACATATTTCTGCTTCCTTCCATACTTGATTGATAACATCGTTACATTACTATAAAAATACTGACATTGTGCATGGGGTTGCGGTGTTAACGACGGATTTGTGTTTTCTTCTGTCCACACGACAGGATAAAATACGTGGCATTGTCATTTTCTCGCAGTCTTAGCGACAATTCTGCCACCGAATCGACAAATTATCAAACTACCGCTATGGATTCTCAAGGAATTAGTATGTCGCCGGATGGCTGTGTTCTTAGTAACAATTCCTCCCAACCAGGATGGAGGACGAATTATCGAGGCGACTTCAAAGATCATAATTTGAAGCCAATCTGCACGCAGGATCTTCTATCCTGGGCGTTCCAAGTAGCACGAGGAATGGAGTACCTTTCTCAGAGAAAAGTAAGAATAATTTGTTTTATTCTTTTTCATCTATTAAATAAGAAAGTATCTTAGAAAATATTAACCCTTTGCACTCGAGAGGTGAGCTTCTGTCACCATTTCATAAAATTTGGAACATCGATATTAATTAATATATCAAATTTAATGTAATGTAACAGTGTGCGAGGTATCGAAATCAAATAATTCTATAATTCTATTATTATACAATTCTTTATTTATTGCTGAAAAAAGTATCGTCAGTTTTATAGTAGAGAATCTTTATACTCTTCTCTAGCCAAAAAGTCGTCGAGTGCAAAGGGTTAATATTCCATGCAAAGTATATGTATAAAAATTTATAATATAGACAAATTACAATTTAGAGAAACATGTGGATCTCATCTATTTGAGTAAATATATTTGAATAATATATATATAGCTGCAAGAACATCTGCATAACGTATTTGGTAGTCAGTATAATAGACTGTTGGATAATGAAACATTCCAACATGGGTAACAGTAGTTATATTATAAACGTATAAATAATATTTAATCTAGTTTAATAATTATTCTGCCAGGTATTGCACGGTGACTTAGCCGCAAGAAATATTTTACTGGCCGAGGACAACGTAGTTAAAATCTGTGATTTCGGTCTGGCAAAGACCATGTACAAAGATAATAATTACGAAAAGAAAGGAGGTGGTCTGTTACCAATAAAATGGATGGCCATCGAGTCGATCAGAGATCGTATTTTTTCGACACAGTCGGATATTTGGTCGTTTGGTATAGTTTTATGGGAATTCTTCACGTTGGCTGAAACCCCTTATCCGGGAATGGAAGCTGAAAAACAATATCAAAAATTGATCGAAGGATACAGGATGGAACAACCAGAATATGCCACTTCCGAAGTGTAAGTTCAATTCCTATATACATACATTTCGTTTAATAATTTTTCTCGATAACTGTAAAAGAGACCAAGGATCAAAATGCATTTACCTATTTATCGTTACATACTTACATTTTAACGCTAAATAAAAATTTTTAAAAATGTCAAAATATTTCTTAAAAACTGTAGAATACAACCCTTTACTTGTTAGCATAAGTACTTCTTAAAATTCTGGTAGAGAAGTACTAATTATCATGGTAGAATAATTAATAAACACGATATACTAATTTTCATCTCGAGATTTTCGAAATTCTTAAGAGATCTCGTATCGTTGATCTCTTGTTCTTTATTTAAATCAACTGCAGGTTGTAAATACAATCTTTCTTCTCACAGAGATAGGAAACATGAAAATATTATTTTATATTTATTCTTAAAAGTTGCTTCTCGTTATTTTATTTAATTCTTCACAGGTATGACATAATGCTCCAATGTTGGAAAGCCAAGCCTACCCTACGACCGAGTTTCACAAAATTGGTCAAGAGTATTGGCGATTTATTAGAAGAAAGCGTAAAAGCGGTGAGTTTGTTATCAGTTTCTGTTCAAAATTTCTGCAAGTACAAGTTTAACACTCCCTACAACTTTTATCATCGATCGTTGATTTTGGAATCGTATTGATTTCGATTGGAACTTGGATCTTTTTTACATTACGATAATCAGAAAATAATCAAGAGTAAACTGACATTCCCTTCTAAATTAAATTCATTTCAGTGCAAATGATACATTAACAAAGTTCAGAAGTTTCAGAATATTTATTTTGACAATTAGCGAACGCATGCCTCTGCATTTGGTAAAATTACTAGCCCCTATGGGGATGGTAATATTTATTTTCGTCCATTTCATCCATACCATTTTAATTAATATTATCTACATGTATTTAGGTATATAATATCTATCGGTAGTTCTAATGTTAAAGAAACACACTGAAGTTACTATTTATCATTGTGAATAATGCAACGCTCGAGTCCACCGAAAACGCTTTGAACACAACTACGTATTAAGACCGCACGTGTTATAATCATTTCATCCTAACCTATCTTCGTTTAATTTACAGCATTATATTAGCCTAAACAATCCTTACATGGACATGAACACGGCCATGTTGGAAGGCGGTCGAAGCGACTATTTAACCATGCTTTCCGCGCCAGATCACACAGCACTTTCCTCGCCCACTCACGACTATTCCAACTTGCCCAACATGAATTCACCAAATTCAGCGTACCTGTGCATGAATAGTCCGACCAGTGAGGGATACAACTCGGAAATATTCAGTCCCAGACCAAACCAGGAAGGCACTCACTTTGAATTTCCGTCGCCTACATCTGATTCAGAGGACGCTGTAGAAATGTCACCGATGTTAAAGAAGCAAGAGGAAGATGATCCCTATCTGAAACCCATCGACGTGCAGGCACGACGAGCAGAGTTTGTTCGACAGCGACAGCAAGAGGTGGTGAAGAATCAAGCAGGGGACCGATATATCGACAGGGATTCCGGATACTGCAACACTCCGCGGAACATTCAACTGATAGATCTGAACGAGAAGAACGAGAGTGGTTTAGTGAATTCCAATGACGAGGTGTCGAGTAACGGAAACACTCTACCAAAGAAGGATTACATACCGGCGATCATCAGGACACAGGACAATTATGTGAACATGCAGAAGCAGAAGAGGCTAGACATGCCAGCTGGCTTCAGCAATCCTAGTTATGTAGTGATGACCAATGGCAAGAGAGATCAGATGAAAGTTTGAACCCTTGTGCATGACAAAAATCGGGAAATGTCTGTTGCAGGCAGGATTTCGTGGAGGGGCGTGTAATTGTGGATGTGGATATGGTAAGTGAAAGAGAACAGACGATAGGGATGTATATTGTGTATACGATCCTTTTGACGTTTTACAATTATAGTGTGTAAGTTGCTGTTTAATATCGTGCTTGTGCATATTCGTGCACGTGCTGTTTAAACGAGAAACTAATTATACAAACCGGCTCCGAACGTCACGTGTTGCCCTCGTGTAGATTGCTTGATCTTCGACGTGCCATGACGAAAATCATTTAAAGTTACTTGAAGAACGAGATAAACTGTGACTAATCTTTTTTAACGAGCTTTTAGATATTCGTGGGATGATTGAGATGTATAATACCATTTGATGATTCGGTTGGCAACCAGAAATGGAATTTCTATTACAAAAAAGATAATCGAGGAGAATGGAAGAATTTGTCCTTCATTATTAAAAATTTTGATATAATGCAAGAATTTGTCCTTCATTATTAAAAATTTTTATATAATATCGATTAGCTGGTATGGAAATCGAAGAGTAAAATAATAAGATACAGGGATGTTGGACGTGTGTTGTGTCGATACAACTTTGACACAGATGATAGGAAAAAAGAATAGTGCGAACATTTTTGGGCAAACAAGTATACATACGAAGGACAAATTTTCGATATAACTTTTATTGAGAAACAATTTTTCTAGAAACCCTTTTTGATACGAATTTATAGCGACTAATACCTCGCATGTGAATCAAATTTTATTTCCAAACTGTCAGAGGAAATAAGAGAATAAAAAGACGTTTTATTATTATTCATTTATTGACAAATTATGTTTGTTACAAACAATTAACATTGTTAAGTAACACGATATAAGCGTTACAATGTATTCGCATACACCTCAACAGTTTTAAAAACAATTCTCGAACTTGTCTAAAAGTTTTCACTTAAATGTTCAACATTTTTAAGAAATTGATTGAACTTAATTCGCAAGAAACGTAATGAAAACGTGTGAGTCAAATTGGAAATATGAAAAACATTGCTTCGATATTATGATATTACTTCATAAAGGAGTACGATTTATTGTACGATTATTGTACAATTACAAGGGAACGCTGAATGAACTGATCAAATGTACAAAAACATATCTAGACAATATGGTAAGGCGCGTATAAGAATAGAATTTAATTCGAGTGCTTTTAATAACGTACTTATTATTCATTAAAGCTTTAATTATTATTAATTATTGAAACTATCTTCGACATATTTACAAAAAAAAAACAAGTGTATCGAAAGGAATAATGATAAATTGCAGATCTAATTAATAAGAATATAAAATTTGAAGAGAATTCGTCTATCAGTACTTAATACTCAATGCATTATAAGTTTGATCGCAACGTGTAATATTACATAAATTTATGTATTTACTAGAACCAAAGATGCGTAATGTTCAATTAAATATGTCTGCTCGTCGAATGAGAGAACATTGTGTCGAAGCGCGTGTGTCGAAATAATTTAAATTGTCTTAACCATAGGTCACGTCTAGAAAGTATGAAACTTGTATAATAAACTTTTTACCTTTATAACATTCTCGTTTTGTATTAAGTTACGTGTTTCACGATGAACACTACGTAGGATTATTATTTACTTATATCGTTGACAATTCTAATCGCGTAAGGAACGTCGTGTATCGTTACATTGCTATGTACATGTCGGCCTCGTTTACCTATGTCTTCAACTAAAGTATTCTTATATTCTAGCCATCTGAAATACAGTACAATGCATTTGTTACAATTATTAGGAACTACTAAACACGAATTATGTTCTTTTGGAAATTCGTTTCGATGATTTTGCAATGCCTAATAAATTTGAGAGTTATTAGATCAAAAGGCGAATGATTATGGTCGTTCATAGATGAGTCATTTAGAAACAGGAATGATTAATTTTATTTTTGGAAAATGTTATTAATTATTAATACCAGATTAAATGATCGACGATTACTTTCTCAGAAATTAATCGATTACCTTTGATGGAATTAATCAAGTTTTGCTTTTGGGTTTGTAGGCATAAATATCCAGACACTGATATATTCGTAATAGGGGTACACGAATATTATTAAATATTTAAACCGACTTATCATTTTCTCGTGGAATCGATAAATTATAGGATCTATATTATTTGCCTCAAGAATGGATTTCAGTTTTGAATTAATCATAGTAATCTTCTTGTCAATTTCAAAGGAATTGTTTCTTTATAGTAATATATGATAAATAAAGAGTCTACATCAGATACTCTTGACATTAATTTAGCAATTAAATTGCACCAACGAACTTTGAAAGCAATAAAATACTATAGTTATTCTTACATAGTAATATCGTATTTACAAAAATTCTCAGCAGATTCTAATCTTGCCAATTTCCTACTGAAATTTCTTTCCAAAAGAACACGTCTTTGAAGATATCGTAAAATCATAATAAAAGAACAAAATACTGTACGATAACGATAATACATACTTGCGGTTTATTACGAATTTCTTAAATAATTTTTCCTTGGTAGGAAATTTCGAATTCATGAACAACTTCACGCGTTCCCAAATATTCGCACGATTATGAAGTCTCAACCAATATCGTGGAACCAAAAAACATTTTACGGATGAAGTGGCTACTATCCTTCGATTAACCATGTCTTCCCCTGATTCACGAAGGGCATTCTTTTTATTTTTTCTTGTTACAAAATAATTTTTAACTAAAACGATATCTAAAGGAATAAATTTGACAAAGCATTACCTAATCCAAAACACGCACCCCTATTGAACGTGCAAATTTGCATGAATATCGTGCGTACGTCACTCGGATAACGTTGTTGCGAGGTTGATGAAGCCTCTCTCATCAACATTTCAGCTACATCCGTAATTTTATGCCAATCGCTCATCTTGACATTCGAAATTTTTATTCAAAAACAACGTGTAAAGTCAGAATGATTCGTAGAAAAAATACACAATGAAGGGAGAGAGTTCTTTCTTTCAAAAAAAACTTTCCCTATTTTTCTCCCAAGTATTGAGATATTAAAGTAAAATATTCAAAAAATCAAACTTAATACACAAATTAAGTTATTACTGATATTATCATGTATCGATTGTGTCGTGTTCTACGTTCTTCGTTTCACATAATGATAATCTGCGATATTTATGAAGATTTTACTTACGACATCCAATAATGTGGTTGTAATGATACTTGAACGTTCAAAATCCATTTTCCTATCAGTAGGCTTCGATGATAATAAAAGTTGTGCATAGTCTGTGAAATCTCGACTTGGCGACGTATCTATTCCATTTACCTTTAAAATTGTATAACATAATTGGAGTATTGTGACAAGGAATACGTGAGAAAGTAAAAAGAAATTCCAATCCCACAATGAAAGCAAATGCTAAGTATGTGTGAATGTTTGAAAATAGGAAGAATTAGGTTTAATTGTTTCAAATATGAAGAAAGAGATAATTTTCTTCTACTCGATTAACATACGGAAGTTTATCATAATACAGTGTACGATATAAACTTTATTGCTATAAATTACCCTATTAATTTAAATTTAACCCTGTATCTTTACGTGGTAACATACCTTGGTAGTTTCATACTCGTATTCCAATTCGTCTATCTTTGCAAACGCTTCATCCTTTGAGAATCTGATGCTTTCCTTCTTCGCATTATCCTTCTCAGGATCGTATAATTCATAATGAGTTCCATAAACAGAATGCTTTTCACGAACAATCATGTGTTCTATCAAGCGACATTCACCTTCTAATAAAAAGTGGACATAATTCACCATTCCTTTAGCGTCACCTAGCAAAACCTTGAATAATTAATGTCATTCTATTTACATTTACTTTGCTTCGATGCTATGCAATGAGAAAATTTGCAACACAATCAAGAACATAATTAAATATTATTAATAATATAATATTGATCGTATTAATAGTATTTCATATTAATATGATATTAATTATATCAATAATATTTAATATTAATACAATATTAATAATATTTAATAGATGTAGAGATGACTTAAGTATGGTTTTCTTTTTTCTCATTAATAATATAATGGCATTAATTAGCAACTTCGCACCTCGTCAGTTTGAAATTCCTTTATTTTACTGAGAATGCAACATTCTCGTATAGTCTCCTCGTCCCAGCATTTAAAGTAATTGAAGTGTACTAATGCATCCTGCAATACCTCCCATTCCTGTTTTAAACTTGGTCGCAAAATGTCATCGAATTCTTGCCGAGGAATAAGAATCAAATCCACCGTGGCTACGAACAAGACAAAGTTAAAATTGTTGGAATATTTAAATAAATAGAGTCAAAATACGAAAACGAAAATATAACATATATTATACTATAAGTTTACAGTAAAATACGAGCAGCAATGCGATAGTACACACTTTTTGAAACTGCTGTTGCTGATCTCGGTATTTCATGCAGTAATGCGACTTCGCCGAATATATCACCAGGATTCAGAATTCCCATATCGATTACTTCCGATTCACCTGAGCATGAATTATAATATATTTTAATATATTATTGTGTTTTATTTTTAACTATATTCGTATAAAATAAAAGATAAACTTTCTCTGCTTTTAGTTTCGGGAAAAAAGATCTCGAAATTCACTTCCTGCCCGATCGTATCATTTAATATCATTTATCTTATTTTGCATACCAGTCCATCGGTCGGTAACCACCCTCGATACACTGACTTCTCCACTTATAATAAAGTAAAGATTCTCAGCTTCACGACCCTGTCGCACAATTACCCGACCAGGCCGCAGGTATTGGTACAAACATACTCCTGCCAAAATTTCTCTCAAACGTTCAGAATACTTCTTGAATACGCGAAACTTGGTAAATAACTCGTATATGTATTTTCTGTCCTCCGGTGTACGATCTTCTAACCTCGTTAATAAAACAGAACGATCCTTAAATAATAAAACGTATACATATAATTTTCATCGCTTAGTAAAATCGTATATTTTCATTTTAAACAGATAGTTTTATGGAATTTTACATCTATATTCTATTATAATATACCTAAAAGAAAGGTATGAAATGAATCTTAATTACTATTGCAATATACATAATGAGTTGATCTACATATCCATATACATTTCAAGAGGTACTAAAGAAAGGGACAAAAATATTAGTCAAAAATTAGCTAACAAAGGTATAAGCATACAATCGTAAAGACAAAGTGGAGAATTATGGAAGAAAGAAGAAATTTTCGTTAAGGGAACAAGAAAGATTAAAACACTTTATGCACATCTAGGTGTGAAGACAGATCTTAGCTGAAAAATTCGATTACTTGAAAAAGTTGAAAGAAAAAGGTATAAGGAATAAAAGAGGAAAAATAGCAATTGAGATTAAAAGGAGTGAAATATAGGGATAGGATATCAAAGAAAAAAAGAAGTGAAAAGGATAAATAAGGAAATACATGGGCACAACGGTGGTGGAAAGCAAATATTGAAATAATAGATATGTATATTTCGCAAGTTATGTAACTAGGTTCAAAAGGCTATATTTTGGTCAAAGGTTATAAATCGACTATACCATTATATTATGACACAATAAATTAATTTGTCGTAATAAATAACTGAAGGCAAGTGGTGAAAAGTTTAACAAACCTGTATGGTAAGCGCTTTCTTTTCAACTTTTTTCTCTTGTGCCTTTCGTATATTAATTGTAATATCATCGCTGATTTCTTCGACCAAAGATTCTTCGATCAGCCATTCGATATATTCCAAGACAAGCCTCACTGCAGCTCGAAAAAGGTAATTTCCCTTCAATCTATTAACCTAAACATCCGTTGACATTAAGGACTGGTGACATTATTTTCAACAATCTTTCATAATACTATACGATATTTTAAAGTGTTATGTAATTTAATACACATTGTCGTTTACAATTTTATTCGTACAAACAACAAGAGAGATTGATAAAATTAATGATACAATATATGTTGATAAACATGTATTAATGTATCGTGTTTGTGATATTATATTCGTTTGGTTCATATCGTTCATATTCGTATTAAGTATTGGCTTTTGTTGATATATCAAATTTTTATCATTTTTCACACAAAAATTATTTTTATCATAATAGTATAACGACAATTTTTAATTCTATTTAAAAATATATTTTATCCAAATGTAGAAAGGAATCAATTTATCGTAAAAATGATACCATATGTACTTACTCTTCTTGGAATTAATGATTTCCGTGCTAATATTTCAATAAATGAGTCACGGAGTGATATTCTTCTACTATATGAACGCATCTTTGATATCCTTGATTAAACAATAAAAATATTAATTTAAACATTAATAAATTCACTTAAAAATTTTGAAAATATCTAAGTATTAATTTTTGTAACCACGTACAAAGTATATACGATATGATCTGACGTCTTCTCGTTACAAACACGTTGTTTTATCGATAATGTTATGTTTCATTGGCATAATTGCAAAACACAATAGAAAATATCTCTATTAGTTTATGGAACATCGTCCAACGCGTATGGAATCATAAAAAAGGAAGAATAGAAAAGAAAGCAGTTATTGCATTTATTAAGACACTTATTTCTAAATTATTACATTTTATTATTCAAGCTACAAATAAAATAATGTATCCAATTACTTTAAGAAAATTTAATAAAAAGTGATAGATAAGTGGATATTCTTAATAGATGGTACTAGACACATAGATAAGGTATAGAATAGACCTAATATAATGTGTATTTTTTCGGTCTACTTTCCGGGGTCCTAATATCTATTACCATTTCCGTATCACCCACAACGTTGCCGATAGAGTATTGGAACTGATTACAGGATATGATGGGAACTGCAATGCATTTAAATAAAGCATTCTACTTTTAGAATAAATAAATAAAAATAAATGTTAATTTATGACTTGCTACCGAATTATATAACTTATATGTTAGTATAAAAAACTATTCTCAGATTTTGTCAAATAGACTGATAATAGTAGTAAACAAAGTCGAAATAAATAGCAAATAATTTGATTTTAAAGTTAATAATGGTTATATCTATAGAAAAATTATTCACAATATTGAGTTCCACAATATATTTAAAAATCATCTAAATCAAATAAAACCATTTGTTTTTTAAGTCTAGATCGATAAGGCAGTTAAAATTGAGCCGCGAAAATCTGTACAATTTTAGATCTATTCTATACCTTATCTGTGATATTAAATTCGTAAAATCAAAAAATGTTGTTTGGTATAAGCTCTATGTTATACATTACTAATGACATTATCACTGACTTGCATATGCGAAACGTCAAGTTGTAATTTAATGAGTTTGCGAACGCAATGTATATTGTGTTGTGAGTTCATACAACGTGATTCTTGCTTTTTGTAGAAACTTGGATACTGCTTTTTGTAGAAACTTCATATAATTAAATAATAATGGTAAGAAATATTATTAATTTTTACTACTTTACATAGATTAAAAATATCTATGATAATTTAATATATCTATGAAAAATATTTGTTTTGTAATAAGGCTTTATTGTAGGAGATAATTACAATAGCTTTGCGAATAAAAGAAATCAAAAACTATCATTATTTTATATAAAATGATAGCATTAAAATTATATATTTTAGGATTTCGATTTATCATCAATTGCTCCAAAATCTGCTGTAGACAATCAATTCGATATTCACGATGACAATTATGGTATACCTAATCCGATGATTTCTGGGTATGAAATTATTAAATAATTCTGTTAATAATTAAATACACAATATTTAATTTTAAACTTAATAATATTTAATTACTATTTTTTTTAGGTTATCAGCTACTAGACAACACATCGGCTATGCACACCAATTAGAACCACATGAAAAAAATGTAAAAAATAGTTTTATGCATTAAAGTAATGATCATTTATATGTTAATTTATAATATGTGTACTTTTCAGTATGAGAAAAATAATATTCGTATGAACATGATATTATTAAGAAACACGCAAGGATTACATGCTCCAATGCGTTTAGCAATGGAATTAAAAGCTGCTGAAAAAATTGGAAGACTTCCATTTCTTCCATCATCAAACATGATGAAGCAAGTATTACTTGGAAAAGATGAGGAAATAGGGTAAATTGATTGAAAATTTTCTGTTATTTGTATATATTAAAGAATTTAAATTACATAATTTATAATTATTTTTTATATCTTAGGTTTGAAGATATATTCAATATACCTGAATTTAAAGAACAAATGGGTCAACCACATGCAATTGTTGAAAGAAGTCTTGGAATATTATAAAAATTTAAATTTCTGTTTATAATACATAATTGATTGGTTTTGTATTATTAAATATCTCGAGTAATGATAAGTGTTTAATTCTTATAATTAAATAATTTATATTATATAGTTTGTATTAAATTCATTTATTAAGTTTAATTTGATTTTTATTTTCATGAATTTATTTGCATCAAATTCATATAAAATCAATTCATATATGTATATCTGACCATACAAGATGATCTATTCTACTATTACATATTTTCTTAACTTCTTGAATTGCAACATGTAACTCGATGTCTTTTGTATTTTGCAAACGCGAGTGAATAGATGTAAGAATTGTTGGTACCTTATTTTTCTGTACATGTATTACAAAAGGAATCCGAAATTTTTCTTTATATCTGAAACAATAAGGCAAACTATATTTTATAATAATTTATTCAAAATAAGATTATGCAGTTAAACTCTAATTTTTCATTTTTAATTTTCTCACAAATCGTTGCAAGTACGTAGTATTTGTGTTTCTCCTTTTGACATAGACTCAAGTAGAAAATTTTCTTGCTCAGATTGTAATTCACTAGTTAAAAATCCTTCCCCTATTAATTTTCCAACTAAATCTGGATATCTAAGTAACACATTTTCCATTTCTAAAAATTGATGTAAATATTTACATGGCAATATATTAATACAGAAATTAATTATATATCAGAAATAGTTATTAAACTATGATAGGAAGACTAAATTATATTATCATAATTACTATATTATTTTTACCAGAAATATCCAATTTATCTAAACATTCATAAAAACATTTCTTCATACTTTTAACAGATGTAAACGGTCTCATACGTGCTACATATTGTGCAATATCAGAGTAATGTTCCACAACATTTCCAAACAGCCACTCAAATTGTTCAGGAGTTAAAGCATTTACTTCTGACATACTTAAAATTCCACCTGAATACATATCTAACATAAAAACACATAATGTAAAAAAATAGAATTAAGTTTACTTTAAATAATTTATTTAATATCAACTACGAAAATTTCATCACTCATAATAAACATTATTAATACAAATTTATAAATAAATTAATATCTAAAATAATGTTATATCATAATATCTTCATTGAATAATTGAATAATACAATTACCAATAAAAAATAATTGAGTAAAAAATTCTATAATAAACACTTACCACTTATGGATACTGTCTTGTTTCTTTCTTGAGATTCAAATGTCTTTAAAGTTCATTGGAGAGAAACATGCACAAAGTTCACAAGATTATCAATAATCAATTTTGCGTAATTAAAACATATCCTTTTTAAACAAAGCGCAAACATAATTCGTATTATAAATACTTATTTTCAACATTTTTGTATTCCAAAAGAATAGTCAATATGTAATTCAAATTATTTTCCATTACAAATGAGATATATGAAACAGTTTACAATGTGTTATCGAGTTATTAACGCTTAGAAATATTCCATTATCGGTAAATAAAATTCAAGGACAAAATGTAATTAAACAATACGATTTAAATAAGAATTTAAGTATTAAACAGTATCAATGTGTTATTAATTTACTAAGTACTTCACTATATAAATATTACTTTTAACTATTGCTACTAAATATAAAAATATATTTATTACATATAATAATTTATAATACGAGAAAAATTTCAAAAATCGATTGTATTTGACGAAAAATGTACTTTGAAAGCATAATATTCGGAATATAGGAAAAAGTAAATAATTACAAGTAAATATATTTAAAATAATAATATTTAAATTATTTGTTAAAAAATTTTCATCAAATATTAATGATTATAGAAAATTATTCAAAATATGAAATTTAGAACTCATATTTCAAGCATTTTACGCGGGGATATTTATTCAACCTTATGTACATAGATTTATCTACTTTGGTATATAGCAAAGCATTCCATAAAGTATTATTTGTTAGTAATAGATTTCGTCTTTTAATAATTAGGTGTGAATAATCTAGCAGCAAAACGAAGTCTTTTAAAAGAATGATAAACATTTAATATTGTCCACAGCAGAAGGGGAGAAGGTTATCGCAATTAATTTGCAAATGGCCGATAGGAGATAAAAAATCATTGAGTCGCCAATTTAATTCAACTTCATATCCGATCGTGAGATATTTACACTTTATTAAATGCTATTAAATATTAGATCATTTTTAAATTGTACATGATATTTGGTTCGTAACTTAAATTTTTAATAGAAGTGGTTAACCTTTGTACACAAAATACAGTGTTAGGTATAATATTAGAAAACATGAATATTAAGATTTTAGACGGTGGATTTGGTGCACAATTATCTACCCGTGTCAGTTCAAAAATTGATGGTGACCCTTTATGGGCATCAAGATTTTTAGCAACAAATCCTGATGCTGTTTATGCCACACATTTAGATTTTCTACGAGCAGGTGCAGATATTATTGAGACAAATACATATCAAGCTTCAGTTTCTGGTTTAATGAAACATTTATCCATAACAAAGGAAGAAAGTATAAATCTGTTACATGAAGCTGTTAATATTGCCAAAAGGGCTGTAAATGATTATGTTAAAGAAATTAGAGGAAATAATGACATAGAGAACAAAAATCCTATGATTGCTGGTTCTTGTGGGCCATACGGAGCTAGTTTACATGATGGTTCTGAATATAATGGAACTTATGGAAAAACTACATCTCGTGAAACCATGATTGAATGGCATAAATCACGCATAAATGCTTTTGTAGATGCTGGTATAGATTTATTAGCATTAGAAACCATACCTTGTTATCAAGAAGCAGAAGCAATAGTTGAACTTTTACGAGAATATCCTAATGTTAAAGCATGGCTTTCATTTTCTTGTGAAAGAAATAGTCAAAATATAGTGGACGGAAGTAATTGGCAAGAAGTTGCTACACGTTGCTATAAAATGGCATTACCAGAGCAAATAGTTGCCATTGGTGTAAACTGTGTTGCTCCAAAAGATGTAACTCCTTTATTAAAAAATGTCAATAAAGGGACAGGAAATGAATTTATACCACTGATAGCATATCCTAATAGTGGTGAAATTTATTCACAAAGTGAAGGGTGGGTGAAAAATGAAAGTCCTTCAGTTTCATTTGAAAGTTTTATTCCTGAATGGCTAGAATTTGGAATACGATACCTTGGAGGCTGTTGCAGAATGTATGCAGAAAATATAAAATCAATTAGAGAAGAAGTAAATAATTTTAAGAAAAAAAAAGAAGCAGAAATGGATTAATTTTTTTTCTTTGAAATCAAAAATCAATAATGGTTGTTTATTAAGGTTTAGTTAATTTTGTTCCTGATTTTAAATAAATATCAATTTATATATATTTTTTAATATAAATATCTTTTTGGTTATATAAACATATAAATATATATAAATAGTTTATAATTCTGTTTATAATCTAGCATACTATTTTATATTTAAATAACTTTCAATTAATGTTATTTACAAAAAAAAAGATATACATATATATTCTTTTCATATAGATATTGTAATTATACATGCATTTTCTTATACTTTGTTTGTAACAAATCTAACTATTTGCTAAACTAGTTTATTTGTTATAAACTACCTTGCAATAATACAAAATACAATAAAAATCGAAATTCATCGTTGTTAATAATAATAAAGACGTTTATAAGAACTTCAAGCTTATCTAATAAGACACAGTTAATCTTGACTATTTCTTATCAGACTAATATTAGATATAGTTTGGAATATTTGAAAATATTTTATGTATCGCGATATATGTATGTATGTCATAAACGCGTAATTTATCACACATGTTTAAACACGTGACTAAATCTGATCTTCCTAATGTAAAAGTGTAGTTACAAAAAGATCATTCTTTTTATTAGTATAGTTATGCTTGAAATTTTGTTCACATTAATGTTTATCTCACAGATTCGTTATGGACTTTGGAATAAGTGCATTTTGTGAAGCCACTTGTAGAAATTGTTGCCTCAGACGCGCAAATACATTTAAACGAATAAGACGTGCGTGAAATTATAAAAGTTGATTTTTCTGATGTTAAAGACGTATCATTATTAGGAAAAATTATACAATTTAAAATGTTTAAGATTCAAAAATAATTTTATATTTTTATACGTGGATGAATATTTTTGATATTAAAAGTATTTAAGTTAAGTTACGACAATTTTAATAGAAAATCATGCAACAAGTGAAGGTGGTAGATGGTGGATTTTCTACACAATTAGCAACTCATGTTGGTGATATAATAGATGGTGATCCTTTATGGACAGCACGATTTCTTGTTACAAATCCTAATGCAATTATTTCTACACATTTGGATTTTTTAAAAGCTGGATCGGATATAATTCTGACAAACACATATCAAGCATCTATTGATGGTTTTACAAAATACATGAACATCAAAGAAGAGGAAAGTCTTAATCTATTTTCTAAAGCTGTAGATTATGCTAAAGAAGCTATAAATTTATACAAAAAAGATATAAAAAATAAAGCAAATATTGTAAATGCAAACCCATTAATTGCTGGATCAGTTGGTCCATATGGGGCTTGTTTGCATGATGCTTCAGAATATAGTGGCAAATATTGCTCAGATGTATCACAAGAAATTCTTATGAATTGGCATAGACCACGTATTCAGAAATTAATAGATAATGGTGTTCATATGTTAGCTATAGAAACAATTCCATGTAAACAAGAAGCAGAAGCACTGATTAAATTACTAAAAGAATTTCCAAATAGTAAAGCTTGGTTATCTTTTTCATGTAGCTGTGATGGAAAAAGTATAGCAGATGGTTCCAATTTTCATGATGTTGCAATGTGGTGTTACAAGGAAGCCTTACCAGAACAAATATTAGCAATTGGAGTTAACTGTATTGCACCACAAAATGTAACACCTTTATTAAAGAGAATTAATGAAGATAAGCAAGAATTTGTACCATTGGTAGTATATCCTAATAGCGGTGAAAAATATACAATAAAACATGGTTGGATGAAGAAAGAAGAAGAATACTCTTTACATGAATTTATACATGAATGGCTCAATTTAGGTGTTCGATACATAGGTGGATGTTGTAGAACAAATGCTACAGATGTGAAAAAAATACGAGCAGAGGTAGAGAAATGGAAAAATCAATTAAATGCTTAAATTTTATTACATATTTTACACATGTAATACACATGTAAATACACATATACTATAAAATAAAAATGAATCCTGAAGAATATTAATATTGAAACACTTTTATATATATTTTTCTTATAAACTTTTGTATCATAATAATGTACAATACATTAAAAAATTTCATTTTAGAATTTTAAATGTTTTTTTCCATAATCCTTTCTTTATAAACATATAAAGTTGTGTATTTCTATTTACTGAATGTACAAAAAACTATGTAAACAAGATAAATGTTTTTATCTGTTAAAATAAATTTATATTTTGTAGACAATGAAATTTTTTTTATTTCGAGAATAAAAAAATATATAATTTAATATTGTATATAGTTTTCTGAATTACGAAACATTTATATTACATCATTACAAAAGTTATGCATAAATATTTATTTAAGTAAATGTAAGTTGGTTAAGTATACTCTATATATATACATGTATGAATTAATTTTCCAAAGGTTCGTGAATATAAATTAATTCATCACCAATATTATATACACTTCCTTCTACATTTACATTAATAATTTTGCTTTCCATATCCACATTAAACATAGAATTAGGCGGAACTTTAGTTTTATCCTTTAATATATCATCAGCCACAGCTTTACTTCTAGGGCCTAGTAAATAATCATTATAGCGATACAGAGAAATTGACGACGGACCTAAAAAGAATAAGTAAGCTGGTAAATGATGTAAATTATCATAAATGATTTTAGCTTATATTAGTTGATGTCGCACTTTTTATAAGTTTATTTTCTTTTAATATTCGTGATACGACATTCTCTACAGTATCTCCGTCTGCTATTTTAATCGTTGTTCTAAATAAACCACTGCATTTTTGTGGATTTATAATGCATACTGGGATTCCAGGTGTAGTAGAAAAATTCATGTACGGTGCACCTGGACAACATTCTTCCCTTGTTTTTTCTGGAGCTTCATTTGTATATTTTATAATAATATTCTCCAACTAAATAGAAATAGAAAATTGTAAAATCAAACATATTTCAATAAAAATCATCAAGATCATAATGCTTACATCTAGAGTATTTTCAAGATATTTTTTGTTATCTTCTAGAACTTTGAATTCGTCAAAATCTAATGTCAAATTAAATGCACTCAATCCGACGAGTTGCATTTTTTCCTTCATAGCTTGTACAAATGGCATTACTCGTTTCATATATTTCTTTAATTCTTGTAATTTCCCTAATTCTGTTGCAATAATTTTATTTTCTGGCAGTTTATTGTCATTTTTCTATTAAATAATGTAGTATAAAATATCTGAATATAAACACACAAATTAACAGATAAAATATTTCAATAGATTATAAAATTATTACTTACAAGATATAACTCTTTTATTGTATTTAAGATAGTACTTTGCCAAGATGGGTATGTTTTAGCTACCCAAATTGTTCCCTGAGTAGGTTTCTCTATTACTGATGTTCCAGTTTTTTCTTTTAAACTTTTCTTTGGTATCAAATAATTTTTTAAATGAATTCTAAATGAATGTGCAGCATCCATAAGATATTGTGATGATTTTATAAGAACTTCGTCTATTTCTCCTATGTGAGGCCATCTAACATTTAATATGCTACCTTCCTATTTAAATAAGAAAAAGAAAGAGAAAAAGAAAAAAATCAAAATTGTTCGATATTATCAACGTTAAAAAATTCGGTATTGAATTTAGATTTAATATAGTAATTATAAAAACATGCACATTAAATATAAAAACTTACTTTACCAATTAGTGTCCACACATATTCTGCTACATGTGGACAAATTGGAGACAAAAGAATAATTTGAAGTTCTATAAATCTCATAATTAATGTCCAATTAATACCATCTAGAGCACTCAACTGCAGATATTTATCTCTTGCTGTTTGTAGCTCAAAGAATCCTGTCTTTAATGCTTCTTTGTACAGCATTTTTGAATAATTTTCTCCAGTTTCTTGTATTTTTAAATTCATTTCACTGGTTCAACAATTATAAGTTTAATATGGACTTTATGAAACAAATTTTCATAAATATTTTAATAAATACCTTTCAAAAACTTTGTCATTAAATGTATATGATTCTCCTTGTCTAAAAGTCTCTTTTGAAGCCAAAACTTCTTTGACCCATTCAACAAAGTTATATAATCTGAGAATTCCAGCATTAGCCGCGTTTTCTACGAAATTAGCATCTTCTATTGAATCACCAGAATCGGCTAGACAAAGTCGCATACCATCCGCAGAAAATTTTTCTACAGCTTCAGCAAGTGTTAGGAAGTTACCCTCTGACTTAGACATCTAACAAAACCAGAATTTATTACTGTATATATAAGATATATTAAAAGCCTATCTCTTTTACCTTCATTGAATTTAAGAGTAAATGTCCATTTGCTCTTATTCCTTTTGGCCATAATTCAGGCTGTTTAGGCCAAATTGCAATATGATTGTAAATGAAAAATATTAAATGATTTTGGACTAAATCTTTTCCAGATACTCGCAAATCTACTGGATACCAATAACCAAATTCACGACGCATATGATCCAGTGCCTTTTTTTCTATATTCGTTTTTGGAAACTTTGCATCTTTGAAGAAAATATAATCCCATACCTCAGGTGTCATTTCATCAGGCCTAAACATAAAGGAATGCTACGTAAATATATATATTTTATATACAAATAACATTTTTTAAAATGATTTATTAACATTTTTGTAATTGTTGTAATAGATGCATTATTGTAATAGATAACTGAGATCAATAATAATTCTAATAGGGAGTAAAAAATTTTACTTTATGCCATAAATATTTGGCTTATTGCCTTTGAATGTTCCCCCTTGTAATAAATGAGCTACAGTATAGTAAGCCATATAAATTGTTGAATCTGACAGTGATTCTATCAACCAATTTTTATCCCATGGTAATTTAGTACCTAGAATTTATATTTATAAAAATATATGCTCAAAAATTGAATTTGTATCTTTTACTTAAAAATTATACAATTTTACCAAGTCCATAAGTTCTTGAACAAGCATGTTCATGTAACCAATCAAGGCAGGCCATAAAATTTTTCCTTATTTCATCATGAAAAGTATTAAGATTATTTAAGGCTTCCACTGCATCTTTCTTCCAGGCTTCTTCACCATAGTCCAAATACCATTGATTACACAAAGCCACCACACACTCATCATTTGATCGCGAGATTACAGTTTTCTCAGGTTCATAATATATAACTGCTTTTCCCTCATTTATCAATTCTTTTTGTATTTGTTTTTTAACGTCCTGAACTTTTCTTCCTTTGTATTGACCAATTATCAATACACCATCATAAAATCCTTTCAAATATACCATTTCCTTGGCTTCTGATAATTTATCTTTATCATACTGAGACTGAATTTTCAATTTATCATATACAGTTACTGCAGCTAAATTACCAAATCCAGGTACTTCAATAATAGGTATCTAATGTACAATTTTAATAGTTATATGTTGACTTATAATTTTTTTTTATCATTATAAAAAAAGACATTAAACTTACAGGATTGTAAGGTAACACCATTTGATCAGTTATACCATATTTTTCTCTAAAAGCCTGTTTCTTTTTTAGGTCCTTCAAAGCTGCATAATCATCAGGAGAATCACTAGGTACAGAAGTAACAACTCCAGTACCTTTGTCTTCTTTAATGGTTAACATTGGTAAAGTATAAATTACATTATTAATTGAAAGAGGTGCTTCTAATGGTAATCCTAATATGTCCTATTAATTTTATATTATTTATAATTAATATGTAGTTTTGTTACAAGTAGATAATTTCACAAATAGTAAGAATATTACTTGTCCAGTAAGTTTTAATTCAATTAATATTTTTCCTTCATCTTTAAAGAAACCTTGATAAGCCATATTTCGAGCTGCTCTTTCTGTTGAGATATAAACATCTCCATTTGACAATGTATAAGCAATGTAATTTATGTCTGGATGAATCCAACAATTTGTTTGACCATACATTGTTTCTGGTCTTAAAGTGGCAGCTACTAAATAAACTGATTTGCCAGAAAGAGACCTATAACAATATATTAAATTACACTTTTCGAAATTAAGAAATTACACTTTTTGAAATACTTACTTTAAATTTGGAGGATATGGTTCTTGTAATTTCATTTTAATTAATGTATATTCCTGTGGTCCTACACCTTCACCAGAGGATCTGTCATGGTCCATACAAGGTTGTCTATCTTTTGGAGAATAAATTGTATACCTTTTTCCATATTTTATTTTATTTTTAGCTTTTAAATGCCAAAATTGCCATTGCACAAATGAATCAAAAAATGGATTTGCATCAGTTGTAATAAATGTTCTGCGCCAATCCACCTAAAATAAGTTTCTTTCAGTTGTTTTCTTTTTTTTCACATTATTATTTATATCGCAATTTATATTTATTTCTTACATGTAATCCAATTGATTTTAAATCTTTTACAGCAAGAGGTGGAAAATAATCTAACCAATATGAACCATTAGCAAACTTTTGTATCTCTTCATCTTCCAAATCAAGTGTTTTCATAATTTGCCACTGATATTTTACAGCGGCAGATTTTGCAACTGCTTTGCTCTATAAAGATTTATTACTTAACAAATTTATATATAGGAATATTTTATAGAGTAATGAATACCTTTGTTCCTTTGCTTTTATCTCTTATTACTACATCATCTATAATTTCTTCTTCAATTCTTTCTTCATTAGGAAATTGTGGTGGATAACCAAATAATTCCATTTCTCTTTTTAATTTATCTGCACATGCTTTAATAGGCATACCAGTACAATGAAAACCAAATGGGAAAAGAACCTTCTTTCCCAAAAGACGATTATATCTTATGGCAAACTATAAAGTTACAAAGTAAATTAAAACTTTTACTTAATTTATACATATAAATTGATTTCACCATAAATTTTATTAAATTTTTCAGTCTTTATGAAATACTTACCTCACATTTTGATAATGAAAAAGTATGACCAAGATGAAGTCTTCCATTCATGTAAGGAAAAGGAAATGTTGCAAAAAACTTTTCATCAGAGTTTTTCTTTGGTTCAAGAGGTGCATCTTCCTCATATATTTTTTCAGATTCCCACTTTGCTTGCACATCTTTTTCAATTTTTTGAAGGTATTCTACTTTAAATGTTCCTTTTCTTTCTATAGCCTATTAAATGCATTTCATTTTATACTTCATACCAAATAAACCCACAATTATAATGATCAAACAGAATAATTATAATAATTAAAATATTGTTTATATACTATACTAGTTTAAATTAAGAAAAAATTTTTATTTTAAATTTAATATATAATTTCAATAAAAATTCTTTCATTGGAAGAGTATATAACAATAATCACCTCGAATAAAAAAATTTTAATTTCATTCAATATAGTTTGTAATTTAACGCTAGAAAAATTATTTATATTAATTTCTTTAGTTTTATTTTGATTTTGACCAGATATAGAAATAAAGGATAATTATAATTTTCAACAAAGTAATATTAATATGTATATTTACCATATTGTTAAACAGAATAAAATCCAAAGAAATCAGTTTAAATACAATACACCGCGTACTATTCCTCACACTGTTTTGCTGCTTAACGAAGTCAACGTATGCATCGGTATAATCTACTGGGAAATGATGCAATTTACGTAGTAGATAAAACCACAGTTAATAAGAGAGGATTGGCTGATGCAATTCAAATTACACCGTCCAATACGAGGTATTTTTTTGTAATATGCATTTAGTGATTCTTGTAAAATTATTAATCCTAAATACGAATATGTAAACAGAATTTTATAACATTCTCAGTTTTCAAAACAATTTAATTTTTGTAAAAATTATCGATTTTTAACAAAAATGAATTATTGCGTGAAAACTAGAAACGTTAGAAAGCACTGATTGGTCTCAAATGATAGAGGAAAGATCTCTAAAGACATCAGTATTTAGGATTAGAATATTTTAAAGCTTTAAACGATAATAAATAGCCATTGAATTTCAAAAATGCACCGATGTACATAACTTTTGCGTATTATTTTTACATTTTAACAAAATGTTATTTATGTAGCACAAATTTACTACATAATGTCGATTTCTGCAGATATTTCTGAAGAAGAAATCATGTAGTAGGATTGTCAAAGCATTTTTCAGTTCTCACAGATTAAGAAAATATCTATCGGAAACGGTTATACCGCCAAAATATCTATTGGACGGTTATTTGCCGCCAAGCGGCCATTGCTTCTTTGTTTCGCATTTGCAGCATCGTGGCTACACTTAATTGACATCGTTAATAGGTAATATATGCTCGGTTAACGCATATAATAAGTAGACTTTTTTAAATACATTCTTGTATAGTAATCATGGATAGTATATGGTATCGTAATCATATTAATTATTAAGAATCATATTAATGATCTTCAATTTTTAAATTTCATTGTTTCATGAAGCATGTGAGAAGTATATATGAAAGAAAAAAATATATTTCCAGCTTTATTTAGATATATATAAATTTCATTTTGATTATTATTTATAAAATATGTGGACCGATTTTGAATTATGTTATAGAGGACGACATTCTGATTAACTTTTATTTAAACAATAATTGTCGCTCGGCTTTAGTTTTCAACAAATTTACAAAAATTGTTCGTATATAATACATTGAATTTTGCCTATACGTGAGTCGTGAACGCATTATGTACGTAAAAGATCTAGTGTCATTCAACAGAGTTGGATATGCTAGTATTAATAATTTTCGCAAATACTTGAAAGCCAAGACTGGTCGGCAATTATTGTTCAAATAAAAGTTTTCCGAAATCTCAATCTGTATAACGTACTTTAAAATTATCGGATTTCGACCACCCTTTCTATACTTTCTTTAAATTTTACGTTTTTATCGAAAATGTGGCAAAAGTACATCGGATCAATGTATAGTTCTCATTAATATTAAAATAAAACTTTTTGCAAAAAAGGAAAAAAAAGAAAAATAGATTTAGAGCAAAGTTGCGAAGGTAAATAATTACCTTTATTTTTTTAAATTCTTAATTTATAATGTAATAAAAGATAAACATTCATTGGTTTGAAATAATTTCTACTTTATCTCTACTTTATCTCTATTTTATCTATGTTTGTTATTTTATAAAACGCAATCCTAGATAATAGAACGCAGAATAGTTATATACTTAAGGGCAAAATATTCATTTATTGGTACTTATAAAATACATCTTAAGGGGTAAAAGTATTATTACTTTTATTTTAAAATTTTTTAAGAACAATACAATTTTGTATTATTTTACATTATATATTTGCATGAGTATGTTTACATACGCGCAACTGGTTTTAAGCCTAGTATCCAAAAACATTTTTCCATTATAATTGCAGTAGCTTCAGTTAATAAAATGCGTCCAAAATTTATGTTCACTACTTCTCCTAGTTCGTTTTTTTCAACGCAATAACAGTTATCATAGAATTCGGAAAAAGTGCATGAGATTTCGTAACAATACTCGCATAACTGATGTAAATACAAATCATTTGCAATTTTAATCAATATATCGGGAAATTTAATTAATACTTTTGCTAACTTCCACTCTTTTTCATGTTCTAATGATATTGGTGTATTCTGTGACACTTCTTGCAATTTTTCTTGCGAGATATTAGCTGCTCTTGCAATAGAACGTATTCTTGTTAAGGCATATAATAGGTATACAGCAGTGTTGCCTTTATCTTTCAACATTTTGTCAAAGGAAAACACATATTCGTGATTTCTATTATGCGATAAGTCTGCATATTTTATGCATCCATAAGCAATAGATTCTTGAGCAATTTTCAACTCTTCTTCCGTTAGTACTTTGTCACGTTCTTTTTCTTTCAATTTTTGTAGTGCTCTTTTTAAACCTTAAATAACGTAAAAGTTTAAAAAATTATTATATTACTTATATTGTGAAAATACTTTATGTTGCATGGAAATTACCTTCATGAAGTAAATCTCTTAATTGCACCGTTTCACCAGATCTAGTTTTAAATTTCTTTTTATCGTTACCAAGAACCACACCAAAACCAACATGGTCCACTTTATGACAACTTTTTACAATTCCGGCTCGTTCAGCGCAACTTTTTAATACTTGAAAATGCATAGATTGACCAGCATCTGTTACATATATTATCTGTAAAAATGAGCTACATTAAGAAATGATGATAAAATATTTAGCTAAAACACAATACTGAAATTTGTGTGAAAAGTACCCAATCTGCTTTTTCTTCTTCTATACGTTGTTTAATAGCTGCTAAGTCTGATGTATCGTAAGTAAAACCACCATCAGATTTTACAATGGTTAGAGGTATCATACCATCGCGTTTACTCCACATTACTTTACGTCCTTCGTCTTCTTCTAATAGTCCTCTTGCTTCTAAATCTTTAACTAACTCTTCCATATGTTTTTGATAAAAAGATTCTCCTCTTTCTATTATATTAATATCTAGTTGAACATACACCTTCTTGAATTCTATATTTAAAATGTAGGCATTTTAGTTTATTTGTAATTGTTATAGTTTCTTTATGTATTATGTTGATTACTTTACCTTCTCTAGAAACATCACAAATCAGTTGCCATGCTTTAGTCATTGCTGGATCAAATTTTTGTAGATTAACAACACAGCTGTAAGCACGTTTTTTAAATTCTATATCTTCATCAAATCTTGCCTTTGATTCCTTGTAAAAGCTCTGTAATTTTTATAACAAGTTGTTATAATAATTTTTTATAATTTGAATCTATCAAAGCTAATTATAAAGCAAGAATGTACATGGAATTACTTGAAGGTCTGTAATGGATGGAGATACTGTTAAATAGTCAGGGAATTTATCTTGAAGATGAGCTATTAACATTCCAAATTGAGTACCCCAATCACCAATATGATTTAATCTTAATACATCATGCCCTAAAAACTCTAATAATCTTGAAATACTGTCTCCAATTATAGTAGACCTTAAATGTCCAACATGCATTTCTTTAGCAATGTTAGGGCTAGAAAAATCTACAATCACTCTTTGTTTTTTTGTATATGGAGGAAATGCTTTTCCACTTTTTACTAAAGTGCTTAAGGTTGCTTGTGCATATTCTTTTTGCAAATATATATTTATAAAGCCTGCATCAGCAACTTCCAACTTAGAAACTATATTTGATTCTTCTACTTTTGACGTAATATTGTTTGCAACATCCCTTGGCGTTGATTGAATACCTGTATAAGTAGAAAAATATATATATTAATATAATGAAAATATTAAACTTTAATATCATTATTATTTCTTACCATTATTATTTAGTTGTTTATATAGTGGCATAGCACTGTTACATTGATAATCACCAAATTTTGGATTGTTACTTGATGTTATAAGTACTGGAGGTTCACAAATATCTGGATATGCAACTGAAATTGCTTTCTTGAATAAATTAAATAATGTATCATATATACTGATAACATTATTTTCTGTCATCTGTATCTTGCTTTGTGACTTTATTCGCTCAGCTTCAATAGTCTATTAGAATGAACAAAAACGTTTTATTCTTTTATTTAAAAATTACTTTATTTAGAATAAAAATAAAATTATAAAATTATGAGAACTTTTTAAAATCAATTTAGTTACTCAAACAAACCCGTTTTAGGATAGCTACTCTGTGTCTTAATTTTATATTTTCTTGTTCTAATTTTATGTATTCATCTTTAGGTACAGAGTTCCCTTTAGAATTATTAGTTATAATATTCTGTCGCAAAAATTCAATTTCTTTCTTTAAAAAAGCTATTTCTTCTTCCTGCAATTCATATACAAAAATAGTATAACCTATAAGAACTATCTAACAATCTCAACAATCATATTTCTGTGATTATTACAAGTAATTAAATAATAAATTTAAATATATAATATTATTTACCGCTGCAGCTGCCCTTTTGTGAAAATTTTCTAAATTTATTGTAGACATCTCATGAAAAGTTTACTTTTATTGATTGTACAAAAATAACGCACGTGGATTTTACAAAAATCCTTACTTTCGTATCATTGGATTGAAAATTCAACATAACGGCATATTAGTGTAATATGATAAACATAAATAATATACAATGCAAATGAAACGAAGAAATGGTTTTGAAAATTTATTACTCTCAATTCTATATACACATATGAATGAGTGTATATTCATTTAAATTTGTGCTTTTTTATTCGTACATGGAAGAAAGATATTTTTTATTATTTTTCATAACTTTTGCATTATTCTACTGTAAATAAATTTAAATGTACTATTTGGAAAGTATAATATTAATCAAAAATTTAATATATAAAGGGCTTAGAATAAGGGATATAAAAAACGAAGTAAAATTATTAAATTTATTAAGACATAGTTGAAAATAATTGTATTTATAGAATAATAATGAATATTCATTTCTCTCTTAATAATACTAAAATAGTAAATGAATTTTTAATTTTCACAGATAATTTAGTAGCACGCTATTAGAATCGAGTCGATATTTTTATAGAGATATTGATTTTACACAATTTAAGCTAGCAATTTAAAGAATTTAATGATTTAAATGAATTATTCTTTAGGAAACTTAGATATTTTAATACTTAAGTAATTTATATTATTACTATAATTTTAATTAATAAACAAATGGTTTTTAAATGACTATTTATAAAAATAGACAAAAAAATTTGGCGATTTTAACTTTGGCGAGTCAAATTTACGAGTTGCAAATAAATTAAATTTAACAATAATTAAAAAGTTATTTATGTACTATATAACATAATTTAACATTTCTATTATAAATTTTTATTTTACAATAAATAAGTTTAATATATAATTTTAACAAAAATGTTTTTATTGGAGCAATTTGTAATATTAATGATCTCGAAAACAAAATATTTAAATTTTATTATATACAGTTGGTAGTTTAACGTTAGAAGTATTATTTATATTAATTACTTAAGTTCAATTTTGATCGACGAGATATACAGATAAAGAACGATAATTCACCGCAGAGTAATATTAATACAAGTATTTACCATATTGTTAAAAAGAACGAAAGCCGTGGAAGTAAGTTAAATATATTACGTGTTGGTGTATACACTGCATTCGAGCATTTTATGAACAAATAGAAAATGATTCAATTTGCTCAGGTAAAACCACAGTTGATAAAAGTTATCAACTGATGCAATAACTGACAAATTATCAACATACATTTTTTAAAGAAGTTTCACAGAACTAGATGAGTGGATATAAGAAATAGAAGATAAATATATTTACAGCAATATTTAAACTGTTATATATAAATTTCATTTCTTAAATTTCTAACTTATAGGTGAAATGTAATAAAAAATGAACATTCATTGGTTTAAAATAATTTGTATCTTATTGTATGTCAAGTATATTAAGGTATATTTTAGTAGTAAGTAATAGTGGTATTAAAATCATATGAATCAAATGATAAAAAGATTAAATGTACAAATTGTACAAATTGTGAATATTGTAAATTTCAAATTGAAATGAATATTATTTTTAATTAAGAAATTAAAACTGGTTAAAAAAATACAATTCCTTTTTATATCAATTATTTATTTTCCATACAAATTATAAACATGTTTTTCAAATACTGTACATATACTGAATTCTATTATATTTTTAAACCTCTAATTTAATGATATATCATTTCGTTCTTTATTTACTCGTTAAATCAACTACTTTGATCCTCGTTTCGTTTTATTTATGATAATATACAGGTAGATCCCATTCTTTCTGATCAATATTTCATTTAATCATTTTTATAATCAAGCTCAATTCTTTGATATGGCAGTTTCAGGATATAAAGAAATATAATTTGTAAATAAATGTGTTGTTAATTTTCATAGATAATTTAGTAACACGCTATTAGAATCGTAGTCAATGTTTTCATAGAGATGGTGATTTTGTACAATCGAAATTAGTCATTTAGAAAATTTAATCATTTAAATTAATTATTCTGTATGAAACTTACACAGTCCAACTATTAAGTAATTTACAATATTATTGTAAAATTTTTTTATTAATAAACAAATGATTTTTATACAAGACTCTCTATGAAAATACAGACAAAAAATTTTAGCGTTTTTAATTTCGAAGGGTCGGATTTACGAGTTACAAAATAAATCAATTTTTGTCCTCGCCAAAGTACTTTATGCAGTACACAAAACGTAGCCACTGGAACTTTTCTTTTCATGATCTTTATGTAAATATGTACAAAGATATTTAACAAATTTCGTCGGTTTATCATCGATCGTATCATGTATTGTGTACAGTGCGAATCCTTCCATTTTTTTTTTCCTAATAATCTACTTCTGTGTTTGTATCTTTATGGATTTCAATTTTTTTCTTTTTCTGATATCATCAATATAGAGTGAGAGAGTGCTATTTTCTATCTTCACAGAAGACATAGATAAATATATATTTTCATAATCTTTCCTTATAAATGTAATTCGCTTACTTTAAAATCATTATTCGTTAATGTTAATAATATTAGTGTCGGTGCTCCTTTTTTGCGATTTCAAACTCCTCCCGTTTTTCCTCGTAATTTTTCGTTAAAATAAAAATTCGTATAACCAAAAAGATATTTTAGTATTTTCTAAATATATTGCATAATTTCTTGCTTTTGTAATAATAACGATTTATCTCAGATTGAATTAGAACCATCAGATATGCTTTTGATTAATTAACATTGAATAAAATAATTTTTATTATAGCATATTTATTAATATTGATTTAAATTGCAGAAAAATATTCTTATTTCAGGGTTATCTAGTAATTACTACCGATAAAAATATGTAATCAAATTTACAGATAATATTATATAGAATTATCTCAATGGTTCCAATTCCACCTTAATGTACACACAATTTAGCAAAATTACAATTTATAGATATAATATGTAAAAACGAAACTTATAATCAATTATTACAAAAAAAAGGTAACAATAAGTAAAAACTGTAAAAATCGTGAAAGCTGCCAGTTATTGAACGAAAGCCACATACATTATTATTTAAATATATAAGTTCCTTCGTTATTCAGTCAATCACTTAGCGAATTTAATTCTCACCCCGAATAAAAAGCGACATATTTCTGACTAAAAGAGAGATCAAAATACATTGCCACTTGTTGCATAAAAGTTAAATAAAGTAAAGAATACAGTAAGTATTAATTAATTATTTCCTTAAAGTATACATGATTCTTTCCTGTATTATCTTAATATTCACTGCTCCATAGGCAAGTCCGGTTTCGGAACACGCAATTGATCAGATTAAAGAATACGTAAAAACTTTTCTGTGCATTTACACGTATATAGTCTCTGTGAGAGATGTGACTAAATAAAATTAATCATAGGATTTTAATGGTCCTCTCTTACATAATTGTTACTGAAAATCATGAAACAGAATCTCTATAATACGAAACTTTTCTGGTCCATACGTTAAAACGTCGAAATAATATTAAGTACGAAACACATTGTCAAGCAAGGTTTTGTATGAACTCTGTTAAAAGTATGCTCAAATTTAGAGAGCTGCGATGAAGTCACGCTATTACGTAGTCGTTCTTCATCAAAAACGGAGAATCAAGCTCAAGGATCAGATTTACTTTACACTCTTGAGCTAATTTCAATATCCTCCAGTTGAAAAGTATTAAGATGATCGTATCACCAAGTTAGAGAGAATAACATCTCTTTCTGATGGACGTTGTCCGTATCTAGCGCGCGCAATCTGATGTACTCGCTTCATAAGTGTGCAGTAGAAAGATAAAAACAAACGAAATATGCTAAGTAAGAAAGTCATTCACGTAAGAACTATAGAAAAAAGAAAGAAAGGTCTTAGAGTACAAAATAAAGTGATTACAAGAAATACAAACACATCCCTCTAATCTAAGTGTCGCTGCCTAAGAGTGGGTGGGTTTGCACGACTGTAAGTGCGTTTATTAAAAGATTGCCTCTTTTAAAAAGTACGTAAAAATCATTCTCTTCTTTCATCTGATCATTGAGAATTAAAAAGCTCAGCAGCGAAAAATTTTTACCGTTAGTCATAATACAGCTAAGAAAAAAAAAAAAAAAGAAAAAAAGAGGAAAACAATTCTACAACAAAAAGCTTAAGGAAAGGTCCTTGTAATATTACTCTCGACCTTACTCGGTTTGGATAATTAAAAAAGAAAAAAAAAATTATGATACTATAACCAAGGAAACTTAAGAAATCATAATGGCATTACCTCTCTATTCAACTTCCATTTCGTTTAAAACTTAGAAATCACTTAGATAACTTTATACACGATCATTTATAACAATGTAAATCGTAATCATTGCATTAATATTTAACATATATATTCTTATATGTAATATATGTATATCTGTGTGTGGATGTCTTGTTTGATCTATTTCCTAGTTTAATAATAAAACTATAATACTAAATTATGTTGGTACCACGCCTTTCCGAGATCAGAGTCTGTTTCTCTTCTTATTTTTCTTTTTTTTTAATATTTTTTTACATATTTTTTTTCATTCTTCAGTACATACACTATATCTCCGACTCGCATTTTTTTCCCATACCAAATTTATTGTCGTCAATTTCAACTTAACTTTTATTATATCTCTTTTATTAAAATCGCGACGAATTCGATCGTTTGCAAGCGAATGACGGAATATTCATAAAATATATATACGATTATATCTGTTTCAATATAAAATTTACAATTTCGTCATCTGGAACGCGCTTCCTGCAAAGACTACGAGCAGGAAATCCTTTCCACGATACGTTAAAACACGCGTACCAATTATTTTTTTTTTTTCTTTATTACAATTTTTCTCGGTTTTGAATCAAACTCAAGCTCGGGCTGGCCAGTACTTTTAACGTGTGAAGGTGTACATGTATCTTTTGTGTTTGTGTACGCATATAACGTATTTATGTATTTGTGTATGTGTTTCAAGTTCTCTTTAAGGAGTTTCCCAGAAAATAATGTTCGGAAATACTGAACGAAGAAACACCTAATTCGATTAAAAATTACAATTTGATTAAAAATCAAGATGAATCTCAGATTTGCAAAAAAAGTTCATTTATACAATAACCGTCCGATTCAATCTCTATTTCTAAAATAAACATGTGACTCCTTGACTCCTTTTCCTTTTTCATTTTTGTTAACGGAACATTTTTGATAGAAACTCTGTTACACATAGACGCGAAATGTATTTGTGTATAGTACGAGCGTGTTTACTATTTTGTATTCACGCTTAACCCTTTGAAGCATGCATTTGAAACAAATATTCGAAATCCTTAATCATTTATAATCAATAGAAAAAAGAAAACATTGGAAAGCAATATTAAATTATAGAAATATTTACATATTTCATACGCAAATTAATAAAAATCAAATTTTATTAATTACTTAGTGTGTGATATAAATATCATATTTATCCTACATGTAAATACTATATTTATATCCTCGGTAAAGGATGAAGAAACGAATACGTAATTATATAAAATAATTTTAAACATTCGATATGGTTAAACGAAATAACCATAACGCTTCAAAGGGTTAACATTTTTGTGTGTAATCGTGTATATGCGCGTATGGATGATTTTTTTTTTTTATGTGATGGTAGGCACTGATGGGGGTGGATGGCTGCATGGCGAGCAGGTTCAAGCAGGCTAATCCTTGATCAATCTGTATATGTGATGCTGTGCACCGTGCTCAGACGTCGATACCTCAAACACATATGCCGTGCACAGCAACGTTTCATGCGTCTCCCTGTTCGTTACAACCTGCAATTTAAAAAGGTATTTCAGTAATAATTTTATAAAGATACTTTGATGCTTATAAAGGAATTTCAAACGATGACTAAAATGATAATTTGTACTTCGTATATCTCATATACGAAATACTAACACATGAATTGTCATGGTGACTGATAATGTCGAAATTAATTAAAACATTTAAATTGAATATACAGTCATATTCACAAAATGTACAATTCTTCAAATATTAGACATAATATTTGAAATAAGATATATGAAATTCATCTAGTATTCAACGTAATAAGAAATTTTTATTTAATAACGAAATTATTACAAAATGTTTCTTTGTATATATAAATTAATGATGCGAAATATGTCGAAATGATAAAATATGATAATAAGTATAGGTGCTATTTTAGATTATTTCGCACTTGACAGCGATTATATGTACCTGTTTGAGAAATGAATTATCGAAATTGTTGGTTTTAAACATATTATTCAGGAAAAAAAGAAAAAAAAAAGAAAAAGCTATTCTGAGGGAAAAAGATATATCGTACCTGGAGAATGGTGAAATTCTCGAGAACGCTGTTCATCATGTACTTTTCCGGCAGGTGCTTCAATTTGTGTATGAAGTTGATCATGTACTCGCACATAGGTGAACGGTTAATACGATAGACGAACCTGCCATTCTCGAACCTAGCGTATTCCGTCTCCACTTTTTCCACCACCTGTTTCCCGAAAGAGCAGACTTTGGTCGAACACGTTATCGTCATGTTCTCGTTGCTCTCGTACCTGTAAAATATAACTCTATCAGTATAAAAGGTCCCTTTTATAATTTCAACGTGAACGTTTTAATTTAATGCAAGGTATTACTTGATTAGGAATTCTCTTGGCCATTTTTCTCTTTCTTTGTACTTTTTGCAATCTCAAATTGATCTCAGTAAATTAATTGCATTTAAAAACTTTGTTATTTTCAGTACATTTAAAATTTTATCTATATTTATAAAATTTGTTCAAACCAATTATCTTAATTATTATCGTTTTCTAATTAACTATTAAGTAGTTAATAGCTTCACAATTTAACAACTATTTATTAAATATGTATTAAATAATAGTTCACTGAAGAATAACGTAATTTTTTTGTATTATTACAGGTACCAGAATTTCCCGACGTCTGTTCATTCATTTTACAACAATCTCGATAATAGCAAAATTCGTTAGAAAAAGAATGTAATGGAACGTGCACAATCAAGACTGCAAATTTATTCGGTCTACGAAAAATTGTAAGTTCTGTCAAATGTCAGGCCAACATTTTTGCCAATTAAGAATTTCAACGCTTACTGGCTTGTTACGCCGTAGAAGGCTCCAGCTTCGTCCTGAATGTTCGTATTGAGATCAGCCCAGAATTTAACGAGGAAGAAGGCCGCCTGTGGTCCCTTGTCATAAAGTTCCTTCAGGCCACCCTTTTTCTCTGGGAATTTGTCGTATATCTGCCTGACATCAACAGCCTCTAGCAACGGATCCGCGTATGTCGCCGATCCTCCTATGTGGACGAACAGGTGCTTTTGGTACTGCAAAGGAAGAAAACGGAAAAAAACAATTCGAACGTTCGCTGGGGTGAAACTCCGACTTCCGGCCGGCAACGCCTATCCTGATTGCTCCGACTATTAAACTTATGACAGCCATTTAAATGTAACAGGGGCAATTTAGTCTCTTCGTTCGCGCGCTAAACATCGGCTGGCCCTCTACCGAGAACTCGAAACGAGCAAATAACTATTCGACTTTATTGAGGCTACTTCGTACAGATGGAAAAAAGCTCTCGTTAACCAGGGTGTAACGTTGAATCTACGGTCCGTTAAATGGTGAACTCTTTTTTACGATATTTTTCTTTTCGCAGGCACCTGGATCTGGACGGAAACGTTGCAAGAGGAACGACGAAAGTTGGAGTAGAAACGGTGTAAGTGTTAATCGGAAAAAACTTAAATCGTTTCAGTTTTGAGACAGAGAAATTTCAGTTTTGTCGAGAGTAAGACGAGAAACGAGGACTATACTTATTGCTGATCGTAGTTTTGTAATATTATGATAGTTTTTGTTTGTTGCTTGACTAATATGTTTTTAATATTTCATTCTAGGTACTGTTAATATTGGATCCTCAGATGTGAAGTTTGGATAGCATTGATCATAAAATAAAACCATTCTTAACATGTTTGTTCAATACAGAGTATATTTTCAAAGTAATTAATCCCATGCTACATAAGTCATATCAGAAGAGAAACGAAGATTACAAATAAAATACAATGTAAGTACCATCATTACATATACACTATTCCCTCAACCATTTATAACATGGAATCAAACAAGAATTAATACTAATTAAAAAGTTGTTTATTACAGGCTATCGTAAATAATATATAACCCTCTTATGGTCTTTGAAATCTTTTCGGTTCAATCATGCTCTTTAAAAACGATTTCCAATACCAACGAATTTTTACGATAAAACTGAGAAACAGGAAAAACACGCGTATCAATAACAGCTTTCATACAGTGAGATTTTGACAAATCTCTCTTGTATCTTCCACGGAATTGTTTCTCTTTCCTTTTTTCTTAAAAAAAGAAAGAAGAAAGAACAAGATTAGAACGGAAGCGACTCAATGGCCCTCAAGCAGGGTTAATTTTGCACCACGATTTTAATGCGTTTCCGCTTCTACCATCCGTACTTTTTTCCACGTTCTGTACGAAGCAAGGTGTCATTCATCCCACGGTTAAACTCAACGTTCCTCGCCATTTTATTTTGCGCGGGAGTACTTACAATATCCTGGTCTCTCTGTTGGTCCATGTAGGCCGAGAACTCGACAAGCCTAAGCTTGTGGGTTGCGATGGCACGTCCTTCCCAGGGCGGGGGTGGTTGAGCCTGGACCATGTCAGCGCTTGAAACCGCTGTCGCTGGTTTTCCGGCGTACGCCGGCTGCGAAAACGGTTTGACATCCTGGGACGTTCCTGGCTGCAGACCCGGCTGCCAGAATGGCTGAAAAGTCGATATCTGCCTTTTTTTCTTTGGGCTGTAGTTCCGAAAGGCCCCAGTGGCCGATCGAGATGAAATTTGGAGGGGAGGGAGACGCGGAGGAACGAACCCCAAATCTAATATTTCAGCTTCATTAATGTCTCAGAAACTGCGAAATTCCCGGAATTGAAATTTTTAATTTAGCATTCGCTCTTCTGCTCCTCTCAATTCTTCAAATTGCATCTCGATCGGCCCCCCTAGAGCCTTTTGGAACTACTGTCATAATAAAGAACTTTTAGCGATACCATGCATTGATTTTTACTTATACGTGCACAGTCGTAGCAACGGATCTAATTGAAGAAGTATAATTACTGAAATACTCTAAACTATTAGTAAAATTTTGAAGTCGCGGTGTTCGGGGACTGATTTGAACATAAGCAATAAAACATTTGTTTCGCAGATGCGTTCATTGAGCACGAAGTAGATATATGGAATTACGTTGTATTTAATGAGATGGACTGCATATATTGCATGTATACGTGCACAAATTTTGAACTTTAACGCAATTTATATTTAATTCAATGAAGATACTCTTTCAACTAATTCATCCGTTATATGTGTGGTTTGTTGATCTTAGTCGTGTGCTTCTAAGTAAGAATAGCTAAAAGGACTGTCAGGGACTTACGCATACACTGCTGCAGACGTGTACGTAGAAGTAAAATTCAATGCATTATACTAAAAGAATTTTAAACTTAAGACTATTGATATAACTTAATTCAAGTCCCCGAAGCCAAAATCTTAAATTTAAGATTCCTCTACTCCTTCCTCCCCAACGAGTTTCTGTTTTTACCCTTTCTTTGTGACACTGAAGCTTTTTGCCATTCAATGCTATGCATTTGTTCCAGGACTATGATAACCCGAAGTTCCTATCGAATATCATCATTCAGATCACTTCGAAATCAGGTACAGTGGCTGCCAATACTTACTGAGTAAATGGTAATTTTAATAATAAATTTTTTATTTCATTTTTTAGTTTTGTAATTGTAATCTTTAATTCTCTACCGATTTAGATCTGACATTCTATTTTGTTCGGTTCTTTTTTATTTTAATACAATATCAAAGTACATGATTGGTGTTTAATTTGATATATTTAAAGTAAATTTGGAACTTTTGTTTCGAAAAATTAATCGATCTCATAAATGAGACTTTTACACAAATGTTTGAGATTAAATGTAATAGTCACTCGCCAAAAAACAGGATAATTTTTCTAATATAATTCTTTTTTTATTTTCAGGTTATTAAATACAAATGCTACACCAACTGTGCCTTCTTGTACCAATTGCATACTATATATGTATTCTGGGAATCATTAGTCTTCTGGAACTAAAACAGCTTTGAATGTGTTAGTCGCAGATCTTGATGGAGAAAATGACTTGTCTTCCGGCTTACTTTTATTTTGGTAAAATAATTTTGTTATATTTAATTCGAGACGTTCAACTTTGGACTCATTTTTGTAAATTAACAAATAGGATAGAGTACTAGAATAACATTGTATAGTTACAGTATAACAATTTTACAGTTGTAGGAAATCCAGAAAAATGGTCCAAACTATAGTGAAGAAAGCAATTTCGATGCTTGGATTATCATGAATTTACAAAAATAAATATCAACTGAAAATGAAGAAGTTCGAAGTAGTGCCAGGAAGATATTTCATATTTCTCCGTGAGCCTTCGAGCCCTCGGGTGAGGAACGATCGTGACGCTTCGGAATAGGGTGAAGAAGAATTAAAACAAGTACGAACAAAAAAAAATTAACATGATAGTAAAGACACGATTAAATTACAGAAAAAAAAAAGATACGCACGAACACAACAGCGAAGGAAAATAATAGTAGTCGTATTACGTGAAGAGAGAAAGACAGTTTGGTAAGCCACAACGACGCCTCACAACGTGTAATTAATGTCCAAAAATTCCGTATACAATATGCAAACCCGTGTATGTACGTGTGTATATATGCCCAGGTGATATACATATGTAAAAAAGATAGAGCGACGGACAAATTGAACAATACACAACAAGGGCCCCCAGGGGCGTAGCAGCAGAGAGCAAGGGGGTTTCGTTTTTATGAGGATGGTTAGTTTTTGTCGCGTAAGCTTCCATAATTAAGAGAGAGAGAGAGAAAGAGAGAGAGAGAGACAGGGAAAAAGAGAAAGAGAGAAAGAGACATAAAGAAAGATAGCTAGAAGAAAAACAAGAAAAATAGAAAAAGGAGAACCTAGTCTCGAAGCCATAAAAACGCTTTTCTTTTAATCTGGTTCTCTCCCTTCTTTGGACGACAACCATAAGCAGCGCGACACAAGAGAACAGAAGCTGACGAAGGACAAAAAAAAGATAAAAAAGGAACGATAGAAACTGTACATGTGTAATTGTGTTGTATACGTGAGAATGAAAATTAAAAGAAAATAGGAAGAAAAAGTTGAGCGCATCGCCTGTAATTCCTTGCACCATTGCGACGAGAAGAAAAAGGAAAGACATATCTCTGAATACACGATAATCGAGTGAACACGGATCGTTATGAAATAAATGAACTTGCCCGAAAACTTATATTTTAGAAACGATAGAAGTTTCAAACGATTTTATTTCATCGAACGTTATTCGATAACGATAATTATCTTTAAACGCGTAACATCCAGATATGTTTCGATCAAATCAATTAACAAACGTGAAACTCTATCACCGTGTGTGTACATATGTGTTATTCACGTGATACTTCGCAAAAGCGTCAGAACTCTCGCGGCACTAACAAGAATGTTTAGGTAAGTTCAGACAAAACCACACGAATGTGATTGGCCTCTTGCAAGCGGATTAGAGATGGTTACAGGGCGAAGCTGTTAGAGTGAAAAGAAAACAGATACGAACGTCAAAGAAGAAGCCAAACCGACAGTGTACGTGATAGCATAATCAAAGTTCACATCCTCAAGACGACGAGACACTGATCGTTCGTCCAACGAAAAAAGAAAAAAAAAAGAAAATAGCGATGGGCAACAAGAGATGATCAAGAGAGATCCTGAGTGTCGTCGACGATCAAGAACACGTTTTCTCTTTTGATTAACTTTCACCTTTATCATCTTAACACGAATCTCTTCTCCTGACATGTGACCATTAACACATTGGCAATATGTTTGCTAAAATTCGTGATCGTGATCAGTAAAACACGGGATCATTGACTCTGATCACTGTCAGCTACAATAAAACAGCTTTCTTTTCGTAAATGTGACAAGAATTACAGATATTGTCGTAAATAATTAAGAAATAATGCACATACCCGGGAACGAGATTTTCAAGTTTCCAAGATTCTCATATGAAAACATAAATTTCCATTGTCAATCGCCAATGTGTTAACCGTAATGTAATTAAGAGAAAAAGATAAAATATCGTCGTTTTTAGCAGAAATTTTCTTTCTCTCTTTACGCATCGTGTCGAGTAAGCGTGTCTCGTCGTCTCACCCCAAAGCTCGTGGCTCCTTTTTCTTTTTTTATTTTTCTTTCTGTGTGTTTTCTATCTTGTAATAAAAAGAAGATATGCCGCTTAAAAAAAAAAAAAAAATGTTCCAAGGGGTTCTCCGTGATCGGGACTTACCGCTCCGGGATAGGAGACAGGGGTGGAAGCATGAAGGGCAAGGGGCCCCACGAGGGCGGGGGGCATCTTGTTGTGTATCGCACTCCCAGCTGATACTATCTGGGCGCTCGACATGCTCGACATTGTCTGGAGCGCCTTCTCCTTGGCGGCATTATCCTAACAAATCGTCAAACCGATTACAACGCATTGTCGAGTGACGGGGAAACTACGATGATGTATGATTGTTCTTAGTTTTTCATTTTTTGTTTTTTTTTTTGTATTTTTCTTTTTTTTTATTTGTTACGATGAGCTGTATTCGTTATTCGATGTTGTCGAACATTTAATTTCATTAATGATAGTGGTGAGTTGTAAGTAAGCGTGATCGTGTTTGCCGATGATGGTCTGTGACGATGATCTTTTGTTAGAGAAAATTGTAATGAAATTTCGGGATTGGGTCTGATTAGTTGGAAGAATAAGTCGTTTTAGAAGAAAAATAGAAAGGAATTGTTTAGATACTGTTTGCTTCAATGTGGTTAGATCGGTTTGATTTAGTTGGAATGGTTAGAATAAACGTTGGTATGGAACGTTGTTCTATTTTAAGTTTGTTTCAATGGAAACGTTTGTCAAATATTTCACTTTTATGCCGAACAAAGACATTTTCTATTCTAGATTATTTATAGTAATTACTCTTACAAATTCAATTTCATTTCTATACTAAGTTCACGCAGTTACAGTTCTCCGAGATATTACGACTCGGTGCAATTCTTCTGTAGCTATGACATCATAGTATTTAAAACACAGACAGATTTTCTACAAATGCGATTCAAAAATAAGCTACTAGCCAATTTGGGAACGTTAAGATCAAATATAATCCGAAAGAAACCATTTAATTTGTTATTCTCAACGCGTTCTTGCAAAAAATCTCATCATCAAATCATATTATTAAAAAGCACAGGTACAACTCGATCGTTCGAAGAACATCGCAGAAAACTAGTCTCGACAAAATAGCGGTAAACAAAATTGCAAAAATTTGTTTAAAAAATGACCGGTTCACGAATTCGAATTTTTTCTCCTTCTATATCAAGCAGATTGAATTGCCATGGGTTAGAATTAAATCGGTGAACGATTTCTCCTCGCAGCTTGCATAATTTCGTTCTCACCGCTGAATTTCCCATCCCTTCTCACAGCTGTCTCACACCCTTGTTCGCGTTCTGTCGCTGTTTTAGCCCGACCGGAGCGCGGTTGATGTCATCGATCGCTATCGAGTGAAACGGCAATGCAGTTGATTGCAGAAACAAAGCTGGTTTTGGGTCGCGAAATTCGCGGGAATTTTGCGCTTTTATCGGAAAGCCGTCGTTTTAATCAGCGCCGCACCCGCGCGCGCAACGTGCTGTCGAAAATCGCTGACGAAGCGGACACGGGAGCTTCGTTCCCGTGATATCCGGGAAATTGGCGTGTACCACCACCACCTCCACACCCCTCTAAAACCTTTCCGACCCCAACCCTGACCCACCGCGCGCACCTTGCCCCGCCGCCGCTACAGGCCTTTTCAATTTCGTTCATAAATCCGTAATGGAAGAGCCATTACAAGCTCTGCCCATTCGGAATGAAGCGTGCCGCGTAACAATGCCAGAGCGATAAAGGCTTTCTCTTCGGTCACTGTGCGCGCCGAAAAACTGCCAACTTTTGCCTGCTGCCTCTCTGTGTGTTTCCCTTTCTCTCTTTTTTCACTCCTCTTTCACTCCCCCCACTCCCACTCTTTTTAGCACGCTCGCTCTCCTTTTTTATACGGCTGATGTCTCTTTTTGGGTGTTCCTCTCTGTATACACCCAGTGAACACTATTTTTATGGTATCGGCTTTGGATCGTTTGCAATTCAATCGTTGCCTCCTTTTTATTGCCAGATTCATACGCCTTTCCTTTTCACCATTTTGGTTCCTGCCATTATGCCAAGGTTTGAATCGCGTAAGCGTGGTAGAGAGGATTATTGGCTTTGGTAATTGCACGAATGATCCACTCTCTTTGGTACATTTTTAAATGTCCCGTTTTTCTCATTAGACATAATCATTCATTATCATGTTTTATTATTAGCATTCCGGTGGTTTTCACTTGCTTTTCATCGTTTGAGACACTTCCATGATTTGTTCTGTTCCATTGCACTTTATGTTCTTAAAAATATTAAAAATATCGTTTCATTAGCGATTTCTACCTTATTAAAGACGATAAGCATTACCATAGAATTAACTTTTTGAAATTTTTAATCTTCAAAAATCTTTTTAATTTTTTTAATTACTTCAATTTTGATTCATCATCTAATAAACAAATTCCTTTTATATTCATCATGAATGAAGCTTTTATTTAGGCAAGAACTGTTTTTTAATAAATATGTTCAATTTAGTGTTACGTTTCTTCGTGCGATTGCGAAAAGGAATTTATTTCTTTCAAGATATTATATTTTTTTATTAGTTAGCGTGATGTCACAAATATTACAAATGCATGCTACAAACTCGATAAACATATCATAACTTTTGAATAAATCGCTTGAACGTGAGGACACAAGTGCGACATTTAATGCCATTTCATGGCACTCCTCTTCTGTGCGAGCATTCATGTTCCTAAGTACTTTTCACTACAGGTCAACAACAGAGGAGTCTCTTGAAAATAACCATCCATTAAATTCTCCAAAATTAACAAATTATTATTCGATACTTCAACAGATTTCACTTTGTATCACAACCTGCGTCGACAATTTCTCGGCTAACGAATGTCAGATTTGTACTTATGCAAAGCAAAGAATATTAAAATCTGCAAATACTCTTCCCATGAAATTTCGAACCTGATATATGTCAAGCCTCAATTTCGATATAGACAATTTTGAATCTCAAGGAGAAAATATTCACATCGAATTGCAGCTTCTCACACTAACGTCAAAGCAGTATCTAATAACATACATAAATAAAGCTCTAAACAATAATATACAGATCCAATTTAAAAATGATACAATACTGGACAATATGATGCTAAATAAAAGAAATAAATTTAGAGAAATGTGGTCTCCTAATTAAATCATCATTGTGCATTTAATTCTCTATAACGCTATGCGAATAGATTTTTACTTTATTCCAATTAGAGATAGAAATTCCAATTAGAGGTCAAATAATCTTCATCCCTGCTGTTGGAAATTTATCCCAAAAAACGGACTCTGTATATTTCTATAATTTAAACTACCTAATTAAAAAACTACTTGGCCGTCTTTCCCACCTTCGCATTTACGCGAAATAAAATCGTCCAACGTGCATGTAAACGTAAAAGCCGCTTCTTTCTACTATTTACGGAATAAACGTGTGTTTTCGCGCGTCGCGTTTCTATATACGATCGGGTGGTAAATCCTGCATAAATACAAAACACACTTGCGAATGTATACAACGCGCGGGGGTAAAAATCGACCGTGTACCACTCACGTGTGTATACGTGTAACACGTACGCTTCTATTTTCTACGTAGCGTGATTTATTAAAAGGGAATGCGGATGAGCGAAATTTCGAATTTAATAACAAAAAGAAAAATAAAAGAAAATAAAATAAAACAAAGGAAGAAAAAAGGGGGAAAAAGAGGAAAGAACGAAAGGGAGATCGAGAGAGGCAGAATGGAAAGAAAACAAAAAAAAAGATGGTAGAGACAGATAGATAAAGACAGAAGAGTGGAAAAAATGATTATCGCGAAATCGGGCGCGTACGAAAAATCCATTTCATTCCGTGGGATCGTTGTACACCGACGAATCTGCAGTGGAAAATCAATTCGGTTAATTGAGAGGGTGGCTACCCTCGATGCATTTTTTCTCTTCTCTCTCTCTCTCTTCCCTCCAATTTTTTTTCTATTTTTCCATCTTCTTTCCTTCTATTTTTTTTCCCTCTTGTTTTTCAATTTTCGCGTCCTCTCCAACTTCTCTGTCGGTCATGGTATCGTTCTGTCCCTGTCTGCGGCGGCCCCCTCATGGCGCAAATACACGCGAGGAATGCAGAATTGGCCGGGTAACGGGCTGGACATGTTTATCGACATTCTGAAATGCCGTTCGGCCGTTTTTGGTTGTATCGTCAGTTATCGGGAGGATAGAAAGAGAGAGAGAGGGAGAGAGAAAGAGGAGGCATGGGGGTAGGAAATGGTGGAAAAGAGAGAGAGAGAGATACGCGTTTACACCGCAACGATCAATTACACTGTAATGCTCAGTGCAGGATTATTCCGGGGATATAGATGGCTCGGCCTGATTCTGGGAAGAATGTGCTTCCAGGAAAAATTGATGCATCCCGATTAATCACCTGTCTGTTGGGTACAAAATACGCACGAATCGCGAAACAGGTAGTTTTGGCGTTTTAACTTTAACGTGGATTAAATTGTCGGTTGTTCTTCTTCGAACTATAGCTGTTGCTAATTTTCTTGCTTCGATTTCGCTAGGTGTTTATAATATTCGAAGATTAGGGGAAGTCGTGCGTCTGTAATGGTTCTTAAAATTCTGCGGCCATGTTGTAATTTTTGTTTGAAGTGCGAAAAACTTTTCGCCTAGCATAAAAATGTAGCAGAATTACTGTTTGATCGAATATAAAAATCCTTGAATGATTCGCATGATGCTGATATTTGTATCGATAAAGTGTTCAAAATCTTTGCATACAAATTTTAATAACGTACTATATGTTATGCAAATTGTAGATAAATTATGTATTATGCAAATACTAGGTACATTCTATTATATATTATATCTCTGCAATAGCGTACTTTTACTTTCAAAAACGTGTTAACCGAATAATGAAACGATCCTACATTGTGGTCGGAAATGTCTATATTCCGTTCAACAAGAATTGGCAGGAAATATAAACAAAACGGTCACCGATGGCTGCGGATGTAGCTAAGTGGTCGTCGAACGTCGATGCTCAGTGTCGACTTTCAGTAGTAAACAGGGACTCCTGCCTACAAGACCGACAAAATTTTCCTCAGTCTCACGTCCGGACCAGCTTGGACCCAAGTCTCATGCTTCTATTTACATTTCCTGCCAATTTCGTAGAACTAGTAGTAGGTATAGTAGTCATTGTATTTTAATTGCAATTTTATTTGCCTTGCATTAGTACTATTGTATTAACATCAGATTCTCTACCGATAGCTATTTTTATCCCCTGAATTTCTGTTTACAGTAAACCTCGATAATCAAATGTGACACTTTTCTCAGCAGATCAAATAAAATTCTGGTAAGGTGAAAAAAATGATCGTAAAATATTGTCTTGTATGTTATTCTAATTGTAGTTATCTTTTTCAGGTTCCCATGGTACTCGAAATATTCCTGGTGAACACAGCGATAATAGTAATCGTATATGGTAATCGAAGTATCGAGATATAATTTTTGCATCACAGTTCTGACGTTATAAAGTTCCAGATTCTAGACTCCAAAGGTAAGTTGAGATCGGAACAACATTCTCGAGAAGGTTTGAGGGTTCTCTCTTAATCGCGTTGGACACTGAACATGGTTCCATGATTCCTAGGTACCACAGAGTATGCTATTACGATACAGGAAGCTACGATATAGAAGGCCAATGATCAAGTTGTTAACTATTGTTCCTTTGTAACGGAAGTTCGCATTAATGAATGTTAAACTAAGTTGGCAAAAGTTTAGCATTCGATAAATTTGACTAAACGAGCAAAAGTTCAGTATCAAACTAACAAGAATTCGCTAATATTTTTTATAATTATGTTGCAGATTTTATTCATTAGTATATTTATTTATTTTTTAGCTTCCTATCAAATGTCAGCAATTACGGAATTGTTTTTGCACGTGATATATTAACGCAAACAGTTGCAGTCAGTCTACGTTAAATATCAGCAAGTATATTTAATTGTAATCAAGATAACCTCAAACGCTGACATAATATAAAACAATGACAAAAAATTTATTTAATCATCTACAAAGCTATGTGATTTGGAAGTTACGTACACAGGTAACTACATGTTTAATTCTGTTTTATACATTTATCATCATACTACTGAATTTTATTACTATTAGTACATCATTGTTCCACGAATTCCTAGCAATCACTATTCTCACACTATCACTATACCAAACAATGACACCGCTACACTTATAACCCATACCTATTATCCTTACATTACAACTGTACCTACGATCATGCCCCAAATAACAGTATTATCATACCTATACCTGTAACTACGATCAATCTCCAGTTCCCATAGCAAACCAAGAAATCCTAATCCCATAAACTTACTTACTCGTAAGTAAAGAAGAGTCCAATTACAGAGTGTTGACCCCGTTCGCTAACCATTGCCATTTTTCCCACCCTGCGTCCTCAGGGAACTCCGCGATTATCCTCGGATATGATCACCGGAAACTTGGAGCGCGCGCGTTCCACGGAAGTCGCCGGTGCCCTTTTCCCCATTGGCCAGGGAACTTTGATAGGAGAACGCTCCGGTGTATTTGCGAAAAAATACGGCCACGGTACGGTTCGCCGCGAATGGTCTTTAATGGGCGACCGACCGAGTAGAAATTAAATAAGGCGTGACCACAGGAAACGTAAACAGCGTGCCTAAAAATTCTTTCCTCGCGGAATAAATCGCGAACGGGTCGGCCTCCAACGGCATAAGCAGGCAGGGACCACCACCGCCACCGGCTGCTGTTCACACCCCACGTGAAACGCGGAAACCAGAAAATTACGTCACACACCGGGGCTGTCCTGCCACCGGCTGCTTCTCTGAATAATGCTCGCGGTATGCGGCCACTGCAGTAGCAGATGCAGTCGCTCCGCAATTCCAGCCGACGACGCTTCAAGCGTTTCCATGCGTGTACACGTGTTCTTTCAAATTTTTTGACAGCTCGTCCACGCCGGTTTTCGGGTTTCATTAATTAACGTTGACAAGCTCGTTACCGGTTTGGCTCGTTATTAACCGGGATTTCGCCGAATTCTGTTTGCAATCCATGATATTTGGCGTTCATGAATTTGATCCCTCCCTCTCTTTCGATGGCACAATTGATCCTGAGGGAGTCTAGTGATTCGATGGTTCAGTTCTTCATTTTCCACGTTCGAACAGGTCAACTGTGATTGGTGGAAAGATTATTCATCTGTCTTCTATTGATTTTCGCTTCTTTGTACAGGTATCTTCTATACTCTAAGACAGGATTGTCTCATCTTTGATCATACGCTTTAGACTAAGCAGCTTTGATTCGTAACTCACCCTAAAGCTAATTCACGTGGCTACCAATTTTCTGCGAAACGACTGTCCTTTTCGTCTTAAAATCCGTGCTCCAACGAGTTAAACGGACAAGAAACGATTTTCAAATTGCATGGGCGCGCGAGCGAATTCTTCTCTGTTGAAATTAACTGATTTTTTTCACGGACCTCTCTGGACGTCGAAACCGGAAATAAACTCGCGTCGCGGTGCGCGGTTCTATACGTTAGCGCTGATTAACTGCGTAAAACACGCTTGAATTGCTTAATTTACACGTTCGTTTTGTCTCCTTTTTATATTCGTCCGCCCGCTATTGACCGTTCCATGTACAAACAATGCAACCGTGCAACGTTTGCTCTCTGTCTTCCGCCCGGGTATATACCCGGGGCCGCCTCTGGCCGTCGAATGGAAGCGGCGAACGCAGCGTGCTGTGATTTATTAACAGCCGCGCAATTGTTCCCAAATCGCTTTAATAATTCAGCTGTTGATTAAACGGGCCGGGTTCATTTTTACGCGTGATTTATTCCGCTACAAACCTCTCTACGTCGCTCCTGATCGAACGAATTCTCTATTGACAATTAATTCCGGCGCAACCCAAATCGTCGATGGGTAGAAATTAAAAAAAAAAGAAAGGAAAAAATGTGACGTGAGAGAGAGAGAGAGAGAGAGAGAGAGAGAGAAAAGAGATAGAGAAAAAGAGGGAGAGAAAGAGGAAAAAAGAGATAAACGAAGAGACGTGAAAAACTGAAAATATCGAATTATTCGCGGGTAAAAAGCGTTCATCCGTTTTCGAAAACAAGACATATTCATGACTACCCCCGGAAATATTCAGAAATTTGCTTGTTTTTCGGAGAATGTGCTTTTAATCGTAGGTGAGTTTGTTAGTTGACTGTCGGTGTCTTAACTATGCATTATGGAACATCGAGATTCGAGGTGATTGATTTCTCTGTGTAAATCCGAGAAGTGATGCAGTATGAACACGAAAGTTTACTTTGTTCTCTGGAATATTCTTCGTTCTCGCGTTATTCGATTTTTGAGTACGATGAAATAGGATAGAAGGATAGAATGAGATTATAAGTCAACAAGAAGAATATCGCGATGATCTCAACCCATCCGAGGCCTGAATTCTGTCATATAATGTTCCTCACAGATAAAATATCTTTTCTTTCACATTTGAAAATATACGTATATCTTAAATAATCGTTATTCTAACAAAAACGACGTTGGTCAGTATAAATATGCAGAACCAATGATACTCCACGTGTCATATTTTAACAGGAATTAATAATATAAAATTCTTTTCATGACATCTGCTATGTAGGCTTCGAATGGGTTAAACAGTAATATTGAAACACGTGGAATTTCTTATGCAACTTTCATGAACTATCGACGAGTTTATTCAAATCTAGCAAACGATGTATATCTACGATCTGTTGATTCCATTAGAAATGACAATCATTACATTCCGTCATTAGTTTCCCATTAATTTGCACGTGCTCAATTACTTATCAGTCGTTGTTCTGCATATCAAATATCAGTCATCAATTCACATGTGTTCGGATATAAACTAAATGGTATAGGCTAAATGGAATACTATAACGAATGGTAACTTAATTTCCAAAAATTTCTCTCATATTCTAACATCTCGATGGGACGTGTTTAGAAGTCGATGAACATGTTTGTTTCGATTTTATGTTGTCGCAACTGTATCGTAGGTATTGAAATGAAAATGTGAACGGAAAATGAAAATGAAAGGTGTTCAGCTGAAAAAAGCATACCGGGATGAGAAATATTCGGATACTCACCACTTTGAGTTTCGCTTGGATCTCGCGAAGTTTTCGCCTAGCAAGCACTTGTATGTGCGAAGAGACCTGCTTTCGCGTCCTCGTCTTGCCTGTTCTTAGTTTGATGTAACGGGCAATCAGCTCATTGCGACCTGCAACAGTGAAAAATCTGCGATTAGATAATTGGAAATTAATCCTTTACGATGAATCGATTTATAACGTTAGAAAGCGGAGAAAACGTTGATGATTACGTACACTCTCATTTGTTAAGTATTAATACGCTTGCTAGAAAATGAGGTAAACCTGAGAAATTATCGATGCCAAGCCACTGGATATTGCATAAGCTATGTTGCTTATAGACTCGTAGGATCGGTGAACTAATTTTAAGATTAATTTAAGTCTAGTTTAAATGCTCAATTTACCGTCTAAGTGGTCATGTGGCTTTTCTAGGTTTGATTTTTCAAAAGATTAATTGCTTCAGTGCTCTTGGCTGTCATAAGCTTCTTTCCTTTTCCTTTAACGTTTGGTTGTTTTAATGGCATTAATTCGTCTATGATTTGCACTATTTTTCAGTAATAGGGCTATCGTTGTTTTCCAAAAGTCTACGTTAGTTTATCTTTAAACAAGATGCATGGCTTCGATGACTGGCGATCGATACATTGAAATACCATAGGAACAATTCTTTAAATATTCTAATCTATCGATGTGAATAATTAGGAAATTAATGAAACATTTAATAATTATTATTTCGTTTGAAATCTATCAAGGATGTTATAATAAAATACTTTTTGTTTATGTTAGTAAAATTACATTTCTTCGTCCACTATAGCTGTCATGTCTAGATTACTGGTTCAATCAGTTTTGGCTTTGTTATTAGCTTTTCTATTTGTTGTATACACGTTAGAAATAATTTCATAAGTCAAAGTCGAATATAGATTAGTGAAAAGGATTTGTAAGCTTTGTATTTGTAGGTTCGTATTTGTAAAATTTGTAATTTGTAAGTTTCTCGTAATCGGATGATTATATTAATCATTTTTACATCATTAGAATAATATTATCGTAAAGTTTCCAAGATTATCACTATTTTCTTCTCCTTTCTAACTTACATCGTTAATTATTCGTTGCAAAATATCTCCGATATCCCAAGGAAATTGCAAGAGAAACAAGGCAGAAGTGAAAGTAGTTAAATATCAGTAACCTTAAAAAATAATTCTAAATTTAAAACATTCCGCATTGTGGGTCACGGATGATGTATGATAGTTACTACAGGTGCAGGATTGCACAAAATAAACGAACAAGGGAAAACAGAAATAATTGACTGCATGTAATCGTTAAAAAAGCAATTTTTAATAGCCGGTCATTAGTGTTTCGCGATGATTATTGCAGGTATAACTTTTACTAAATGATATAATCAGATATAAAAGATAAAATTGCCAAGAAGTGAGTAGAATGTCCACATTTCTGGGAGAAAATATTCCAAGAGTAAAACTCTATTAAAAATTTGAATACACTAAATCGTGTTTTTAAATTAATACAATTTTCATTATTATCGTTATAAAATTGAATTTCAACACAACAGAAGAGTTTATCATCGATCAAAGATATTCACCGTCTGAAACAAACTGTCTGATCGATTAGGCAGAATTAACCTAACCAGATCCGTGAGTTTTCGCAAATCCAATAATTAAACAGGCTATGCCCTTTTAGGGTCTACACCCTCCATTTTCTGTTTCGCCTAAAATGTCTCAATAAATCTTCACAGACACGAATCGAAACAAATGAGAGGTTTAAGTGGCAGAACATCTTCGATGGACAATATCGACGCACTATGGAAATTCCAACATTCTCAAGATTCTGCACAACCTTCGCTATTTGACGAAAACCAGACCGGTTAAGCACAAATAAATCCTCAACACTGGTACAAATTGACCTCGGAAGTTTCTCAGAAGCTACTGGTTAACTAAATCGTTCCAAGTCAGATGATTCGATGAGTCAGAGTAGCCTCGATTTTCATATTTTCATATAGTATCCATGAAACGTGATTAGTAATGAATAGAATAAAAAGGTATTAATAACCTTTATTAGTATTGATATGAAATATAGAATAAACATTGAAAATAAAGTAAAATTGCATAACGCGAATCATGTAGCGATAGTTATCAATGGCTCAAGGACATCGGTTAGATGTCAGTTTACTGAGGATCAAGCCTGCACACATTGTAAATCATTGATTCAAAACCATGAATGGTCGTGTTCGTTGACTCTGCCTCAATGTAAACTACATTCGCAAAGTTACATAGTCGCGTTTAGAAAGTACAAAGGAAAGTTGACGACCCTGATATGTTCTTATCACCTTCACATACAAAAAGACAGATCCAGAAGTTTTAGTCTTCTGACACAGTTCAACTTTACCCAGTAACGATCTAGAATATCACAGACATTTTTCAAAATACTCGGCTGTCACGTTTATATTATATTATTCTTTAAATTAATACGAGTTTGTACGACAGAAAGGTTTAAAACGAAAATCTGATAAAATTCGCGAGGTTTAAAAAATTATATCTTCCATCGTGTTTGGTACCCATTTCCAACAATTTCAAATTCACAAAAGACACGGCTTAATAAGTAGCAATTAAAATCGTCTTATTCGTCCAATCAGCATAATAGCCATACACCTGTGAAAGAGCGTGCTCTTAATTAAACAAAATTCAATATCAACGCTGGCTCATTCACCGTGCAAATTTCTCGGATCAATTAACCCGAAAATGAAACATCCCCTAAACGAGAGAACTTTTAAACGCACCAAGAACCTCTTTTGCGCCTTTTCACGGATTCCACCAGCCGGCAAAGATTGCACCTCCAGCCTTCCTCAACAACCGGTCTGGCTCGAAAGCCTCGTCGATGGAACGTCTTTTTCCATTGAACCATTGCTTAAAGCCAAAGTCTTTCACCGTTTAACGCGAACAGCGTCCCTCGTTTGCTTTACACCCTCGTCGAAGAAGCACAGGGGCGAATTCTTCGACTGTTACACGGCTGAATCCTGTCTTGGATCGGCGTACGGAATAACGTGAATGAAAAGTCGAGGAGCGTGTAATAAATTGAAATTAATCGAAGCGAGTCGTAGGGAGATGAAATGACGCTTTGAATGGCATTAAAAAGGCAATTCAGAGGAGGCAGGAAAGAGGAAATAATTGGAAAAATGACGGGGGTAAAATGGAAAATTTGTTAGGTCACTGAGACGAATCGTACATACAAAATGATAATTCTATACGAAGTCGCATAGTTCACAGAATTCTCCAGTCTACCTACGTGCTCTCCGAAATAACCCAACGCGAAAGAAAAAGAGGAGTATCGTGCAGTAATGCAGGAAGAGGAGGAAACGATGGAACGAAGACGGTTTCACCGTAAAATAGCTAACTTGAACCGGTTGTTGAATTTCAATTGTGAATTTGAAGAGGGTGAAAAGCAGGGAGGACGTGAAACGCATGCGAATTCGAATTAATTCGAGTGCAGGGTGCATTCAGTTTTCGAGGGCCGATGAAAACGTGGAAGGGTCTTCCGCTCGACAATGAGCTGACGTTCTCTATTTGCGCGTTCGACCGATTTTTTTCTTTTTTTTTTTTTCCCCCCTATCGAATAGTGCCAGCGTTGATCGTCCATTTTTTTCTCCATTTCTTCGTTTTCCCTTTGTTTTATTTTTTTCCCCGTTTTTCTCGTAATGGAAATCGGCCGATCGAATCGAGTGGTACTTTTTTGCACCCCCTCGTTCCTGGTATACACAACGATGTTATCACGGTTTATTGAGTCGTGCGAAATCGTTGAAAGTACGATCACCACTGCTGCGTGGCCTCTGAATTTGTGATCAAACAATTTTTACTACCGTGCGCGTCTTTTGTGCAGCGATTTCGACTCGATGGAGTTTTCGAAGAATGATTTATACTGAATTGTAGGTTAGCTCGCGATATGAGTGGGATTTCCTTTTTGCCTTTAATCGATACGTTTTTGAGCCAGGATAATCACGATAATCGCGACAAAGTTAATGGAGACGATAATACGTTTTGTGTTTGGGTAAGGTGCACAGCATTTTCATATTCTTTTTACTCGAAACAATTTCCGATGGGTTAAGATCAATAAAATTTATGAAAATTAGTAAAATATTCGTCATCCTTCGTTATTTTAATTCATACCGAATTTTTCAATAATACGAAATTAATATATATCCAGGAATACAAAATTGTATAGAATTAAATTTGAATTGAAATACGATACAGGTAACAAGAAAAGAGAAACTAATCCTTTATTCTCGAGTCTTTCATCGATCTTCGAACACGAGTCGAAAACTTTTCGTAAAAGTGAATTTACCTGTTCAATCGAACGTTTCGCGTCCATTCACCGATCGACGAAGAACATCCGTAAAGTTTCTCGCGAGTCGAAAGCGTTTGGAACGGTTGGACGATTGAAAAATGCCCGAGGCCGATGCAATCTCAACGGGACAATCCGGCGGGAAATGACAAGCGATATTCGATCGTGAATGTAATCTAAGAGGCAGGAACAAAAATGAAGGAGAAAGAGAAAGAGATGGAATAGAAATGGGACGCAGGGGGGAGTTTGGCACGGTTTGAACGATGAATTGATTTCCAGCCGATTGAATCGAGTAAATGGCATTCTATGTGGCACCTTATCGTTGCTTAGATTTCACAGCCGTTAAGACTTTACGGCCGCGCCCGTAAAACCGGCGCCAGACGACATCAAACGTGTCGTAATTGAAATAACGTTTACCGTGTAGTAACCAGAATCACGCCACTTCGATGTACAGTTGGTCGAAAAAAGTCCTTTGTCCGTTGTTTGTCACAGAGATTCTTTGCTAACGCGAGATCCACACTCGCCGATCGAATTGATCTTTTCGCCATTCCTCGTTTCGGGATTTATCGCTGTCATCCAGAGGTTAGAACCAGAGTATCGTACGAGGTGGGTCGATGAGAAGAATTTTCGCCAATTTTGCGAGCAAGGAAATTTTTGAAATATATAACATACGAGAAGTCTTTCATTTACAACCCCATAACAGAGACAGCAGCTCCTTTATGCTCAAAATTCTCCTTTCCTGAGTTTCATAAAATAAGCTTCTTCAAACCCCATAATCCTGACATACAACTGTAGGCATTCGAAGTAACTTCAACCTTTCAGATCATTTCAAAGCACCTGTAACCAGAATACTTAAACGACACCCTGATAATGTTTCACGTAATTGAATATCTCCGGGATATTTCCATTCCGATCTCTTTTCCGGTCAAATCAAAATACTTCTATATCCCGTAATTCATCGCGGAATGAAGACTCGCGATGGTTCTTCCACTGGCGATATCTCGTGGTGAACTCGAAGATCCTCGAAGAGCTTTCGGACAGGCGAGGTTGGGCCGTGCTCCCTTAGCAAAGGAGACGGAGAGAAAGCGGACATCGTAAGAGGGAGACGGCTAGAGGGTGGCTTGGCGCAGGAGGAAGCAGAAGGGGAAGGTTACGGAGAACTCTGAAGCATCGGGAGGAAAATATTCGAGATTCCAGGCGAACCGCGTGATGACTCAATTTCGCAAAGACCGTTAAATGGCCCGCTATGAACCACGTGCCGCTACTGGTCGCGTTCCTTCTCTGTTTTTGAAGGCCGAACATTCTTCGAACGGGGGTTGCCCGCGTCGGATCCGCGTGGAAAACGCTTGTTACAAAGAAGCTGTTCTCGGTTCATTTGCCTTCGCTTCCTACCCGTCGTTCTGAAGCTATCATTTCCTTCGAGATCACGTATCGTTTTTGGAGAACGACTCACAGAGGATGTCCGAATTCTGAG